AGGTTACTGTCTATAAGTTCATATAAATCTTTCCATGCTCCTCTGGATTCATCATAATCATTGTTTATTACAGCACAGTAATAATTTTCCGTTACAGTCATGAACCACAATTTTTCTTTAGCCATTCCTCAATCAACAGGCATCTTCTTTGTTTCTGTTTTTTTTTTCTTAGCACAAAAAGTGCTAACAAACAGCATTCTCAGCTTAGAAAGCTATAAGATAGAAAAATTGTGCCCCTCAGGAAAATATCACATTAAGTGGTGATTTTTTTTACTTCAATAAGTAATATTTGTTTATTTATGATATATCAGTGGACAGCTTTAAAATTTCAAGTAAAATAAATTCTCAGTACCAAAATATCATGTTTCTTCTCAGCTCTGCTAACTCTACTTTGTTTTTTTCTCTACTTTTGTTCATATCATAAAATAGTCAACATGCCATGCTTATTCATGTTAATATTACTTTTATCTCCCCAGTTACTATGATTATTTTAGGAAATTTATTGATTATATACTGTGTACAAAGCATAGGTTAGCTGTCCATATAGATGGCTTTATGGGGAGTTGGTGGGTATTATCTTCTCTTTCCCCCTTCCCCTCCATTAGATTATGGGCACCTTGAGAGCAGAGACTTATCTTTTTCCTTTTTTATATTCCCAGTGCTTAGCACAATGCCTGGCATATGGTTTGCCATAAATGTTTGACTGACTACTTAATCATGGTTCTTTACAATGGGTAAAGTCTCAAACCTCCTATAATCAGACCTCAAACACTATAATGCATGAGTCTCTTCACCTACTGTACCATGTGTATCTGTATTCTCCATTCCTCACTAAAATTTCAAGGGCTTAGACAAATATCACATCTGTCTATGCATAGGTATGTTCCAGGTATGTTACTATGTTCCAGGCACTGTGCTAAGATACAAATACGAGCAAATAAAACAAATAACTCTTCTCAAGAAGTTTTACATTCTAATGGGGGAAGATAGCACATTTAAGGGAGCTAGAAATTGGAAGTGGGAGAAGGTGGCAAGGAAACAGGTGAAGAGAAAGAATTCTGGAGGATATCCATGTATACATGAGGTGAAGCAAGTCTCTTGTTCTTCCTAAAATGGTGGTCCCAGGGAGGGGACTCAGGAGAGCAGTCTCAGGGTAGAGGTTCCTTAAGGGTGGCAAAGATGTAGGTGAGAAAAAGAAACCTGGAGAGTACTGAAGTCCATCTGTGGAGATGTTCACTAGGACCCAGACCCAAGGATTGACAATCAGGTCCATCCCAGTTAGGGGGTTTCCATCTTTAAAAAAAAAAAATTGTGACCTTGATAGTCATCAACAAATATTAGCATTTGCATATATGTAAAGGATACATTGAAAGAGGAAAGCATATAAAAACATAAATCTACAATGTACTTTTTTTTTTTAGTATTCACCAAATATAACATGGTATTTACCATGATGTTGCCCATGTCTGTCTGTGTTCCTTTCTCTTTATGCTGTCTCTCATGTGTTTTTTACTTTCTGCATTCATACCACAACCCAAACATTCAGCCAACCACCCCATTCCAACTGCTGAGGGAACTGAGTGTGTTTGCCACATCTCCTCCATCATGTGTGATAACCATATCACCTGGCAGCTCTTTTATAGCTGGGGTCATTAATGATAGGGAACAGGAAATAGCTGTTTACAGGTTGCAAACATTTGTCTTCCCAACAGGTTCCCAGTCTGAACAAAATGTTGCATTCTCTCTCTGGCTTTTTATTGATCTATCTGTCTGTCTGTCTGTCTGTCAGTCCTGCCCCTTACACCTACTAGCTGGATGACATGTGCCAATCATTTAATATCTCTGTGCTCTGAGCAACTACCCAAAACTATAAATTGCTGACCTGTATTAGTAAAGGGAGTTTTCTTATGCTTGAGCTCCCTATATCCATAAAATTACAGGTCCAGTTTCCATCCTTTCCCTTCCTTATGAAACAGCTCATCTTCCTTAGTCTTCTTGGAACAATCTTTGCTCTGACACTTGAATATATCTTCCTTTCCTTCTGAAGTGATTTGGGCCTGCACGTGTGGCAATGTCAGAAGAGAAAAGGAGCCATGTGCAGAAGATGTTAGGAAGGTAGAAATAACAAGAGTTGGCACCTAATTGTATGTAGGGCTTAAGAAAGAGTGAAGAATGGAGGATAATCCTAGGTTGTGAACCTGGAGGGATGATGGTACCCTAGGGAAGTTAGGAAGGGGGGAGGGTTTGAGAAGAAAGAAAATTAGTTAAGTTTTGAACATGTTGAGTTTAAGATGACTACTGGACTTCAGGTATGAGATATTTAATAAGCAGTTCAATATTTAAGACTGGAGGTCGAGAGAGGGCAGGGTAGGACGTCTGCATAGAGATGGTAATTGAATCCATGAAGGCTGATGAAATCAACAAGCAAAATAATATACAGGGAGAAGCTAAGAGGGTTCAGAACAGAGCTTCAGGAGACACACATGGTTAATGGTCATCTGATTGAGGACCCAGCAAAAGAGTCTAAGAAGGAGCAGCCTCATAGGTCAGGAAACTAGGAGAGAGCACTGTCAGGAAAACCTAGGGAAGAGAATATCAAGGAAAAGAGAGTGATGAGCATCAAAAGCTGCAGAGACTTCAAGAAAAATGAGGATTGAGAAAATCTCATTAGACTTGGCAGTTAAGAGATCATTGATAACTTTGAAGAGTGCAGTTTCAGTTTCGGAGTTGGAAACCCTACTATAGAGAGTTGAGAAAAGAGTGAGAGGAAAATAAATAGTGACATTGCCAATGACGTGCTCAAGGACATTAGCCCTTTAAGGGAGGAAAAATATAGGAGCTAGTTCATGGGGATGGAGATAGGTGGATCAAGTGAGGGATTTTTAAGGATGGGAGAGACATGTGCATGTTCGATACTAAGCAGAGAGTGGAGACTAGTGAGAGAACAGATTATTGAGGAGGCAGTAATGCTAGAGAGATGGGATGGAATGAATGACTTGTGCTTGTAAAGGGGTTTTCCTTGTCAAGTAGAAGGGCCTGCTTTTCAAGAACAGGTGAAGGAAGAGATGGTGGAAGACATCTGAGTGATGTGAGATAAGGACAGGAGAAGGGGGTGATCAGTTAATGGCCTTAAATTTTTCAGTGAAATGTGAGGCAAGGCACACAGCCGAATGGGTGGGAATAGTGAGGCTATGGGAAGTTAGAGGGAGATAAAAAGATTTGCATAAACCACTGCAGTGAATGCAATACTGAATCAATTAAAGACATATAGAAGGATTGCCTTGCCACAGTGAGAGTCCAGTTGAGATTATGAAACTTCAATTTGAAGCATTCCCACTCAGCACAATTTTGTAACTTCTCCAGCTTTGTTCAACAACTTGTGAATAGGAGTGAAGGCAGTGAATGGTGGAGTAATCCAAGCCTGGGGTTTGTCAGGGCAAGATCTTCAATAGAATAAGGGAGCAGGGAACTCCGGACATCTGGTTCACCAAGAAGACATGATGGGGAAGGGAAGAGAGTGTATCCAGTATAGAGGTAATGGCTTGGGAAAGAGCAAAGGGGTAAGGGGATTGGAGTGAGTATGAAAATGAGTATGAAAAATAGTTTGTAGTTGTGAGGGAAAGCAGAAGTGACAATGGAGCGTGGTCAGATAAAGGAATTTCAGAGTTCGTAAACCATGGGTGTGGAACGCTTGAGGGTGAGGGCAAGATCACGGGTTTCGTCATGCATGTATGCCTTAGGTGGGGTGAAGGAGTGGGTCATGGGAAATGGCTAAGTTGATGAATTTGGCTTAGAGTGTTTGAGAGAGTATCAGCTTATGTTAAAAATCCTCTAGTGTGAGGGCATGAGGTGGGGAGGAGAGGAAGACTGTGTGAACCAGTCACTCAGTTTGTTGAGGAAGAAATGAGACTGTCCTAGAGATGTGTAAACAGCTGTCATATCCTAATTGAGTGATTAGTATAGACTGACTGAACCTGAAAGGAGAAGCAGTTGCTAAGTGATAGTGATAGAAGGAAAGCCTGATAATGGCAGTTGGGAGCAAGGAGTATTCCAGCTCACCTGCCTTGACCAGTGCGATTAGTGCTGGAAAAAGTAGCCAGGGAAGCCGTCTCATCAGGGGGGAATCAGGTCTCAGTGTAAGAACAAGAAGACAGAATGAAAAGAGAAAAAAGATTTAAGTTAAGATGAAAGCTAGTTTGTTACCTCTGAAGCACATTCCCAGGCACAAGGGGAGGGTTGAGTAACTTTAGAGTGGGCATTTGGGGGCTGGGATGAGGGGGTGGGAATAAAGGAGCAGTCTTTGGGTGGGGGAGAACAGGGTTTAAACAATGGCAGCCAGACATTCAGAATTACCAGGGTGGGGAGGTAAGATAGGGTGGAAATATGTTTGTCATTGAGCTAAGGTTGGTAGGCTTTCATTGTCTTTAGGGGTTCAGCCTGGGAATGGAGTTGTCCCAGGCCTTCAAGCCACTGAGTATGGCTGGAAATAAATTGGGGAGTATGTGAAGGGGGGGTGAAATATGGAGGCTTCCCACTAGGGGCAAGACAGTGGTTATGGAGACATAGACTGCTGGAGAGAGTGCCTAGAACACGATGGAATAATTGTTCAGGGAAGCAGATGCAGGTAAGGCCACTACAGGTAGAGCTGTAGATGGCCAGAGAAGGTGAAGACAGTAAGGAGCTGTAGAAAGAGCTCTAGGTTTAGAATCAGAGATGGGAATTTGAATCTTGCATATACTGCCAGTGTGACTGATAACAAATCACTTCGCCTTTTTTGCTTTCACTTTCTTCATGTATAAAATATGCAACGTACACCTCTAAGCTCACTCCCAATTTCATATCCCATGAATTAATTGGCATGATTTAGTAATCTGACTTTTAAAGTGACCACACCCAACACAAGTTAAATAAAATTAAACCATTTAACCTAATATGGTAGGTAACTGTAAGTAGATTTTTTTTTCTGCAGTAGGATCAATAAGTCTCATCTTCTATTTCAGGAAAAGATGAAGGGTAAGAATAAATTGGTCCCCCGATTGTTGGGCATCACTAAGGACTCAGTGATGCGAGTAGATGAAAAGACCAAGGAAGTCTTGCAAGAGTGGCCCCTTACTACCGTCAAGCGCTGGGCAGCATCACCCAAGAGCTTTACTCTGGTACAGTGTCAGGGTGGGGAGGTGTGGGGGTAGGCAGGGAAGAGGGCAAAGGTGGGGCTTATGGTTTCACTTGTTATGACCTTTAATAACTTACTCACCTTGAAAAGCAAGGAGAACATGGCTGGGTGGAGTGGTTTGGGGTTGGTTGAATCATGTTATTATAGAAACACGAAAATGTTGATAGTTCTCCATCTTTTCACAACTATTATCCATTAGTATATGCTTCTATGTAACTAAATTCAACAAACTTTTTTTTAGGAAGCTACTCTGTATAGTCATTTATCATAGTACTCAACTATTATCACAGTACTTAACAGTGGGTACTTAAATATTACTGTGGATTGACCAGCTGACTCTTGAATCTATATAAATCTTTCAATGAATGCCATAGGCAAAAAGGAGTTAAGATAAGAAAAAGCCAATAGTTACTATATTGATCATTTGTTCATATCATTATTTAATTGGAAACCTCTGCTCCCCCAGTAAAAGTTATTATTCTACTTAACTTCATACGGTACTGAACCATAGTAGCCCTAGATGGATGTGCATTTTTTAAAATCCACAAATTTTTTAAAAATAAAAGTTACATTAAAACTGGTATATCTCTTGTCTTTCTGGTTCCATCTTTTCCCCGTCTTTAAAAATTGTTGTTGATTTTTTAAAATTTCTGTGAATACTGTTTTCTTTAGGATTTTGGGGAGTATCAGGAAAGTTATTATTCTGTACAAACAACTGAAGGAGAACAGATATCTCAGCTGATTGCAGGCTATATTGACATCATCCTCAAGAAGGTATTTACTAATTGATTTGATTAGAAAAATGGCCTTGAATGTCATCTTATGTGGTTCTCACACATAACTCTTCTGGGGTGACTGAGTCAAAGATTCATTCATTTGACTTTCTGGAATTTTGTTCTCTGTCTTCTAGAAACAAAGTAAAGATAGATTTGGATTAGAGGGAGATGAGGAGTCAACGATGTTAGAAGAATCTGTTTCCCCTAAAAAGTAAGTGTTTTGATCATGGAGGAAAGAGTTGCTTTTTAACAGAAAGGTGTACAATTATTCCTATTGGATTCCTATCCAATTATTCCTATCAGATGGGGAGATCTTGTATTGAATTCTAGTCACACTAAATAACTCATTTCTATGACATGAATGATGTTAAACAGAAAGTGAAATCCTGGCTCAGATTACAGAGAATACGGTGAATTACCATGTTCCGATACAGCAGGAGTTGTATTCTCTTGCTAGCTTCCCCCTTGTAGGAAATTGATTAAAGGATCAGGATTGGAAAGCACTTTGGAGGCCATCTACTCCAACCCCCTCATTTTACAGAAGAGACACTTTATAAAGGCCCCTGAAAGAGTGAAAGACTTTCCCACGGTCATATAGATGTAAGTTGCAAAGCCAAGAATGGAACCACATCCGGTGCCCTTTCCTCTCTACCAAGCGGTAGAGCATATAGCATCTCCTGACCCCCATCAGATTTGGTCAGTAGGACCTAAGTAGGCCCGTACTGGCACCCAGGAATCAGGTGAGAAACATTCAGCAGCTCAGAAATGCAGGTACCACAACTCTCCTCATGCTTGTCTGCCAAAAGTAAGAAAAGCACAGAAGTGCCATTCACAGTGGACAAGCCCAGGGTCCTTAATCTCTGGGTCTATGCAGGTGATCTGTATCACCCGACACCACCCTTAGCCTCAAATTCTTTGCTACTTGCAGAATATTATAGCCAACCTCTCAAGAATACAGTAGCAGCCTGCCTTCTATCCTCTTTCCTGTAATACTTTACTTAACTTAAACCTTGGGTAGAAGCACCATTTACTTCACTGTTCCCACATCCCAGGGACTATAAAAGCATCTTAGGAAAATTCCCATCACACTGTGATAGGGACAGATGTACTCTCCCGCTCTCTCCCAGTCACCTGTTCTCGCTTACTGAATTACTTACTTAACTTCTCACTTTATTCGCTAGACAGACGTGTGAAGGCAACAGGTCATAATGTCGTCCAGTAGAAGCTATGTTCCAGATCCTTTCTCTGACAGTTAACTGGTAGTGTGAGCTATTACCACTCCATGCCTCGTGTGAGGAAGCAGGCACTGAGTTTGGAGCATTTGCAAGTAATAATCATTGTGTCTTCATTTACATTGGTGAGGCAGCTTAAGAGATGATTGCTTGCCTACTGGCAAATAAAAGTTTAAAAGTTTGCATTTTTCTTGCTGTGCTTTTCCTTTTTTCTCATTAACGAAGAGAAGTAATCTGATTTTAGGATTTGAAAATAGACATCTGCTTTTTAGAGTGCACAGGAAGCCATGTGGCTTTTGTACATGATTACACAGGCTGTCTTTCCATTGTTCATTGGTTGAACTCACTGTGCTCCAGATTCAATTCTCCCATTCCCTGTAAATGTCTGCTGTACCTGATTTGCCTGAGGGTATCATCTAAGGAAATGAAAACAGTCTAGACCATTCTGCCATAATTACTAGTACTGGCAGTTGGTAATGTAGAGACTGCTGTGCAGTGAGGGAAATGGGCAGGGGATTTCATTTTGGAGGAACAGAGCCATTGGATAGCCTTCTTCTTTGTTCACATTTATCTTGTTAATTAGGTTGGTATCAAAATAATGGCTACTAAGTGAGCTTCCACATGCATTATTACTGGAGGGAGGAACTTGGATGTCTGTGGCTTTTTTATCCAATAAAGCCTTTTAAAAAATTATCAGAAATCTATTTTATTTAATGGATCTCTGTGTAGCACCTGGCCCAGTGTGTATTTTTTTCCCAGTGGTTCATAACCAAGTTATAATGATGTTTTCTATTGTTTTTCCCCAACTCCTGCCCTTTCCCCACCTCATTCTTCCTTTCTAACATGCTCTCAGAGTTATTTTATGATTGTTCCCAAGTATTAGTGCTGAAGTTGGAATTAAATCTAATGTGAAATAAGTTTTTGCCTGGCCTGTGGCAAGAATACTATAAATTCTTGGAATTAGAAGTGACCAGCAAATGTAAATGAGCAAATTCACGGCTGGTATTTAAGATGATGTATATTGGTAGGGAAGGAACTTGCTTCAGATGACTCTTGCCATTATCTCTTAGCATTCCCCACATCAGTCATACAGTCAGTATCTCTTAGCATTCTGACCTGAGAAGTGTCTTTAAAGGGTCACCATGTCTAAAAATCCCACCACCATTGCACCCCTTTCACATTGGCCTAAGGAGGGAACTCTTTGATGTGGACACCTGAGGAAAGGAAAGATGCATCTAGAAATGCCCATAGACTAGCCCCTTTTTCTTTTTCCTTTATGCTTGATAGAGGGGAACAGGGGTTCAGACTACATCTGTTGGACTAAAGGGATCTTGTCTACTGCTTTTTGCTAACCCATCTCATAACCACCTTGTTTTCCTTGCCCCGATTCAGCTTCATCAAAGAGGGAGAGATCCCATTGCTTGAGAACCCTTGAGTACTCCCACTCCCAGAGAGTGAACTTTGATGGTGTGGGAGCTTCTCACTGGTAGGAGGGTCTATCTCAATTACATCTGATCAGTCTACAAGGGCCTACACACAGGGTGGGCACTGTGGCTCCTGAATGTGGCCCAGTTTTGGATGACCAAATTCCTAACTTGCTTTTTACTCAGTGAGAAATAACATAATGATGTTATGCTATGTTCAATGAGATTTTTTGATATTGAAGTGCCAAAGCAGGGCATGTTATAAAGTCTTCACTTGACAACTCAGCATTGTCCTCTGATTTATTCGTTAGTGTTTGGTCTTCCACTTTTTTTAAACTAAGTTTATTGTTTTCAAGTTAAATATGTAGCATTCACCAAAAGACAAAAGATGACACACACCGACTCACAGAGATTGCCAACATGTTACAAATGGACTGTACCTGTATGTTAGGACCCACATATGTAAAAATATGAAAGTTGTAATTGATGAAGTAAGAGGTGATTATTTGTGTTTCTGAGATTGACTTTCCATAGACTTGACATAGTTTTCTCCATGTGAACTACCTTCGTCACATTCAGAAGTACAATTCAATTTACTGAAATTTAGTTGGCATGAAACTTTCTTTCAGGAAGATATTTATTGTTTGAGGCAAGATATGCTTGTTATATTTAATTTTATTTTATTACTTAAAAGTAAACTATATTCTGTATAGGTGGCTGTCTGACAGAAACTAAGCAGTTCAAAATTGTCTCCCCAGGTCCACCATCCTACAGCAGCAGTTCAACCGAACAGGAAAGGTAGAACATGGCTCTGTGGCATTGCCAGCTGTCATGCGCTCTGGTTCCAGTGGACCCGAAACTTTCAACATTGGCAGTATGCCCTCCCCTCAGCAGCAGGTCATGGTTGGCCAGATGCATCGAGGACACATGCCTCCATTGGTAAGCCTTTTCATTGCAGTTTCTTTGATCACCCATGTGCTCTCTTTCTCCTTCAAACCAATAAACAATTATTAAATGCCTACTATGTCTCAGGCCCTGAGAATAAGCCCTAGTGATACAAACAGGAAGCAAAAATAATACCTTTCCTCAAGGATCTTGCATTTTAACAGAGGAGTAAGTCTGTGCAAGAATATCTGTAGATTTTTTACATGGTAACCATATAGAAGATGCTGGCATCTGGGGGAGAAACAGAAAAAAGACTGTTGCAGAAGGTGGTGTTTGAGCTGTGCCTTGGAGGAAGACAAGAAAGACATGTAGTTTATTTTGTTGTTTTGGGTTGGGGTTTTTTTCACCCTTCCCCCCTCCCCAATAATATTGATTAGCTGTGCTAAGCTATACATATTCAATCATATGGTCCCACATGTGAAACCAGCCTCCTGGACTTGAGCAGTGGTTGCTGAGAATGTTCAAAAGTGGATATGCTCAAGGTTGACCTATTTTGCTTATGTAAGTGTCAAACTCATGACTTTATCTTGAATAGAAATGTACTTTAACCAAATTACTTGATTGTTCCAAATCTTGTTCAGCAAATTGTTACAGAGAAACATCTTGGTGTGGTGGATAGAGAGGCAGCTTTGGTGTCAGGATGACTTGGATTCATTCCTTCTTCTTACACATACTGACTGTGTTTTCAAAATATTGTTTATTGAAGCAACTCACTTTAACTTCTTGATACTCCGGGCCACTCTTTAAACTAGAAATGTCAGAATAGTTGCTGATCTGTGTTGGTAGAAGGTGTGTGTCCTTCCTATTCTCTTAAAATCATGCATCTATAGTAAAAGCAAAACAGAACAAAACCTGTTATTACATAAGCTTGAATATAGACTTTCAGCTGAAGGTAATACATGACTACAGAGGAATCCAACAGGTAATGCATATGAATTTCCACAAATATTGCCCTGATCTTTAAAATAAATACCTGCTTGAGCCTGCTTTGCCAATCAGTTTTACGAGGTGACCTACCCTATTGGACAAGGGATTTCCAAAGCCTATAGGAAGGAAAGCAGTTGGCCCCTGCCAAGAACTGTTGGTACTGTCAGTACTGGATTTGGTTAGAATTCAGCTCAATAATCATTTTAACCCTTCCTGTGTATAAGACACTGGGAAGTCCAAAGATAAATAAAACACACTCTGTTCTTTAGAAGCTTATATGTATTGTAATATGGGAGAGGAGATAGATATATATATATATATTGAACTTCTATTATAAAATAGAATATGTTTCAGTCATAGAACAGGCAGAAACCAAATGCTGTAAGACATTCAAGGAGAGGAAAAAAAGGCATCTGTCTACCCAGGGAAAGTAAGGAAAGCCAGGACATGGCATTATAGTTGAGCCTTAAAGGTTAGGTCAGATATCAATATTCAGATATTTGGAGCCAGAAATGACAGGGGGAAGAAGGTATCTCGTGAGTAGGGGTAGCTAGAAATGCAGAGAAGTAGAAGAGGGATGGGTTGAATCTTAAGAAATAGTGAAAATCCCAGTGATGAAATAGGCAAAACTGAGTTTAACCTGATAGGAGCTACAAGACAGTAATAGTAGCTAACATTTATGACATACTTTAAGATTTATAGTGCTTTGCATATATGATCTCATTTGAGCTTCACAACCACCACATTAAGGTAAATGCGGTTATCTCCATTTTATAGATGGGAAAACTGAGACTAAGACAGATTAACTGATTTGTCCATGGTCATACAACTAATAAGCATCTGAGGCAAGATTTGAATTTGGCTCTTCCTGATTCCAAGTCCAGTGCTCCATCCACTGCACCATCTTACTAGCAAGATTCCAATTAAGAGCTGTTAAAAAGTCCTCCCTCGTTTTTAGAGTCGTCTATGCAAAGCCCCAAGACATGCCAAAATTTAGAAAGACACGGAGTTTTGTCAGAACTGTATGACTTCCTTTACAAAAGGAGATTTTTTTTTTTCTGTTGGAATTCCCCATGTCCATTTGTTTTCCCAGACTTCGGCCCAGCAGGCTCTGATGGGAACAATTAATACGAGCATGCATGCGGTTCAGCAAGCTCAGGCGGACCTCAGTGAAGTTGATAACCTACCACCTCTCGGGCAAGATATGGTGAGTGTTTTCTATAAGTCTTTCAGCACGTCTCATATCCAGCAGAAGGCCAGATAATTTATCATATGTGAAACTTGGCACTGGAAAAGATTCTGGTTTGGAACCTGTTATTTAGTCATTGTTTCTTAGCTGAACCCTCAGGAACAGATACAATTTTATGGGTAAATGGAATCCTGAGATTTCAGGATTATACGGTGTCAGAGCTGGAAAGGACTTTAACGCCCAGCTAGTCCAACCCTGTCACTTAATAGAAAGGAAACTGAGGCCCAGGTAGTTGAGATGATATATCCAACATCACACCAGACCATCTCACCTCTCTGCCTAGTGATCTCTAGTGGCTTCCTGTTACTTCCAGATCAATTATAAATTTTTCTGTTTGGCAGTTAAAACTCTGTATGACTTGGTCCCTCCCTAAATTTCCTACATCCTTACACCCTATTCCCCTCACACACTCTATAATCCAGCTACATTGTCCTTTTTGTAGCTTCTCAAACAAAGCACTGCATTTCCTAGAGTGCCTTTTCATCAGGACTATCTCCTACCTAGCCTGTTCTTTTCCCTCATTTGCTGCCTGTTAATTTTCCCATGTTCCTTCAAGTCTCATTTTAAATTCTGCTTTATGCAATTAGCCTTTGTTACTGCCATCCTAGCCGATAATGTCTTTCAAATTAACTTCCATCTACTCTGTGTGTGTGTGTGTGTGTGTGTGTGTGTGTTTTCGTGCTGGCTCATCCATTAGAATGTAAACTCCTAGAGGGGAGAGTTTTGTTTTGTTTTGTTTTGTTTTGACCGTTTTTGTACCCTTAGCACTTAGCCACGGTGCCTGACACATAGTCAGTATTTAATAAATGCTTGTTGCCTGACTGATTAGAAAATTAGTAATTGTCAGACAGGGATAGAACCCAGATTTCCTGAATCCAAGTTTAGTGCCCTTTCCAGTTTATTATATTGTGTGATGGTGATAGCCTTGGGGACCATAGTAGAAACAAAACTTCAGTAGGCGTAAGCAATGAGTGCTACTTGAGCTCCTATACATCATTTGGGATATTTGTATATTGATATCATGAAAATGCTGTTTGGATCTCTTTAACATTAATTGGCACTGCAGTCAGCTACACAAGATGGGGCTAGCTAGCAGTAGACATTCAGTGATGTTCTTAAGCCAAGAAAAATACTCTTCTGATTCTGGTTATCTGTCCTGTTGCCTTTAGTTCTAGGTCATTAGGGTACCATAACTTATTGACATTTTACTTTTTGGACTATGATGGCTTTAGATCTAGCATGACTGGAGAATAGCGTCTTCTCAGATATTCTGAATAGAGAACCATTACTTTCGTCATCAGATTTCAAATAATTACAAGCAGATTTCCTAGTAGACCCATATCACACCTACTGTAATCTCACTCTGATGTAATCACAAATTACAAGGAAGATTAGAAGACACTTCAAGATCTTACTGGGCCTCAGGAGCACCATTCCGATGTTCACTTCCCATATATAGTAAAACACGGAAGAGACAATTTAATATAAATTTCCAATATCTTCGGGTCTTAAAATTTAAGAATTGGCATGGACCTTAAAATGCATCTAGTCCCCTTTCCTTTCTTTTATTGAGTAGAAGCTCAAGCCTGGAAGGATGAAATTATTTTTCTGAAGGTCATTCTATTAGCTAATGACATGGATAAGACTAGAATAACCAAGGTTTTTTCTAAATGTCAGGTAGGGGAGAATCTACAATATCTACTCATGTATATCATTTGTAATATAGTGGAGAGAACCCCAGAGTAAGGAAGACATGGCTTCAGTCCCTGTCACTGACACATTCTGGCTCCATGATCATGAGTGAGTGAACTGACCTCTCTGTATCTCTGACAAATCTAGAAGTCTACAGTTTCCAGAAGAGTTGCCCATCTCCATCACTGGAGGGAGTTTTCACCCCGGGAGTTCCCTATACCAATGAAATCACAGATCCAGAACTAAAAAACACTTGTTTTATTTGCTACAGCTATTGCATCTAAATAGATTCAAATTTCTAGAAAGGTAGCCCTTGTCCTGAGAAGAGAACACTGGTAAACTGCACAAACCTACAGAACAGAAAAGGGAATGACTACTGACTGATATTGTCAATGTCATGAAGCCAAATAGCTTTTTTTTTTTCCCCACTAGGTTCAGGACTTAAACTTGATCTGACTGAATAAGGTCATCAGGCCTTTCACTGCAGGGATTTTTAAAGTAAAGAGAGTAGTAGTAATGGTTTTTAATGAAACAACCAGGAAAACAAAAAAGACTTTGGATTTTGCTTTGTTTTAGATCAGATACGTTGGCTCCTGTCTTTTGAGGGCAGGTTCTTTTGTTCCTCCTTTAATTTGGCATGTAATTGACATTCTTTTGGGTGATTTTCTTATTTTGCAGGCCTCTAGGATGTGGGTTCAGAACAAAGTCGATGAATCAAAACATGAAATCCACTCTCAGGTTGATGCTATCACGGCTGGAACAGCTTCAGTTGTTAACCTCACAGCTGGTGAGTCACTGGGATAGAGATTTGTGGAGTGCTAGAGTGTTTCCCCCATTGCCCTTTAATTGAAAAAACAGATTTCCATAATATGGGGGGAACTGTCTATATTTATACATTGCCAGATTTGCTTCAACCCACTCACTTTCTCCAGTAGGACCCTGGAGATCTTGAAAAAAGACTTGGTCCCATTTCAACCACATCATACATTATGTGAAAGCACATAAAAACCCCTTTTTCCCCATGGCAATATGCTAAACATTGTATAAAGTATGTTAATTCAGGATCTCCCCTCTTAGTGCTTATAGCTCTCAAGAGGGAGAGTTAGTTATACCATGGATGGATCCAACTTCTCTCCCTTTCTCTGAAGCATAAAGTAACACTGTCTTTAAGGGCAAAAGTTATTAGAGAATCAGACCTTGTCCTATCAGAGAAGTGAAAAGGAAACTGACCCAGAAAATCTGCTTTCCATCATGCAGGTCTCATTTACATTATATTATGTTTAAAGCAGTAAGAGTTAAACTCCCTACGCACCAGATGGGGCCATAACCACAAATGCCATAAAGTGTTGAAATTCCCTTTGGTGATTTAAAAGTTATTTTATTTAAGCAGTGAGTGACTAAGAAGGCCATCCAGATGGACTGTCTTTCTTAAATGTACTTTCAGTGATAAGGAGTTAATACTATCACTGCCATATGCCTCTACCTCTTTTTCTTCACAATGCCATACAAGCAAATCCCTTTTCCATGAAACTCATCCTAATCCTTCCACCTGTTAGGACCCTCCTTCACATTCTTCTTTGTAGTTATTCTCTTCATATTTTTTCTGCATATGTTTTATCATTTTACCTTCCCGTTATCTGTATTTTATCTTCCCATCCAATGTCAGCACCTTCACAATAGGAATTCTTCCCTTTCTTTTGTGTTTGTAATTCTGGTGTCTAATCCAGTTAAGTGGCCAATGGTAAGCACTCAATAAATGTTCTTTTATTGATTGAGCTTCAAAAAAATCAATGAAAAAGCTTTGTTAAGTATCTGCTAAGGCATTGTGCTGAATTGTAGGGGTGCAGATAAAAAATGAAAGTCCTTCAAGGAATTTATGCTATATTAGAAGAAACAACATGTGTATATTTGTATGCACATACACACATATAAATATGTATGTATGCCTATAGAGATGTGTGTGTGTGTATTAAAATAAATACAAGATAATATCAAGAGGAGGGGTTACTACAACTGGGATCTGTATGTACTTTTTGTAGAATAAAACTTGAGCTTTGTAAGAAGCCTGGAATTCCAGGAGGCAAAGATGTGGAAGGAGTGCATCCCAAGCATGAGGTATACCTTGCAAGGGCAGGGGTGGAACACCAAGAAGACCAGTTTGACTAGACCATAGAGTGTGTGAAGGAAGGCGAAGAACGTGTAATAAGCTTGAGGAGGTTCACTGTGTTAGGTTGGCCTTGGCGGTCCAGATGTGTAATAAGATTGATTTGTCTGTTTTGTTCCTTTATTTTTGGCAGTTAACCAGGAGACCAAAACAGGTTACATAGAGTTGTTCCTACCCTCAGGTTGTTAGCATCCAACCAACCTGCTGTCCCTTTCTCCTTTTTCTGCCTCAGGTGACCCTGCAGACACAGATTATACCGCTGTGGGCTGTGCAATCACAACCATCTCTTCCAACTTGACGGAAATGTCCAAGGGTGTGAAGCTCCTGGCAGCCCTCATGGATGACGATGTGGGCAGTGGAGAAGACCTACTGAGAGCTGCTCGGACGTTAGCTGGGGCAGTGTCAGATTTGTTAAAGGCTGTGCAGCCCATTTCTGGAGAGGTAAACGTTTGAATAAAGGGTTGTGTGAAGAGGATGGCATCCTTTGAGGAGATAACTTTTGCTCTTTGGCCCCTTGTTTTGTCCACTCAGAGGACTTGGATGCAAATCCCACCTCTGACATTACTTGTGGGATCTTGTGAAATATCTTCCTCTCCCTGGGCCTCAATTTCCTATTTGCAAAAAAGAGGAAATTGAATTAGATTGCCTTTAAGATCCCTCCCATTTCTAGATCTATGATCTTGTAAGTTTCACTTTTATTGGATATCTTAGGCACTTCATAGTAGAGTTTTGCAAATTAATGAAGAAATGGTGGAGATTTTGAGAGTGAGTTTTTTTTAGTTTTGTGGAATTGAGCTAGTTCTCTTGGGCTACTAATTTTGCATTAAGTGACTTGGAAGGAGTACTTTGCTAAGATATAGCCCCACTGATCTCCAAAAGGCACCAAACATTTAAAGGTTTAAGCACTTTGGACCCTTATTTACTTGAAGTGAGCACTACTTTGTTAACTGGGCCTTGCCCATCTTGTGAAAATTTTAACTCCATTTATTCACATCAGTGGTTTTCCATCCTGGTCTATAAGATCTATAAGTTCTTTAGATAGAACCAATGACTGTATTACCTATTCTTCTTGCGTTCTGTACTAACTTTAGACATTTATATTCAGATCTTTGGGGAAATCCTGCCAGTTCCCCTATGTCTGAAAGAATCTGTATCTGCCATAACTGGGGTTTTTTGGTGAATGACTGTTCTTTTCCAACTGAAAGTTGTTTTGTTGTTGTTTTTTAAAAAATTATAGCCTCGACAGACTGTGTTGACTGCCGCCGGAAGTATTGGTCAAGCCAGCGGGGATCTTTTGAGACAGATTGGAGAGAATGAAACAGATGAGCGATTCCAAGTAAGAATTAAGTTCAAATTCTCACCAGAATCAGAAGCCTTAATTCCCTTCAAACCCCAACCCCCCCCCCCAAATAAAAGCCTAAGTAGCAATGCGTACAAGAACAAGATGAGGTAACAAAACTGAAGCTCACTTCCCCCCCCACCCCCCCTGCCTCAGAGTTAAAGCAAAGACTAGAAGACTGAGAGTGTTTGTATCATTTTGAGACCAGGCCAAGGAACTTTTTAGTCACTTATGTGTTTGTTGATTTCTGTTTAAACTGGCTCAAAAAAGAAAGTTCTTTATGCAAAGTTCAATATTATTCTTAGGTACCACTCAGGACCTGGTTTCCCTTTTGCCTTCCCTGTCCTCTCTCTTTGACAAACCACCTTCTCCTTGAGGTGATCCTGCAGACATTGACCACAAAGCTGTGGGATGAAGTTCACTGTCCTTGTCTTGGACACATGTGTGTCTGTGAGGGTATGCGTCTTTGATATTGTGATGGCCTCCTAATCTTCTCAGTAAGGCTATTATTTCTAGTAGTTCAGTTTTTATCCTATTTCTTGTAGATGAATGAACACACACACACACACACACACACACACACACTCACACTCACACTCACAGAATTAGAGAGTTGGGACAAACATCAGTATCTATCTTTCTGTGTTGTTGTTATTGTTCAGTCATTTCAGTTGTGTCCGACTGCTCATGACCCCATTTGGGGTTTTCTTAGCAAAGATACTGGAATGGTTTGCCATTTCCTTCTCCAGCTCTTTTTATAGATGAAGAACTGAGGTAAACAGGGGTAACTTGCCCAAGGACACATGGCTAGTAAGTGTCTGAAGCCAGATTTGAACTTAGGAAGGTGAGTCTTGCTGACTCCAAGCCCAGTACTCTATGCACTATGGCGCCACTTAGCTACCCCGGTATTTATCTAGTCCAACCCACATGCAAAAGGAATTCCAACTATGCTATACCCAGTGAGTGAACATCCATGCATAGCATGGTACAGTGTAAAGAGAACTGAATTAGGAGTTAGAGGACTTGTGTTGAAACTCTTCCTTTACTACCTGTGGACAAATCACTGTGGGCCTCATCTACAAAATGAGGATGGGTGCTCTAGGCAACTTCTAAGATCCCTTTGAAGCTCTAACTTTATGTTCCTGTCCACTTACACACATGTATGTATGTACACACACACAAACACACACACACACACACACACACAGAGAACTAGGTGGTGCAGTGGATAGAATGTTGGACTCAGAGTAAGGAAGACTTGAATTCAAATCTAGCCTTAGAGGCTTGACTAGCTGTGTAACCCAGGACAAATCATTTAACCCCTGTCTACCTCAATTTCTTCATAAAATGGGCCTGCCTCTTAGGGTTGTTACAAGATAGCATTTATAAAGTGCTTTGCCAACTTTCAGCATGATATAAATTCTTGCTGTTAGCTATCATTATTATATTTATGCATACATATGCATATGCTTTAAATCTGTCCTTTGTATTTAGAGCAACCTCATGATTATGCACTGTCCAACTCTAGAAGTATACCTAAAATAAAAGCAGGTGTGTAACCCTTTCCTTACCAATGATGTGACGTACCCACTAGTGAGCAGCTCCAGGCTCTATTTGCAGCCTGCCTGACCTACTGACAATGTCACTATTTTGAAGCCCTGAAAGCAGGCTGCTGTTTGCTTTTCTGCCTCCCCGTTATATTTAATGGGAGGGAATAAGGAACACGACTTAAGTGGGCTACCGATAGGAAGAGACCCTCCCTTGGAAAACTTCTCGTCTTCTACAAATCAGGAAACCTGGTCACCTTTGCTGGGTGTTGGGAGAAATAAAGGAAAACACCTGGCCCTGAAACCCAATGCCAACATTCGCTGGATTATGGACAAAGCAAGGGAGTTACAGAAAAAGATCTGCTTATGCTTCATTGACTACACTAGAGCCTTTGTGTGGATCACAACAAAACGTGGCCGGTCCTCAAAGAGATGGGAGTACCAGATCGTCTTATGTCTCCTGAGGAACGTGTGTGTGGGCCAAGAAGCAACTGTTAGAACCGAACATGGAACAACTGATTGGTTTAAGATTGGAAAAGGAGTATGACCAGGCTGTATGGTGTCACCTTATTTATTTAACTTACATGCAGAGTACATCCTGTTAAATATCAGGCTGGATGAATCAAAATCTGGAGTTGAGGTTGCTGGGAGAAATATCATCAATTTCAGATATGTAGACAATACCACTCTGATGGCAGAAAGTGAAGCGGAATTAAGAAGCTTCTTGATGAGGATGAAAGAACAGAATGTAAAAGCTGACCTGAAGCTGAACATCAAAAACACTAAGATCTTGGCAACTGGACCCATCACTTCCTGGCAACAGAGGAAAAGGAAATGGAAGCAGTGTCACATTTTATATTCTTAGGGTCAAAGATCACTGCAGACAGTGACCACAGCCATGAAATTAAAAGATGCTTGCTCCTTGGTAGGAAAGCTACAGCAAATCTGGACAGCCTCCTAAAAAGCAGAGGTATCACCCTGCTGACAAAGGTCTGTGTAGTCAAAGCTGTGGTTTTCCCAGTAGCAATGTGTGACTGAGAGTTGGACCATAAGGAAAACTGAGTGTTGCAGAATCGACGCATTAGAATTGTGGTGCTGGAGAAGATTTTTGAGAGCCCGTTGAATAGGAAGGAAATCAAATCAGTGAATACTCGAAGAAATTAGTTCAGACTATTGACTTCCAATACGGAAGCTGAAGCCTAAATACTTTGGCCACATAATGAGAAGATAGGATTCATTAGAAAAGACCCTGATGTGGGGAAAAATTGAAGGGAAAGGGAAAAGGGACAGCAATGACAGATAGTCTAATAGAAACATGAACAGGAACTTAGACTTTAAGTGACAGCAGCGGATAGAAGGGCCTGATGTGCTGTGATCCATGGGGTCATGAAGAATCAGACATGATGGAACAACAAGAAAAACCCAGTGCCCCCAGCAGATAGGCACCTGTTCCTTTAATCCAGTTTTCACTTTTTGAGAATAGAACCACATTCTCTGTGGTTGACTACTTTAGAATTACAAATTTGTGTTCTGTAGGGCAGACAAGAAAGTTAAATAGATAAGGAGTTGGGTTGCAAATTTACTGGTACTTAAATGAGTCAGATCTATTACCTTTCTTCTCCTAAAAATGTCCTCTTTAAACTCTCTGTGGGTATTTTAATATTGAGTAGATTATACAAAATATCTCTAAAGATTCAAGTTGAAGTCAAAAATTCTTCTAATCCTTTGAGTCAGCTATAGTAGCTTATATAGTGTTAATTAATGGAACTTACTATTCATGAACCTTAGCTCTTTAAAGTACTTGTCATTTAATACTGAATTTTGTTATTTGCATGCAGCAATGCTATGAACTCCATTGAACAATTAAAAAAAAAACAGCCTTGACTCTGTTGCTGTTTTCTCCTTTGTAAAATGAGTCATTAGTCTCCATTAGCAGTTCTCAAACTGTTTAGTCTCAAGACTGTATCATGATACTCTTAGAAACTATTGATACCAGATAATTTTTGTCTGTGTGAGTTATGTCTGCTGATCTTTATGAAATTAGAAATTAAAACATCTTTGTATTATTTTGAAAATAGTTTTGATCTCATGAGCCCTTCGTAAGGGCTTTGGGGACTTCCCTCCCCTCCAGTTTCCCTGCTCCACATTTTGAGAAACTACTGACCTAAATAATCTATATAAAGTTCCTTCCAACTGTCACATTGGTTCTAAAAATGTAACATTCAGAGGGATTTCCTTGAGAAATATAGAAGAGACATATAAATGAGGAGTGGGAATGGAGTCCCCAGTCACAGAGAAGTACTGAGCAAATGTTGACAATGCTTTTACCCTACCTACTCTCCACAGAATTTGCCTTCAGGTTTCAGTACAAAATGCTTTATTTTCCATTGATAGTCCTGTATGAAGCAGCACAGTGGACTGAGCACTGGCCTGGAGTCAGGAAGACCCGAGTTCAAATCTTGCCTAAGACACTAGCTATATTACCCTGCTGCTTAACCACTCTTTGCTTCAGTTTCCTTAACTGTATGGTGGGCATAATAATAGCATCTGCCTTGCAGTGTTGTTGCAAGGATCAAATAAGATAATATTTGTAGAAAGCACTCAGCCCTGTGCCTGGAACATAGTAAGCACTATATAAATGCTTATTCTTTTTCTTTCCCTATCTTCCTATCTATATTAAACATTCAGAAAAACCCCAAGCCACCAGGAACCTAGCCCAAGAGGGCAGCCTGAGGCTTTCCCAGTGGGTCCAACATGGTACAAGTCATCTGAGGGCATCCCCAAAGCCCGGCCAATCAGTAAGCATTTATTAAGCGCCTGTTAAGTGTGTAGCCCTGTGCTAAGCACTGGGGATAGAGAGAAAGGCAAAATACAGTCCCTACTGTCAGAGAGCCCACAGTCTAATGGGGAAACATCCTGAAAACATGTACAAAGAAGCCATTTCTTATTGTTGTTCACTTGTTTCAGTCATGTTTGACTCTTTGTGACCTCATTTGGGGTTTTCTTGGCAATGATGCTGGAGTGATTTGCCATTTCCTTCTCCAGCTCATTTGACAGATGAGGAAACTGAGGCAAACAGGGTTAAGTGACTTACCCAGGGTCACACAGCTAGGAAGTGTCTGAGGCCAGATTTGACCTCAGGGTGATGAGGCTTCCAGACACGGAGCCCAACTCTCTATCCAGTATCCAATATGATGCCACCTAGCTACCCTGAAACCAAACATAGACGGGATAAATTTGAGATAATCAGTCAACAGAGAGGAAGCACTAGCATTAAGGAGGATCAGGAGAGGCTTTTTAGAGAAGGTGGCATTTTAGCTGATTCTTGAAGGAAGCCAGGAGGCAGAGATAGAAGGGAGTTCTAGGCATAGTAGATAGCCACTGAAAATGCCCAGAGTTGGGAGTTGGAGTATCTTGTGTAATGAACAGCACACAGGCCAGTGTCATACATGAGTGTAGTTATAACATGGAGTAAGACTGGAGCGCACGGGAGGGCAGGTTACAAAGGGCCTTGAATGTCAAATAAGATTTTATATTTGATCCTCAAGGTGATAGGGAGTCCCGGGAGTTATCTGAATGGGATGTGTGTTGGAGGGGTGGCATTGTCAGACTTGCCCTTTAGAAAGGTCAATTAATAGCTGAATGGAAGATAGACTTAAATGGGGATACTCTTGAGACAGGCAGACTTACAAGCAGCTACTGCAGTAGTCTGGGCATGAGGTGATATGGGCCTTCACCAGGGTTGTGTCAGTGTCAAAAGAGAGAAGTGGGTATGTATGAGAGCCCAGGGAGACAGGAATGTGGCTAAAGAGAGAACAGATCCAGGGAGTTCCAGGCAGGATCCAGTGAGGCTGAAGAAAGGCCCTGCACGAAATCCAGCCCATGCATGGATCTACAGACTAAGGCACGAGCCCAGCATGGCAGTACCCCCTGAGCCCAGCCACAACCTGGAAGCTACAGCATGTGGAAAAAGGAAACTCAAAGCCCTTTGACAAAGGGGAGCCTCCAGGAAGAGCTCAGCAGAGTTTAAGCCCCAGAGTCCCTGAAAAGAGGGGCCTGTTCTCTCTCATCCACCATGCTGGGGACCAGGCATTCAGTTGCAGAGGCTGACTAAGCCAGGCCCCACAATCTAGTTACTGAGGTGGATAAGATGAACAAACAAAGAAAAACCCTGATACTATGAATAAATACCTTGGTTTGAGACACACCCAGAGGATAAACCCCAAGGAGAATAGCAACCCCATTGGACGTCCAGGAATCGTCAGAGAAAAAAAAATGATCTGATCACCGAGACTATAAGAGTACCTGGAAAAATGAAACTGAGGAAACAGAATGGAAACATTAGGGAAGAAAGAATAGAAAGGAAAAGTAGGAAAAATGGACAACTTAGAATAGAACCTCACCCAAGAACTGAATGTCCTCAAATGGGCTAAATAGAAGACAATGACACAGTAAAGTAACAAGAAATATTTCAAAAGATGGGGGGGGGGAGAAAATGTAAGAAATATTACATTTAAAGATACTGGGTCTTCCGCCCTGCCCCCCCCAAAAAAACCCCCACTGATTTTAGAGTACTTTTCGTTATCAGATGAGCTAATAAAGACCTCTGTTCCCGGTTTTCTCCAGGGAAGGGAATGCCTTGACATTCTTATTTAAAATAAAAATGGCTTGTCTATTTTGGACCAGCATTTCTAAATGAAATTGAGTTATATCATTACTCTTCCCTCAGAGCCTCCCCTTTCCCCAAATTCCCTATTTCTCTGGAGGGGCCCCCATCCTTTCAGTCCCCCAGGTTGCAGTCTCAGGGTCATTCTCTCACGGCACACATCAAATCAATTGCCAAGTCTTATCTGTTTTATCTCCATAGCAATCTCCTTCTGTCCATTCACAGTCACAATCTAGTTGAGGCCCACTCATCTGGAATATTGGAACAGTCTCCCAATTGATCTTCCTGCCTCGAGTCTTAGCTCTCTTCTATTAGTTCTCTACACAGCTGCCAAAGTGATATTCCCAAAGTGCAGGTTTGACCGTCTCACTCCCCTGCTCCATAAACTGTAGTGGCTTTTTATTACCTCTAGAATCAAATACAAATTCGTCGATTTGGCTTTCAAAGACTTCACAACCTGTCTCCAATCTTCTTTTCCAGCCTTATGTATTACTCTCCTCAAATGACCCCATCCAGCAAAATTGACTTTCTTGCTGTTTCTAATATATAGAATTCCATCTCTCATCTAGAATGTGTTTCCTTTGAAAAAAAAAGTTCTCTTTTTTTTAAAACTTCAGACTTAACAATCACAAAACAAAACCACCATTTCCATATACAAAGTAGAGTAGAGAAAGAGGATTGTATGTGAAACTTTGACTCTATTAAATAAAGCTTCATTTTATTTTTCCCAAATTACATGTTAAAACAATCTTTTAACTTTTTTTTTAAGTTTTGAACTCCAAATTCTCTCTCTTTTCCCTCTCTCCCTGAGACTGTAAGCAATCAGATATAGGTTATACATGTAGCTTCCTTTTATTTTTAAGTAATAGTAAGTTCTACTTATAACTTTAAAAATTATGCCTCTTAAATGTGTTTCTTTCTGGCATCTCTTTTGTTCTGTTGTGTTTTTTTTTGAAATGGTTCTGGGATCCTCTTCTCTTTTTGTTGGAGGTGGGGTGGAAGAAAAGTAGTTACAACCTATCCCTTGTGCCCCATCTCTTCCTCACATTCAGAAAAGTCAAAATAAAACTCCTGCAATAAATATGCATTTGTCAAGCAAAGCAAATGATCATGTTACCTGTATCTGAAAATCTTTTTTTTTCCTTTCTGTACCTTAAATCCACCAGCTCTCTGTTAGGTAGCAGGTCGCACACTTCCCCAGTCAGTCCCATGGAATCACATTTGGTCATTGCATTGAGCAAAGTTCTTAAGTCTTTCAGAGTTGCCCATCTTTAACCTGGTTCTCCTGTGGCTTCATTCTGTAGAACCTCATGGAAAAATGTGCATTTTTCCAGGTCTCCTAGAAACCATCCACTTAGCCATTCCTTGTGGGGAAGTGCACTCCCTCCTGAACTGCACCTTTTAGAATTCCTAGTTTCTTTCAGATCTCAGTTCAAACACCAACTCCGTAATGAGATTTTTTTTATTTTCCCGGGATTGGTAGTGCCTCAGTTTGAAAGTTGCCTTGTATTTCTGTGTGTTTACCGGTGTGTTCCAGTAGTCTGTCTCAAAAGAATGTAAACTCCTTGAGGTCTGAGACTACTCATTTTGCTTTTCCTCTGTTTTCCTAATGCCTAGCAGGGTAGCTTGCACATAGTAGGTACAAACAATAAATGCACATGATACTTTTCTTGCACATAGTAGGTACAAACGATAAATGCACATGGTACCTTCCTTGCACATAGTAGGTACAAACAGGAAATGCACATGGTACCTTCCTTGCACATAGTAGGTACAAGCAGGCTCTTAAAAATCAAGGAAAATAAAACAAACCTAGAATATCAGCAAAGTAGACAGATGGGTGACATATCCAGTTAAAGAAGTGAAATTGCTCCTTTTTCCACAAATGTAATACCCATTTCATTGTATGTCAACAAGACAAGGTCTAACTATATACACTATATCCTTTGCCAAGTGTTTCCTATTTCATGAGAGTTCACAGCTCTCTCCCTCTTTAGCCAGAAGGTGAAGGAACAAGTCTTCTAGTTTCTAGTTTAAAAAAAAAACTTTTCAAATTTCCATCATATTTGATTCCTATCAAACATATCCCAGAAGATATGACTAACTTTAAGATGAACTGATTCCTTAGAATCTATATTTAACTTCCTCTGGGTGTTTGGTATTGTCCTTTTCATACTTTACTGATAAGAACTTCAACTGTTTGGAAAAGCAGTTGTCTAAAAAGATAATTTTTTCCATATTACAGTGAAAATATTCACCTGGCGTGGACAAATATTGTAGATGGCATTTGTGAAATTTGGTTGTATTTCCAAGTTTATTTTTACTTGCCATCAGAGGCAACATAAAAAAGAGCCTTAGCCCAAGAATCAGAAGAACTGAGTTCAAGGCTTAAATTTTCTGCTCTCTGTTTGATTTTGAATAATTCACATGATCTCTCCTGGCCTCAGTTTCCTTCCTCATCTAGAAAGTGGCAGTATTGGACTAAATAGGTGTTTATTAATTCAGGAGAAATATTTCCTGGTCCACAGTTATGAGCATTTAATAAAGGTTTTTATCTATCTCTTAACAACACTTTCACTCCTCAAAACGTTCATTTTTAAAGAAATTATTTTAACCTGAAAAGGTGTAATCTTTAAAATTTTTACCTGTGATCTGCTTGTCTCCCACCCTAACCCTGTCTTCTATCACCTGACTCTTGAGCCACTGAAAGTCAGTATTTTGAGACTGCTGAGCAGACAGTGCTTCCCTGAATAGAATTTAAATATTTACCATCCACAATATCATTTGGGTTAGGAAATCCTGAACTGATTTGATTCTGATTTAATTTCTCAAGTCCCTTCTTACTATAACATTCTGCCATTTTATTTACAGAGTATCTTGGAAAAATGGTAAAAAAAAAAAATTTAAATTAAATTAAGGGCTTAATTCTGAAAGTCTGGTGCATGTGAACCAGTTATTAAAATGGCAACCCTTTCCCCAAAATTGATTTATTTCAGGTTACTTATTGGATAAGAAAAATAATATGATGTCAGGATTGCAAGTCGTCCTGTTTTTTATGATTGCTTTCTCTTTATTTAAAAAAAAAAGCATATTTATGAAAGACTCTTTTAAGCACCCAAGTAAATCTCTCATTTTATTCCTGGACTAAGGGAGGAAGTAAAGGAAAAATATGATTCCTTATTGTTTGCTTTTTTTTTGCAGGATGTGCTAATGAGTTTAGCCAAAGCCGTCGCTAATGCTGCTGCCATGCTGGTGCTGAAAGCGAAGAATGTTGCCCAGGTGGCGGAGGACACGGTTCTGCAGAACAGAGTAATCGCCGCAGCTACCCAGTGTGCTCTCTCCACCTCCCAGCTGGTGGCATGTGCTAAGGTAGGGGTATGTTTGCCTGTGGGGTTCCTATTCTTGTGGCTACTGAGGACTGTGCTGATTTTTGTTCGGGATGTTTTCAAGTGTCTCCAGGTGGCTTTGGTGGAGTTGCAACCCAGCCACATGGTCCTTTTTATATCCCCTGCAATCTGTGACTAGTGCACTGACCCTTAGAGAGTTGGTACTTTTCTTTGGTGTCCTAAGGCAACTAGGTGACTCAGTGGATTAGAGCACTGGGCTTGGAATCAGGAAAAGACTCATCTTTATGAGTTCAGGTCAGGCCTCAAACACTAGCAGTGTGACCTTTAACCCTGTTTGCCTCAGTTTCATTATCTGTAAAATGAGCTGGAGAAGGAAATGGTAAACCATGACAGTATCTTTGCTAAGAAAACCTAAAGGAGGTCATGAAGCATCGGACACAGTTTAACTCAATAACAACGAAAATATTTGCTCATATACCAGCTTTTATAAACCTGACAGTTTTCCAAGTTGGAGTTCTTGTTCTTTCTTTCAATTCTGTTCAAAAAAGATTTCTGAGTTGTGTAACTCACTCTTGTAAAGGTGTGGGTAGTCTCAAGTAGCCATCTCATAGTTAACAATGTCGTTGTGATGCTATCCAGGAACATGAGTTTCTTAAAGAAGTTAAATAGGGGACTCACTGGACAGAGCTTCACAGCCTTATTTGTAATAAAAGCCTTAACTTAAAAACCCCAAATTAAATACCAAATTAGAAATACTGAAAACTAAAGGAGAGATTAATAAAATTGAAATTAAGAAAACTACTAAACTAATAAATAAAACTGAGAGCTGGTTTTATGAAAAAAAAAGATAAACCTTTGGTTAATTTAATTTAAAAAAGGAAAGAAGAAAACCAGATTACCAGTATCAAAAATGAAAAGGGTGAATCTAGTGAAGAAGAAATTAAAACAATAATTAGAAGTTATTTTGCCAAACTGTATGCCAATAAATTTGAGAATCTTAGTGAAATGGATGAATATTTACAAAAATATAAATTCTCCAGATTAACAGAAGAGGAAGTAAAATACTTAAATAACCCCATCTCAGAAAAAGAAATTGAACAAGCCATCAATGAACTTCCTAGGAAAAAATCTCAAGGGCCAGATGGATTTACAAGTGAATTCTATCAAACATTTAAAGAACAATTAATTCCAATACTACATAGGCTATTTGGGAAAGTAGGCAAAGAAGGAGTCCTACCAAATTCTTTTTAGGATACAAATATGGTGCTGATACCTAAACTGAGTCAAAACAAAGAAGGAAAATTATAGACCAATTTCCCTAATGAATATAGATGCAAAATTTTTAATAAAATATTAGTATAAAGATTACAGCAACTTATCACAAGAATAATACACTATGACCAGGTAGGATCTATACCAGGAATTGCAGGGCTGTTTCAGTATTGGGAAAACTATCAGCATAATTGACCACATCAACAACAAAACTAACAGAAACCAAATGACTGTCTCAATAGATGCAGAAAAAACTTTTGACAAAATGCAACCCCCATTCCTATTAAGAACACTAGAGAGCATGGGAAAAAATGGAGTCTTCCTTAAAATGATAAGTAGCATCCACCTAAAACCTTCAGCAAGCATTATATGTAATGGGGATAAGGTAGAAGAAAAGCCTTGACTTATTATTGTTGCTTTTGGGGGTAGGGGTCAAAGGATCTCAGAGCTGGGACAAGTTAACCAAGAATTAATTGCTAGGGACCTGTGTAGTCTTCCTAACTTTACCTTCCTCTCACTGTTAAGGAAGGAAAGCATCTTGGAGTAGTGGATCGACAGCTGGCCTCAAAGCCAGGAGGACTTGAATTCAATCAAGTCTCACCTCTAAATCATCCTGGCTGTTTCATCCTGAGCAAGTCCCTTAGCCTCTCAGTACTCTAGGCCTGTGGGTGTCAAATTCAAGTAGAAACTGATCCCTGCAGGCCATGCATTGACTTAGAAAACCACCAATTAACATTATCTATGTCATATCATATTTTTATTTTATTAAACATTTCCCAAATACATTTCAGTCTGGTTTAGGACAGCGTTTTTGAAGGTTGGCAGTTTGACACCTGTGCTCTAGGCAGTTTTCTAAGACTGTAAATTGCAGGTACCAGCCTGCTTTGGCAGAAGGAATTTGCTCCCCTAGGAGTCAGAATCACAGTTCTGATCCCTATTCCTATCTCCCTCTAGTGAATATGAAAAAACAATGGTTTATACCATTGATGATCTACACGATCATTTTGGTAAGCTCTGTGAGATATAACTCTAACTTTTGGGGGGAAGAAGAGAACCTTAGGACGTGTTATTTTGTTCATTCGTATCTGACTTTTTATGACCCCATAGACCATAGCATGCCAGTACTATCCATGGGGTTTTCTTAGCAAAGGTACTAGAGTGGTTTGCTATTTCCTTCTCCAGTGGATTAAGGCAAACAGAGGTTCAGTGACTTGCCCAGAGTCACATGGCAAGTAGGGTCAGAGACTAGATTTGAATTCAGATCTTCCTGACTCTAGGCCCAGCTTTTTATCCACTGAATCATCTAGTTGTCTAGCTTGGGACTAGTTTTTTGTTTTTGTTTTATTTTATAAAAGAATAACAACTTTCTATTTTGCCTGTTAATTTCCATGCATTAAGCTCATTCCAGATGTTACTCTTGGAAAGAATTTGTATTGGAGAATATCAGAAATATTTATTTTTGTGTTGTCCTGGTTGGTTAAAAAAAAATGCCATAGCTCTCATTTAGTGGTATTGGGCAAGTAGGTGGCATGGTATTTATTGGACCTGGACTAAGGAAGATCTAAGTTTGAATTTGTCCTCAGAAGTCATCACCTGATCTCTCTCTACCTGTGTTTCCTTTTCTGTAAAATGGGGATAATAATAATAACACCTTCCTTCCAGAGTGATTGTTCTGATCAACTGAGAAAGTATTCATAAAGTGTTTTGCAAATCTTAAAGTACCATTTGTTTGAAGGAAGTGCCTCTTTTTTTGGAGGGGAGGAGGGTGGTAAGAGTACTATGTATCGCTAATTGGTATTTATGATGGCCCTGAAATGCCCTTAAGAAAGGTTAAATAACATTCATTATATTTGAATAGATTTTATTGCATTCTAATTCAATTTGAAGTACCAGAGCATCTCATTCAAATAATGAGAATGTTTAATTAACCAGAATAGATTATTTCTTAACTATCCTGTATATATTAGAATTTACTGTATTTAATGGATTTGGGAACTAACATGGTAGTAGATTTTCAAAAAGTTTTTCACATGACTTAGTACTCAATGAGTTTGTTAGTGAAATTTCTCAAAAACCGTTTTCGGTGTACCTAGATACTGTCGGTCTTACTATTACACGTTCTCAACAGGCAATCAAAAAATACATGTCGAGAGACTAGATACAGAAGTATGTGCAATCAATTCTTGATTACTCGTGGGCTCTGTTTTAAGTGTTGCAAATTCCTATGTAGGTTGTACCCATTTTCCCCTACATATGAAAATATACTCCAGTAAATTGGGGGTTTATCTGCCATTTTGAATTACCTTTGCCATTGCTTCCCTTCATTAGCTTAGGAATTTGAAAATTGATCACATATAAATGTAATAATCAATGCAGATTTGTGTTAACATTTACTTAGTGGCTATAAAGAAGATGAGAGCAATTAGGCAATACTTCCAGGAAGATGTGGCCAAGGACTGAGATTTTTTTTTAGTTAATTTTCCCATCTTTATTAATATCTTGTTTTTATATCGCCTTTATTACATGTAACACAATTTACAAGCCTTAAAGCACTATATAAATGTTAACTGTTATTGTTCATATAACTTATTTCAGATTAGGGATTGTATCTGTCTTTCTATGTGTACCCCTACTGCCTAGCACCCTTTGTAGGCTTGTTGAATGGTTGATTTCCACATATATTTGACCCTACTTCTCTTACATAGTGAACCGTCCTTTATGGGGGGGAAAGATTTTAAATAGAAAAAAAGTAGCTCTAACTCTACCGAGCAATAGTCACCTGCATCTGTCAGTATATACAACATTCCACATTCATAGGCCCTCTCACAGCCCGCTTTTGCAAAGAAGGGATAGTGGTGTCTATTATCGGCTCTTTTGAGCCTAGATTTGAAGATGGGAAGGCAGGCGAGGGGCCGCATACAGGAAGATTGTACCATGATTTATGGAGCGTGAACAGAACCAAGACCTTGCAGCAGTTTGTTGTTGTTGTTGTTGTTGTTTGTTGCCGTTTTTGAGAGATGCTTGCACATGGCTGGGATTGATTAAAACCGCCCTATAGTTCCAATGCCTCTGTATTCATCCTCTTGCAGGTAGTGAGCCCCACCCTCAGCTCCCCTGTATGCCAGGAACAATTGATTGAGGCTGGAAAACTTGTTGACCGTTCAGTGGAAAACTGCGTCCGCGCCTGCCAGGATGCCACAGATGATAGTGAGTTGCTGAAGCAGGTCAGCGCAGCAGCTAGCGTGGTCAGCCAGGCCTTACACGACCTCCTGCAGCATGTCCGGCAGTTTGCCAGCCGAGGGGAGCCGATTGGCCGTTATGACCAGGCAACTGACACCATCATGTGTGTTACTGAGAGCATCTTCAGCTCAATGGGAGATGCTGGTGAGTGGCTTTGATTTGGATGTGTTTATTTCTTGATTCCTTTAAAGATTTTGAGCAGGGGTGAGGAGAGAAAAAGAGAATTGGTCCTACTCAGTGTAAATGATAAAGAGATGTATCTATTGTATTGAGAAAACTTTAGAGTTCCTTACAAGGATTATGCTGAAATTGGAAGCAACTCCATTTCAGACTAACAGGTGTGTTTCTCTGTAGCACGATTTATTAAGTGATAGTATATAACTCTTAAAAAAAATTTTCTGCATCTTCCATAGATAATTATTCATGGAATTGTTATAATTATAACATAGTTATAATATATTATAATTATTCAATTATGAAGCAAAAGGATTTTTTTTCACACATTTAGTAAATGTGTGTATTTTTGTGTTTAAAAATAAAAGCTTACACAACCTCAGCCTCCTTCTAGGCTTTATTAAAAGAGAGGGTGCCCGTTTTTTTTCCTGTAAGAATTCAGTCCAGTTTGTTTCTCTATTCATGTTAATTCTGTGCAGAGGATAATCAAATTTTAGTTATTTAGGACATGCAGGCTTGGCTTCCAAAGAAAGACATTTCTTTTCTTTGTCTTTCTGGTAAGGTGTTGAGTCTGCAGTTGCTATTCCAAGAGGCTGGTTGAAGGATTGAGTATTTTTACATAGGGCTTATCTTCTTCATTTTTGTATCCTAATTAGCAGAGAACAGACTCCTCTAAAACGTCTAAGAGAGCAGAGGTTTAAATAGCAGCTACGCTCATCTGTCTTATCCCCTAGGTGAAATGGTACGGCAGGCCAGAGTCCTCGCGCAAGCTACCTCAGACCTTGTCAACGCCATGAGGTCAGATGCTGAGGCTGAAATCGACATGGAGAATTCCAAAAAGCTTCTGGCAGCTGCAAAACTCCTGGCTGACTCCACTGCCCGCATGGTCGAAGCTGCAAAGGTAATTAATGTGGATTCGATGTGCTGAAAAGTGAATCATGTGAGCTGTTTCACTGAGGAATTTTGTTCCTCCTTATATGCTATTCTACTAATCTACCTATAAGGTAATATCATTAACTACTGAAAAGGTCCATGGGGCTGTTCTAATGTAACTTTTCCTTTTTATAGAAGAGGAAAATGAGGCTCAGAAAGATTTAATCTCTCTAACCAAGTTCACACAGGTTAGCAAATTCGGTATTCAAACCCAGTGTCCCTGAATACAGATGCAGTGTTCTTAACTGCACCATATTTATTATTTTTTGGTTTTGTCCCAACCTATGATTTCATCAGTTTGGGATATTCATACCACCAGTGTCTTATAGTCTTAGAGAGTTACATGGTACCCTGAAAGGTCAAGTAACTTGCCTAGGGTCACACACATTAGTATGTGTCAGAGGCATGACTTAAACCCAGATTTATAAATGTATTAGTAATCATCTGATTTCTTTTTTTTTCTTTTCTTTTTGGAGGCAATCGAGGTTAAATGATTTGCCCAGGGTCACATAGCTAGTAATGTCTGAGCCAGGATTTGAACTCAGGTTCTCCTGACTCCAGGTCCAGTGCTCTATGCACTGCGCCACCTAGCTGCCTCGTTTGTCTAATTTCAAGCAAAGAGATTTTCCCAAACTTCTCTGTTTCCTTTTTATTTGCGCTTTTTACTAAATCCAAAAGAGGACAGTTTTTTTAGATACATTTTTTATTCTTAAGGTAAATTATTATTTTTGCCTCATCTACATTTCACAATATATTTTCATGTCCTCTCCTTCATAGAAAGCCAATGATTGCTTATAAGAAAGGGAGCAAAAACAGTTTAGCAAAACTAAATTCCTAAATTCTGATATTGTATGTAAGCCATATTCCATGTTCTCAGACCTCCACCTCCACGTAGTATCTCTTGCTGTTGTTGAGTTGTTTCAGTCGTGTCTGACTCTCTGTGGCCCCATTTGGAGTTTTCTTGTCAGAAATACCAGAGTAGTTTGCCATTTCCTTCTCCAGCTCATTTTACAGATGAAGAAATGGAGGCAAACAGGATGAAGTGACTTGGCCATGGTCATATGGCTAGTAAATTGTGTGAGGTCAGATTGGAACTCATGAAGATGAGTCTTCCTGACTTTAGGCCTGGCAGTCTGTACACTGCACCACTTACCTCCCCAGCAAAGTGGCTGAGGAGATGCTTTCTGCTGTCACCTCTTTGTGTCAGGGCTTGGTCATTGTTGTTTTGCAACATACAGTTTTGATTGTTTTAGCATAGTTGAAAACCCTAGCTTGATATCTTATCTGCCAACACCTATTGGTGGGTGGAGCCGGAGGCCAGGCTGGAGGAGACTTGGAACTTGTGAGAGTCTGAAGAAACATCTGAACAGAGCTGCTATAACTTTATCTTTCAGCAAACATTGGATAAAGTAATCTGCCTTCAGCTGGCCCACCCCCGTCAGGCACAGTCCCTGTGCTACCCCTTATTTAAAAAGATCCTGCTTCATTTATATCAAGTATCCTAAATCCTAGAGCAGTTTTAAGCTATAAAAACTTAATAGGACTTTGGCTGATAAACCAAGGTGATGGCTAAACACTGTAAAGACAGTAGGAAGAGAAGAGGAAAGGAAAACCTGCAGAAAATGGGGCATCCCAAAAGTATTAGTCTCCATTATTAGGTGCCCTTCCTCTGCTTTGTTCCGGGCACTGGGCTTCACTTTCCCCATCTCTAAAATAAAGAGGTTGGATTAGGTGATCACCAAGCTTCCTTCCAACTCTAATACTTTGATCATGAATATTTAACAGATTAGGAAACAGGTCCAAAGAGGTGGTAGAGTAGTAGCTTGCTCTGGGTCACACAGATGAATAGGGTTAGCCCTGTGATTAGCATCCCGGGTTTACTGACTTTCCAGTCCAAGAATCTTTTATTTACCCTATGTACTATGTGATGAGACTAGAACAAGGAAGTGAACAATGAAGGGTTCTATAGAATAACATTCTTTCAATCAATAAGCAGTTATCAAGCAGAGCTCACTGTATGACAGGCACAGAGCTAAGTGCTAGAGATACCCAGAATAAAGCAAAAACAGGCTTTGCTGTTTATGAACCTTGTCCCATAGAAAATAATTCAATTTCAGCAAATGTGTTAAGTGCCTGCTCTGTGGTGAAGACTATTCCAGCCATTAGGGAAGATCCAAAGTTTAGATCAGGATGATCTCATGGAGCTTCAATCAAGGATGGAGATGTGGCACCTACACAAGTCATTGCCTTGTGTGCATCATTGGGTTCTTTCTTTGATTTTTATCAATGTAAAGGCCATGGAAGGAGCGGGGTGGAGGATGGGAAGGGAGAATGACTCAGTTGTGAGTGCTATTCTTTAGGAAGTTGGGGAAAAGAGAACCACAATTGAACTATTGAGACATTTAAAAAAAATTCTACCATGTATTAGCAATTATATTTCTATTCCTTGCACCCTTACCAACTTCACATATCCTCTCCACTTTAAAAAACCTACCCAGACTCCCAAGCCTTGAACCACAATGAAACATCACCCCCAAAGTTCCAAGAATTTAGAGGAAAAAAACCAGTGTGGAGGTAGAATATATGGACATGACCCCTTCGTTACTTCTCCTACAGAGCTGCTTCAAGGTGTCTTAATTCTTTTGCTAATGCCTTTCATCTGTTATTTTCTTGGCCCCCATGACCAGAAATATGGTTTTTAGTAAAATATTCATTTTAGCAAAATTCCTTTACAACCTCAGAGTTTATGTGTTATCTCCCACCTGTAGAGTTTCTGTAGATTTATCTTAACCCTTTATAATGTCGTAGAGAGGAAACATCCCATAGGGATGATTCACAGTTTAGTACATCCAAGGTTGTAAAATCACATTTTGAATTAAGAAACGAAATTAATCTAAGTGATTTTTTTAATTGTCCTAAATTTATGGTCCCATGATAACTCACATGGATCACAGAAAATGAAGGATCATAAAATAATATTTTTGGAAGGGACTATAGAGGCCAAGTCTAATCTTTACTTAAAACATGAAGACCATCTAGCATATATCCTTTACTTGCAGACCTCCAGGGCTGGAGAATTCATCACTACATCCCAAGGCAGCCATACTCACTTTTTGTTAGCTCTTTTTTATAAAAGTTATCTAATTGAGCCAAAATCTACCTCCCTGTAATTTCCACATAGTTTTATCCTGCGGGGTTAGCAGAATATGTTTAATACTTCATCCACATGGCAGCCTTTAAAACACTTTAGGATACAAGTCTTAAGAGTTTAATCTTTCAGAGCTTAGCAGAGCATGTTTGAAATATGCCATGCAGATATTTTCAATGGCAAAAGGAAGCTTCTTGACCTTAAAGGTTATCTCTTGGGAAAATTACCTTTGCCTACCAGCCAACCATATTCAGGACAGAATTAGATGAAAGGACAATTGAGGACATAATTGTACTCCCTGGACCTCTTGAAATTTTTATTTTCACAGGGTGAAAATTTTTTATTTTACCTTTTCTTTTTGTTTTGTTTTGTTATTTTACATTTTGCAGGGTGCTGCTGCTAACCCAGAAAATGAAGATCAGCAACAGAGACTCAGGGAAGCTGCAGAAGGGCTCCGGGTTGCAACCAATGCAGCGGCTCAGAATGCTATTAAGAAAAAAATTGTCAACCGGTTAGAGGTCAGAAAAAAGGCCTTTTTTCTTCTTCCTTTTCCTTTTTGGTATATCCACTTTTTACTTGAAATAGGCACTGTACAAATAAGTAAATTTGTAGTCTAGCTTTCTGATTAGTAAAACTAAATCAAAGATTTGACCATTGGCACAGTTGTTACAGAGAATTCAAATCTAAGAAATTGATTCTGTTAAAAGAGAAGGGATTTCAGGTATGTGAGAACTCTGAAGCTAAGATTAACATAAGTTTTCAAGCTATTATCTCATTTGTGCCAAAGCAATTATTTAGACAGCTAAGATCTTTAATATCAGAAGCAGTTACATTTATGTGATTCTTTTTTTTTTTTGAGGAAATTGCTTATTTAGGTTATAAATTTTGGTAGCGAATTGTTATGGTATCCTCTCAAACCTTGGAGCAGAGGGAAAGATTGATTAAATACCAGTGAGTGTTTGAATTCTACTTTCTTGAATCATAGGAAATAGGAGATTGAATAGATAGATTAAATAGACAGGGGAAAGAAGAATATTTTTAAAATAAGAAATGTCAGTGAATTCTCATCAGAATTAAAATGTATAGCCTTCCCATATATCTAGTTGTATATCAAATTTTATATCATGTTTTTGGGAGAATACTGACTACCAAAATTAGTATAGAATGTGGAAAAAGTATATTGTGCATTTTCGCAAGTACACACATATACATGTACCCATGCCAAGTCCTTATACAGAAAAATCTTTTATGTATTTAGTTGTCCTCATCCTGGTCCTTTAATTAGTAGCTTTGAGATCAATTCATCAAAATCTGTGTGTAAACATGTACCAGGCTTGAAAGTTGTATTCAGCCTTTTTATTTAGGAAAGGGGATAGGAGATGGCACCAGAATTATAAGCATAGTGTCATTGCTTTTCTGTCAAGGCATTTCATAGGGTGAAAGTGTTATTCATAAGTGTGAAACTTTTGTATTTGGCCTAGAGAGCTGCATGGAAGGTGCTCCATTATGGTTTTTTTTTAATTGTTATTTTTAAAGGAATCCCCCTTGGTGGTACTTATCAATACCATTAGGGGGTGGGATTGTTCCTTGTCCCTTTATAAGAAAGACAAAGGGAAAATACCACTTCTGATACCAAGCTAATTTAATAACTGTTCCAGGGAATTGAACCATTTGGTGGTTTCCAGGGACACTGTTAAAAATCATCAGTGATTTTGAAGGGCATTATCTACTTATGTTCTCATTCTTTCACATACAGCAGGGATTGAGCTGCTTTACATGTAGGAAACAAAAACTAAACCTTTAAAAAAAAATCATTCCATCTTGAGTCCTCCTTTTAAGGTTGCAGCAAAACAGGCTGCAGCTGCTGCTACTCAGACAATTGCAGCATCCCAGAACGCGGCTGTTTCCAACAAGAACCCAGCGGCACACCAGCAACTTGTCCAGAGCTGCAAGGTAAATATCCAGACTGACAGAGTACCATGTCTATTGTAGATGATACTAAGAGTGTTACCGCTCTAAGTGCCTTGCTAATTTAGTTAATGGACATCAGTCAGGCCCACTAATCCAATTCACAGTGGCTCACATTTTCCAGGTGTTCCTGAGTCTGCTTTCTGTCAGTACTTGTTTTTAAATTTTTTTTCCCAGTTCTTTCTTTCCTATGTCCTGGATTTACTTTCTTCTCTTTTTTGAAAGATGCAAAAAAGCCATTCAGTGGCCCAGCCACTTGAATGCCACGAAATAGTGATAAACCATTAAATTTCCAAAGGGCCTTTCTTCTGAAGAGCTGGCTACTTCATTCATCCTTTACACATCATAATAGTATTTCATGTTCTGTTTTGCCCTCTGCCCCATTGGCTGCCTGAGCCCACACCTTGAGTAGTTCGCTCCCACTTGGCCTCAGCTCCACTTTTCCTTTGGAGTTGTCTGTGGGAGCCTTCCTGTCTTTTTTTTTTTTTTATGAGGCTCCATCTTCAGCTAAGTAGGCCACAACGAGCTTGGGTCTCTCAGAAGGACCAAAAATGGTTTGATCCGTCAGTTCCCATTGTGTGGCCATTTCTTAGATATGTATCTATAACACACTTGATCAGAGCCTCTTAGGAGCACTTTAAAAAACATTAATCGGGGAAGAAACATGGCACATTTTAAAATTTAACTTGATCACTTTTCCTCCCTCCTCCTCCTGTTAAATGATTTCAGTCCAGGGTATGGGGGTGACTACTACCATGTCAGAAACAAATTTATCTTTGAAAGGAATTGGATAATTTCACCATGGCTCCCTGAAATCCAAGGCCCAAATTCCATATTCCCCCATGTTAATTAGTAGAGGTCTGAGCTCATCAGTGGAAAAGCTCTGAGAAACATATGAGGCGAGCACTGCAAAGAAAAGGCAGGAGGAGCCAATTTCTGTCGTGGGCTTCTCACACTGCTTTTATGTGAAGGCTGCTACCACTGTGTGTGAACTGGTACCATTGTTGGAGCTGCTGCTCTCCTCCTGAGTTTGGTTGCTGCGAGGCCTATCAAGCAATAAGCAGTCCAACAGGGTATGGAAATGGCATTTCTACTTCTCAAGAGGTGCATGAAAATCAAGTTAATAGACTTCTAGAAGAAAAGGCTCCCTTATTTAAAAAAAAAAGGACTAACAAATAAAAAGCAGTCAATACAGCTTCCAGAAAAAGGGGAGGCTTATAATTTACCAGGTGGAGGCTAACGACAAAACCCATTGAGTTATAGCTTTCAAGAACCTGGTTAAAGAGCAAAATGTCATGTGATCGTGAGCAGGTCGGAACTTCAGCGAGTTCATTACTTAAGGCGATGCCAGGAGGCATAAGTTCTTCTGAAGTAATTATGCCAAGCAATGTGTGGACAATAAGCTTCTATATACATGGAATTCTGAGGCTTACAACCTTTTGGAAGTCTTTTCTGTTTGGGGAAATGAAATATATTTGGTGAAGTCGAGAAAAAAAGAAATTGTGGCAGTCTCAACTGCCTAGTTCATGGAATAGATGCATCAGGTCAGAGCTAAGTGGTGCATGCTTAGGCGTGAGATCCAGGTAGTCCTAACTTCTGCACCCCTCTCCAAATTAATTACCTTTCTTGCTTTGGATTAATCAATGGGTCCACTTGATTTTATTTTGGCTATACATTATGCTTGCATCTTGGTTTAAGTCCAGGATCCTGTGCGTGAATGAATGATTGATGACACTCATTAAGTGCCTACAATGTGCTAGGCATTGTGCTAAATGCTTAAGATAGAAATGCAAGCATTTCTAGTTGAAGACCACAACACACAAAGAGGAGGTAGAAAGCAGAGTCTGGTTCTGGACAAGATAAGGTGAAAACTTCCACGTCCAGCATCCCAGGGGGTAGAGGCCAAGGTTCTGATGGGAGGGCGATAAAGCTATAAGACAAGTGCCATGGTTTGGAAATGGCCAAGTTTTATGAAGGTAATCAGTTGAAAGTTATATATATTCTGTTAAGTTGAAAGCTCAGTTTCTCTGAGCTAGCTATCACCCCTCAGTACCTTATAGTAGCATCTGTCAGGGAGAAGCTTAACTATAGAGTAAAACCCTGTATTTGTAAAGCCTTCCAAGGCCAAATATGCTTCCTAAGGTCTAGGACGTGTCTTTGCCTACCAAGGAGATCATATAAATGAATTTCATGTGCAAGAAAAACCGTATACTAGGTTATTTTCCTACCCATTCTGGATAATTCAACATAATTACATTCCCCAGATTACTTAGAGGTGCTTAATTGTATTTTCTCTTGCTTCCCACAGGCAGTGGCTGATCACATCCCTCAGCTGGTCCAGGGGGTAAGGGGAAGCCAGGCTCAAGCAGAAGATCTCAGTGCTCAGCTAGCTCTCATCATTTCTAGCCAGAACTTCCTCCAGGTAGATAATATTGACCAACCCATCCCAGGACACACAGAGCTTCCCACCACTCATGTACTCCTATTGTCCTAAAAGAGAGAAAATTTTTAAATTAAATTTTATTCTGTTTTCAGATCCATCTCTCTTCCTTCCCTTTCTTCCTCCCTGACACTCAATATAAGAAAGTAAGAAAAACAAAACCTTAATTACAAACATGTATAGTCATGCAAAACCAATTCCTTATTGGCCATGTAAAAGGGATGTGTGTTTCTATCTATCTAGATATAGTTGTTCTATAGTTGTTCAGATAGATTTACAGTACATATTGAACTATGTCTCAAACCACACTGAATTTGTCACCTCTCTGTCAGGAGCTGGGTAGCATGTTTCATCACGAGTCCTTTGGAATTGTGATTGGACGTTGTGTTGATCAGAGTTCCTATGTCTTTCAGAGCTATTTGTCATATATATAAATTATTCTCCTGGTTCTGCTCACTTCATTTTGCATCAGTTCACAAATCTTCCCAGGTTTCTCTGAAACCCTCCCCTTCATCAGTTCTTATAGGACAGTAGTATCCCATCACACTCACCTACCATAATTGTCCTGCCCAGCCCCGGTGGATTGGGACTCCACCTGCCTTTCACCCCAGGTTCCAATTCTTTACCACTACAAAAAGAGCTGCTATAAATATTTTTTGTGCATATGGGTCCTTTCCCTCTTCATTTGATCTTTAAGAGAGAAATCAGAATGCCTCCTACAGCTTCAACAAATGTTTTGTGGTAAAGTCTGACCCTGAAGACTCTCTTATTATTTTTCCAGTTTCAGAGGAGATATATTGAGGTTGGCAGAGCAGGATGCTAAAATATAGCAAAAATCCCTTGGGGTAGATACGCATAATAATCCTCTTTTTTTTTTTCTCAAGTACTTTAACTGCGACTTAATTTCCTCCTTTCCTCTTTAAGGAAAGGAAGTGAGGGAGAGAATGCGATAAATTGGAAATCTTGATGAACAGGCTTGCACTGATTATTGCTTTCATTTAGAAGTGGGAGTTAGATAGATTCCAGAGCCCTCAAAGTAGTAAGTCAAAAACTGTGCATGAGACTCCAGAGTTTGTATGTCTTCCAAAGATATGCTGGTTCTCTCCTCTAAGGAGGGAAAAGCAGTCAACTCTCCAGTCCTTTTCAGGAAACAGAGAATGCAAAGAAGTGGTTATCATCACTCATTTTCTTTCCCATAAACACATTAGATGGTTAGCCATTATTAAGAGGTCTACACAACAGTTGTAGATCTAATTATTAGGAATCAGGATAGGGACTGAGTCTGTGAATTCATTGGTTGAAGAAATTCCTTCTAGCAATATAGGTTAACACTTTCTCTGTACCTTGTAGTCTTAGAAAGTAGCCTAGATTCCTGAAAGTGGCCTGGTGAGGGTAAGATAACCAGTGTGTGTCAGAGGTAGCTCTTGAACCCAAGTCTTTCTGGCTCCAAGACCTGCTCTCTATTCATCATGCCATGTTGCCTCTCTAAAAAGAACCCCACTCTTTCCATTATGGAGTAGTTATCCTTATTCTTGCCAGTTTTGTCAGTGCATTTTATTTGTGAATCTGGATCTTATAAGAAGAGGACCCTTGATTCTTACTTCTTAATTCCTGCTGGCATGGTGGCAGGATACTGGGGATAGGGGAGATTTTTCTCCCTTACCATTCCCATAGTTTTGCCAATTTCCAGCGTTCTTAATGATCTGAACTCAGGTAGTCTGAGTACTGTTTCTGTTGTTCATATTCTTTGTAAAGAACCTATGGGGATTAAGGAAACACAATTGGGATTTTCTCATTCCCAAATTAAAATCCAGTCTCAAACACTAGCTGTGTGACCCTGGGCAAGTCATTTAATCTCAGTTTGCCTCATTTTCCTCAACTGTAAAATGGGGATAACAACAGCACCTACCCTGCAGGATTGTTGCCAGGGTCAAATAAATATTTGTAAAATGCTTAGCACAGTGGATGAAACATAGTAGTCATATTCCCTTCCCTTCCCAAGGCACCACAACCTTTTTGAACCTGTCACATGCTGACCTTGATTAATTTCATGATCCTTCCTTTTCAGTTGCCACAGACCACATATAGATCTGTATGAATTAACTTCCATGTGCACTCAGGTGGCCAAAAGATTCATCCTCCTAGAGCCAACCTGGTTGTATGCATTATGTTGTTCGTCAATAATCATGGGGATACCACATCTGGAATTTAAGATTACAGCCCTTGTTGTGATACATGAGGATGCAGAATTGGCATTAAAGAAAAGAGTGATGGGAAGAACCACTAGACAAGATCAGTTATATACCTAGGAAGTCCAGTGAGGTCACAGGTCTGGAACAAAAAACAAAAAAAGTTCCCTCATTTGCTTTTTTGTTTGTTTTATGTTTTTTTGTTTGTTTGTTTGTTTGTTTTTGTTCCAGACCCATGATTTCCTTAGTTAAAAGAGACACCCTCCATTAATACAGATTAGTAGCTATTCTGTAGCTTATAGTCTTAGAGAGGTTCTGGAGGAACTGAGAAGTTGAGTGACTTGTCCACAGTCATACTGCCAGTTCGAGTCAGAATCAGAAATTAAAGCCATGTGTTCTCTGCTCTGGTTTAATCATACCCCAACTAGAAAGCGGTCTGTCAGAAATTAGGTTTAGATCAGTGTCTCACACCATGCACCAAAATAAGCACCGAGTGCATACATGACTTAAGTATAAAAGGGCACAACATAAACAAATCAGAGGAGCAAGGAAGGAGTAACCTTTTGGATCACTGAGTGGGGAAAAGTTCATGACCACATGGATTCTCCAATTGCTTTCTGCTCATCTCTAGCCCGGAAGCAAAATGGTGGCCTCTGCCAAAGCCGCGGTGCCTACTGTCAGCGACCAGGCTGCAGCTATGCAGCTGAGCCAGTGTGCCAAGAACCTTGCTACCAGCCTGGCAGAGCTGAGAACTGCCTCTCAAAAAGTAAGTAAATTTCAGATTTATTAGTACTGAAAAGTGCTAAAAATGGTTAGGAGCTTCTTGGTACAGTTTAAGGGTGGGGGAGTAGCTATTTCAGGGTGTGTTTTGAATACTCTTTGGGAACCTCCTTTAATACATTAAGGTTTGTCCTTTCACATAGTTTTTGTCATTTGCTTATTTGTCACCTTCTCTTGGGAGCCATGGGTTCCTCTTGCCTCCCTCCTGATCTTCTGGCTGGTGTAGATATTTCTAAGGTTGGATATATACTGATCTCTGCAAGCATTCTCGAAGATAAGATTTTTGTCATTTGAGGTAGCACTAGAATCTTTGGTGTTCGTTAGTCTCTGTGACATGTAAACTTCTCTTCTATATGTTTATTCATATTTGCCACATGACAAACTAGTAGAAAAGCTTTAGAGTCATTTTATCTTCCCGTGTTATCTCTACTACCTTTGTTTGCATAAATGGTTTTAAGTCTTGCACTAGAACATCTGATTTGGCAATAAAATATGTCTTTCTTAGATCCAGTTGGTGGACAGATGAATGAATGAATGAATGAATGAATGAATGAATGAATGAATGAAGCATTTATGAAGAGCTTACTATGCATAAAACACTAAAGTAAGCACTGAACACAAAAATGGAAGAGGCAGCCCATGCTCTCAAGCAGCTCACAGTCTGATGGAGCACACCACACACATGGAAAGTTCTCTTGGTGCTCAGGGTACAAATGGTCTTGCCTCTTCATTAATGTCATTTCTGCTTATAACTTCTGATCTTGAACCATGTGGCCAGAATTCTCTTTTCTGGGTCTTCCTTCTGTGGATGTGGCTATAGCCACAAGATGTTCTTTCCCCACAAGGTCTGGTGATTCCTTGTATCTATGTAAATGTTTCCTGCTTTACTTTACTCTTTTCTGGCTAGGCACATGAAGCGTGTGGCCCAATGGAAATCGACTCTGCTTTGAACACCGTGCAGACTCTCAAAAATGAACTGCAGGATGCCAAAATGACAGCTGTGGAGAGTCAACTAAAGCCACTCCCTGGAGAAACTGTAAGAAGGGATAATGGGATGATCAGAAGTGGTTTTATTTTTCTGCTCCTAGAGGAGAAGATTTAAGTTGCATCTGAAGAGAAAACAGTGTGGGCTTTTGTTATAGCTGTGGAGAGATCCTTCCATTGGTGTATATGGTTTCAGTTCAAATTCACTGGTGGTCAAAAGAACCCTGTTTTCAAAAAAAAATCTGGGTTGTACAGACCTGAGCTAACCTCATTGCAGCAGAGAGCTAGAAAACAGTGCTGAGGCCTCCTTCCCGGAGTAGCCAACTACTTCTGTGCATGTTTGCTAGTGGCATTAATTTATATCTCTTTCTTAAGAGAGATTAATAACATTCACATTTCTTCCCCCAAAATTCTTTGCACAGGGAAGTATAAGTGTGGAGCACTGTCCAACTTTTTTAATATGTTGATTAGCTTTTCTGAACTCTTATAAAGGATTATTCTCTTATAAGGGAGGGAGAAGAAATAGATGGGTAAAAGGAGATGATGTAAAACCAAATGATGCTAATAAAAATTTGTTTTAAGAAGTAACATGCATCAGCATGTTGCATTTGAGAAATAAGGTGTAGTGAACAGACGTTCTGTGTTATATTAACAGGGTTACTATAAGTAAGTTACTATATAGTAAGAAGGTTGGCAATCCAAAAATGACAGCAACCTGAAGAGAGGGATAATAAATTATCAATAATTACAATAATAATCCACTGAAAAAATCAATGAACTTGGTGTCAGAAACCCCTGAGTTCACTTCCTGTCTCTGTCATTTACTACATTTGTGAATCTGGGCAAGTAGTTTAACTTCTGGGGCCTCAGTTTCCTCATCACTGATCAATATCACTAGCTAGACTCACTGGCTGCCATGATCCCTTCTACCTCTGAATCTGTAATCCTAGGTGTAGAAGACCTGAGTTTTCCTCCCAGCTTTGCCACTAACTAGATACATGACCTTGACTATGTGACATTCTACAGCCACTTTATTTCGAAAATAATGTTACCTCCTCTGTCTCACCATATTGTAAAAGCTTCAAAAGAAAGGACAGGTGAATGAACCATCCATATGCAATGTGGTATTATTATTTCTATGAGGGATAGGATCTGACCCATCATATAAATGAATTCATGATATTGCAAGGTGATTTAATGTCAGGGTTTACCAGTCCATATATATTATGTCAGGCTGCCTTTCCCTATTAACATATACTGATAATGTAAAGCATGTAAACAGCATTCTTTTCTACTGCTGCTGCTGGGTGGATAGATAAGTGGGTATTTCTAAGCCTGGAATATCCCATTGTGTATTCCTGTAAATGAACTTGCCTTGCTCAGAATAGTCTGAAAGCAGTTGAATGCCCTCAGGCACATTCCATCTCAGTTTCTTCTGACATTTTCTGAATGCAGCAAACCTTTTACATTGTGGATGCATCCCAATTGCAACTTTATATTTTTATCTGGAAATAATATGAATTGCTGGCCAGCATTTCCAGAATGGAAGCATTTGTTTCTGCTGTTGCTGCTAAAATTAATTTTAGTCCGAATTCTTCTAGACAGACCACGAACCTGGAAATGCTGCCTTTGCATCCTCCTTTCTAGAATTATAGATTTAGGAGAGCCTTGTATCACAGTGAAAAGAGAGGCTGCCTTAAATCCAAAAAGACCTCAGTCTAAGGCCCAGTTTTGGCATATGTTGGCTTTGTGACCCTGGGCAGGTTACGTGACCTGTCAGTGTTCTGGGCAGCTCTTTAAGATGATAAATAATTATAGAGGCAATACTGACCTGTCTTGGGAAAAGGTGTTTTCTCAGACAGGAGCTCCTTGTATCAGTTAAATCACAGCTCCAGTCTTGAGCTCTGTCTATTTCTAACCATAGATGTAGACCAAAAAGACCTTAAAAAGCCATTGTTCTAGTTTCCCCACCCCTTTACAGATGAGGAAACTATACATATCCCAGAGAGGTGATGTCCCCAAGGTCACTCACATAGTAGAGCAAGGATTTAAACCCCAGTTCTCTAGTTCCAAATCCATTGTGTTTTTCCACTGGTAACTGGGATGTAGCAACTGTATTTAAAAAGGAGGGAAAAAAACCAAAACAAACTACTAGCCTTGTTTTGCATTCAAATAATGCCCCTAACCTTGTCTTTTGCTGAGTTCTTTAATGGGGTAGTTTATCCTGGGTAGATTTATTCTGCTTTCAAATAACAGATTGTCCATTTATCACAATCAGAACAAGAGGTTGTACCTTAGATGGAAAATAAACATGTATGAAGCACCTCCTTAATTAATGTAAGACAGATACTAATGATAAATAAGAATAAAGTAACTCTTGCCCTCAGAGGGTTTACATTTTACCGAGGAAATGTTTAAAAGAATCCCACTCCCATCATTTTATTGACCATCCTCCAAATTTCTTTCGTGTTTTACCTGTCCTGTTTGAAATAGAATGATGAAGTTATCCATTTTCAAAGATCCTTCATCCAAATGAAGTAGAAGAACAGCCCTTCTGCCCACTTAGCTGATGGGGGTCCTTGATTTGCTTTAAGGATTTGAAATGAATGTTCCAAAATAGCGTTCAAAAGAGTCATTATTATCATCAATGCTAACAAATTTATGTAGCCCTTTCTGATGTACAAAAACACTTTTAACGAAGATATGATAAAGTATTACTAGCCCCATTTTATAAATGGGGAATCATTGGCTCAGAGGAGTGGAATGAGTAACCTTGGCCACACAGCTAATAAGCACTAAGACTTCAGTCTCTGATTCCAAGTCCAATTCACTACGTGCTATACTTTGTTGTTTCTAGGTAGAAATCATTAAGACGTTGGCCAATCGTTTTTTTTTAAAATACGTATTGTAAACTTAGTGTGGGTTTTTCATTTCCTCAAAATGACATTCCCCCGTATCTATTGTTTTAGCTGGAAAAGTGTGCCCAGGACCTAGGAAGTACCTCCAAAGCTGTCGGGTCCTCAATGGCCCAGCTGCTGACTTGCGCTGCTCAAGGCAATGAACACTACACAGGTAGGTGCTACTTCATTACTCATAATGCCATACAGCAAAGCTATAGCCAGCGATGAACAGGGAAATATTTCATCTCTGACAACCAGCAGGTTTTTATTTTTTGAATGATTTTTTTTTAATCCTCTCATGCTAGTGGTGTAAGTTCCAGGTGTCATTGACCATCATGGATAAAAATTTGTCATTAGAGCAGCAGCTGAATTGGTTGCTGAAATGTCTGAGTAGGAACCTCCAGGATGGCACACTCGAGTCAATTTAGAAAATGTCTCCGAATCATTTTTTGACAGAATTGTGCTTCCTAGAACTAAAACAGAAATGTGCATCATTTCAGTGGTTAAGAGCCCTGCCTGGCTTTTATTTAAATTGGTTATCATGTAGCGCAGTGCTTATTTCTGAAAGTAATCCAAGGCACATACATTAATTAATTCTGTGGAAAGTAGTCATCAGTCTTCTGTCTGTGGTTTTGTTTTTGTTTTTGTTTTTTACGTTTTCTCCTTCTCTAGCTACTCCTAGCTCTAGTTTCAGATCTAAATCAAATTATTTTTGTAACATGTAAGCCAGAGATCTGGGAATTAGTTTACACAATCTATTTTTCATTTTAGAAAAAAAGAAATGAATGTTATGTTGCTTGTCTTCTCATTAGATGGTGGAGAGGGTGGGAAGGAGGGACAGAATTTGGAACTCAAAATTTAAAAACAAAAGACAGTTAAAAATAAATAAATAATAAACGTTTAGAAATGTTCCTTAAGAAAAAACTGGAAAAGGGGCTAGTAAAAAATTTTCATGGTGATTTAAAAAAGCAAACTAACCTATTTTCTTGTTACTATTGGCAAAGAATTGATACTACCACAGTTGTATGTTTTCATGTTTAATTGATAAGTGATTTTTTTAAAAAAGCAGTTTACTGGTTTCTTTGATATAAAAATTAATGGGGTTTATATATTCTTCAGAAATCAAGCGTTCACAGTGATCTGACTGTACTTTGTTTACATAAGGTAGCAAACAGTCCAAATGTGATACAAGTAAATTAGAAAATAAATTAGAATGCAATAATAATAATTTAATATATTTAACAATAATTTATATTTAAATATATTAAATCTATTTAGTAATACTTATAATAATAATAATAATAATAATAAAATTTAAAAATAGAAAATAACGCACTTATATATTAGTTGCATATTGTCTCCCTTGTTAGAGTGTAAGCTACTTGAGGACAGGGATGATTTCATTTTTGTCTTTCTGGCTCCAGTGCCTGGTAAAGTACTTGAATCGAATATATTTTTGTTGTTGTTGTTGAGTCACATCTGACTCTTTGTGATCCCATTTGGGCTTTTCTTGGCAGAGATACTGCAGCAGTTTGCCATTTCTTTCTCCAGTTCATTTTACAGATGAAGAACTGAGGCAAACAAAGTAAAGTGACTTTCCCAGGGTCACATAGCTAGTAAGTGTCTGAAGCCAGATTTGAACTCAGGAGGATGAGTATTCCTGACTTGGGGCCCGGCGTTCTATCCACTGAACCACCTCGCTGCATGTATCCATTAGCACTTATAAAGGCTTGCTGATTAATTGAGAAGTTTTTTTCTCATGAAAGGGAAAGATTGGGATTTTCTGGTTGATTGAGTACTCTAGCAGAAAGAATTAGTGTAGTTATACTACACATTGGTAACTAATTTTTGAAGAATTAGAATACAAGAAAACTCTTGTCACAGAAAGAGTCTTAAACTTAGTTTTACACCTTCCTTCATAACTCAGAAGGTACTTCAAGATCTTCATTATAAACACCATTTGTTACTGTTCTGTGCTGCATATATTTTCTGTTTATTTGCTCTCCCTGGTTGTTTGGAAAAGGTAATAAGATAAAGTAGAATGATCACCAGGCTTGTATTTGGGAGAACTGGGGCTAAATTCCAGTTGTGATGGTTAAATTCTATATGCCCCTAAGCAAGTCACTTAGCTTTTCTGAAGCTCAGTTTCTTCATCCATAAAATAAAATTAGTAATCCTTTCACTTCTGCTTGTGTTATTGTAATAAATGTGAATTATCATTATTGTAGTTAATGGAATACTATTATTGTCTTTAACTATCATTCTTAAAATCTTATCCCACCTTTTAATTACTACATTCTCTCTGTATTTGGTGATGCTGTTCAAACTTACCCTCCCTCAGAGAGCACCTCAGAAGAAGGGTGCTGTCTTACTTACTGCATGTGTGAATGCATTCACGCACGTGTGCGTTTTGGTTTGGGGGGCATTTGTTTCTTTTGTAACCAACACAGCTCCTTCATGGACCTTGCCATCATTGGGAGATATAAAATCTGAAGCTTTCTCTCTCTCTCTCTTCAATACAGATTTTTCAGTAAAGCTATATATAGGCTTAAAAAACAAGCAGGGGCTTGGTGTCCAGTTAAGTGCCTTGCACACAGTACGTGCTTAATAAATTGAGTATTTGGAGGCGATATTAATGGAAGACATTGGGGATTGTGGTGTTTACGGCTTTCTCTTTTCTATACCTACTAGAGGGTAAATTATTCAAAGTCTGGGATATCTTCATATTTCCTGCTGGGTTTAAAAATAGCAAATGGTCAGTAAATATTGAATGAACAAATGAGTGAGTGAGTGAATGGATGAATGAATGAATGAATGAGAAAATGATGAGACCTTTCTTTGTCATCCTGAAATTATCATCAGTGTTTCAAATAATATCAGAGTTATAGTTTTTCATGTGTTTAAAGTTTTCACCAGTCCCTGAATCCAACTATTGTGGGACTCATTTAAAAATAATTTTGAGACAATTTTAAATCCTTTCCCTCCTCCCCCAGCCTAATCATGTGGTAGCTGACTTTTACTTACATAGTTGTATTTGTCCAATTGTGATATTAAATTCTAGGATAAAGGAGTCCCTGTAATAAAGACCAGCCATTATAAGAGGTTTCTTCTGTATTTAATCTCACTGGTGCGTATTTTCCAGACACTGCTATTGAACATAATTTAGCATCCAGATGGTGAGGGAGCTGCTGAAGTAATTTATGGCTTCAAATGCTTTTTTGTAGTTTTTAAAGATCCCTTTGCAGTGCTTTCCCAATCTCAGTCCTGGCAATACAACTCAGACCACAGAATTGTTTTGTTTTGCTTTTTAAACCTGTCCCCGTGGTGGTCACCAGTTAGACTATTATTGCAAATTCAACCATGGGACAGCATGAGATTTTTGCCAGGCCCTTTCGATGACCTGTTTTGGCCTTTCTCCATCTTTAGTATCAGTGGTTTCCTGTTTCTTGGAAACTAAATCATGCCATAGAGGTCCTCAAGCTCTATGAGTTTCAGAGGGAATTCTAAGCAGAAATTACTGGGGATGAACACACTTAAATCTTTGAAATTCACCTCTTCCTATATGTGTCCTTTTTACTGAGTTGGTTTGTCACCATTGCTTTCTGGATATAGTCTTCATCTGTAAAAATGCATTTGGCCCCAAGTGAATCTCGATAGAAATGCCTTTTCTAGCTTCCTATGCCAAATATGATGTTCACCACATATGAAATCAGGTTGGATTTTAGATCATAGGTAATACATAAACGGGGAGATAAAGAGAAGATATCATTTTGAGCTGGAATCAATCAATCAGTAAGCACATATTAAGCACCCACCCTTTCTCAGGCACTATTCACTGTTCTGGGGATGCAAATACAAAGAATAAGTCAATTCCTACTCTCAAGGAGCCTTACATTCTAACAATAATGTAACCTTAGAGATCTTCTAGTTTAACCCTTATTTTATGGATGAGGAGACTGAGGTCTGGAGAGACTAATTTGCCCAGTTCACATGTTTTATAAATGACAGATTTTGAGCTAGAAGCCAAGACTCCTTATTTCCCTCCCAGTGTTATTGCACTATGCCTCCTCTATAAAGAGAAGGCTTAGGTCTGAAATCAAATGGCCATTACACTCATCTTTCATCTTTTTTTGTGAACGTTAATCTCACTTATTTTTGCACATTTTCTTGTGAACTTTTCATCAACAATCTTCCCCTCCCTCCCCCCACAACAACAACAAAAATTATTTTGTTTAAATTTACTCCAGTCTATATAAACTATGCTTGAAGCTTGCCGTATGATAAAGTAGGGATTGGGAGCTTTGTCATTTGCATTCGTTAGGTTACAGAGCTATCTCCCAGCTGTGGCTTTTCCCAAATATTTACAGATTAGCCAGCCTCAGATACAGCAACACTGTCTCATTTATGTATCTGAGTTTGTTCTGGCATCTTTATTGCACTATTGCACCTCACTCTGAAATGAAAGGACCACCTACTGACTGCTCAAACTAAGCCAAAATGTTTCCTGCTGCACATACAGAGTTTAACTTTGAACCCTCAGAAAATTATCGCAGGAAGGTTAGAGTTGAAGGCTGTGAACTGTTGAGGAGTTTTTTATGTATGTTTCTTCTCCGTGAGTTCCAGTAGGACACATGCATATTCCTATATCCTTCTCATCAATCTTAGCTCGACCAGGCAAACATTTTCATATTTATTGTCATGATTTAGTGTTGGTGAATAAGTGCTCATTGTCTGCAGAGGATGAATTGGAATTGAGGTCCAAGAGTCTAAGAGGGAAATAGGTTAAGTGACATGTAAATAAACTTTAGAGGCTAGAGCAAGCCATCATCAGCCCTAGGCATCATCAGGGAGGCAAAAAACAGATAGACAGACAAAGAGATAAGCATTTATGAAATGTGTTATTATGTACCAGGTACTGTGCTAAAATTTGAGATACAAGTACACTCACAAGCCACCTGTGCCATGAAGGAGCTTTTGTTCTAAAGGGGAGAGACAACTCATAAAGCAGGGCTGGAAATAGGGAGGATAGTTACTCACCAAAGGGACACTTTGGAGTACTGGTTGGCACCTGAGGTAGAGGTCCATTTCTAGGAAGGGTTAGATCAGAGCTCACCTATCAGAGACCTTTATTTTTTCTACCCACATCCACCAGCACTGTAGAATTAGCTTTTTCTCTAGCAGTGCTGGGCCAATACAATGGCATGGGCCAGCCCAGAATGAGCTACCTTGTGAACAGGCATGAGTTCTTGCGGAATTTTGTGGCACTACCATACTTCTTCCAGTGTGTTATTACTATTGCTACATTCTTGTCCCTTCTTGGCAACAATCTGGAAGTGAATTTACACTCTGTAATGAAGGGGTGTGTGTGTGTGTGTGTGTGTGTGTACACACACATATTTGTGTCTAATAGTAGCTATCTCTAGGGTGGGGGGAGGAAAGAAAAAAAGAGAAAAGAAGTTGCATGATAACTTTATTATATATTTAAAAGGAATAGTAAATTGTACATAACAGATTTACAATTTCACGTGCAATCTTTTTTTTCCTATTCGATGTTAATGGAAATGCTTGCTTTATTTCTTAAATTCAGAATAAAATTTAAAAAATAATTGTTTGTGTTGTACTTTAAAGTTTACAAAAAAGTTTCATCACAGTAACCCTAGGAGCTATGTAGTATGGATAATATCTTTATTTTGGAGATGGGAAAATTGACTCACTGTGAGAAAGGTTAAGGTATGTTTCCAAGCTTTACACGGATAGTAAATAATAGCAGTGGGACTTGAACCCAAGTTCTGTAGACTCCAAAAATAGCATCATGCTATTGTGAGCCAAGTATGGAGTGCATTCACTCACTTACACGTTCATTTGCTTGCCTCCAAGTGAGCGAGGTACTCTTGCTTGCTCGGATGGACTCTTGAGTGTACTCACTGGACATATTCCCAGTACCTGCCTCATTCCCCACCCTCACTGTCACTTCCACCACCTCACACCCATCAAGGCAACATCATACCCTTGTCCATGACTCCTCGTGATGGGTCAGTGTACCCCGACCCATTTTACAGGTTTTACCTTCATGAGCCTTGGACAATTGATTTGTTTGATGGGACCTCACAGAAAATGATGGGTCAGTTTTGTGACCCAGACTCCTGTACCATCTTGCTGAACATCTGTGTGGACACACTTGACAGGATAGTAGCAAAATGTGGCTTTGAGCGAGTTGGAGGACTTTGTCATCATATTCTCCGCTTGAATCTCTCTTGGCTCATTGCAATAAATACCCTTGAAAAAGCATCAGTCATTCCCCATTGCCGTTTTACCATGTGGTCATTTTGTTCTCTCGTCTCCTGCTTGTGGCAGGGAGACTCCTCTTTCAGTGGCCCTAAAGAACTACTCCCTTTTAGCCAGTAACTACAGGAAGTCTCTTTCTGCCTTCAGTCTTGTAAATAATCATTATACCCTATCATAATTGTGTTGTTCATTGTAGATTTAAACACTGGCTTTATACAGTATTTTAACAGACAGTCTGGTGGATTTTTCCTTCAAGGGGTGGCTGCAAGAGAGACAGCACAGGCTTTGAAAACCCTGGCCCAGGCAGCTCGAGGAGTAGCAGCATCCACCAGTGATCCTGTGGCAGCTCATGCTATGTTGGATTCAGCCAGAGATGTGATGGAGGGCTCAGCCATGCTCATTCAAGAAGCTAAGCAGGCCCTGATTGCCCCTGGAGATGCAGAAAGTCAACAGAGACTAGCTCAGGTGGGCCCTAAGGGTAGGATTTGTGGATTACCATACATGGGGACAACTTGGTAGGCTGGTACTTGCTATACTCGGTTCTGACTTTACTAAACTTATCTGTTACCATCCCCTATCCAGTAAATGCCTTAACTACAGCGTAAGATTTCCACAGGTCTCTAAATTAAATTCTTTGAACCATATATAACATAGAATAACCCAGTTCAGTTCAGCTTTACTGTGTGGTCATGGCATTGATGTGCAGAGCTGGCATAAAGCATTTGTGTGCCAGAAAGCAGAATGCAAAAATGGTATCCTCATGTCTTATGGCTCACAAGAGCCTTAGAGCCTGTACTGTAACATTTGTGACTTAAAAGACAAATACCAACATAAGTAGGAATCGTAATTTTTTGAAATTGAATGTATACATTTGTTTAAAAAAGAAAAAGTCATTTTAAAAGCCATCCCTCATTCCGTCCATGTGTGACTTGGCAGTTTACTTCACCTATTTCTAGGGCCAAGTAGAAAGGTTCAGTTTGCCCCTACTCCCCTCCCCCCAAAAAAAAAATTCATGTGAAAAGGCCTAAAATTCTCTGAATTATTTGCTAAAGAACTTGGGACCTCAAACTTTAGCCTACCATGCTAGCTGCATGAGCCTGCATAATTTAGCTGCTCCATACTCTGGGCAGCTCTGGCCCATAGGATTGTAGATCTGAGAGCTGGAAGGAAATCTTGGAACTCATCAAACCCAGCCCCCCTCATTTTACCAATGAGGAGATGGGGGTGTAAGGAGGTTAATTGAGTTGCCCACATTCACACCGGCGTTAAGATTCAGTCAGATAGGAGATTTGAACCCAAGTACTCTCACTCCCAAGGTAGTATTCTTTTTGTAAAGACTATACTGTTCTTTTAGGCTGTACATTCCAGCAAAGGTACCTGCCTGCTTTGGCAAGGTGAGCTTCTTCATCTGGAAGTGTTTTATGCCAATGAAATCACAAGTCCATTCTTTAACCCTTTCCCTAACATGTGTATTTGGAAGATCCTTCAGCATTTTTGTTCTTGGTGAGTTTAGTGTGGCTGACACGTTGGCAAAAACCTGATCTGAACCTGTCACTGAGACTGTCCTCAGTCCATTCAGGTGAACTAACAAATGAAACTGATTAGTATGTTCACCGTAACCCTAGCTTCTGGAATAGAGCAGCAGTATGGAGAGATATCTATGAAATGAAAAACACAGGCTCTTTCTTTCTTTCAGGATATATCCTATTTGTTTATTTATTTGTTTACTCATTTTTAAGACTTAATTTTCGCCCTTTCACCCAGCTTCAGAGTGTAGGGGCTACTCCTGGGCCCACTGTCAATTGGCTGAAAGGTTTTGACATGCTCCATTTCTGACCTCCATTCCTTTCCTAAGCAACCCGATGGCTCTCTGAGTCCTCAGGACTAGCTCCCTGCAGCTCTGAATTCCCAAGCTCAGGAAATTCAACAGCCTTAACGTATCATGCATGAGCCACCATGCCCAATTCTGTTCTGTTTAAGAGAACAGAAGAGTACCCATATCGAGCAGCTGAAGCAACAAGTGAAGTCCCTGCCAGTGCAGAATAACACATCCCAAGATGAGTATGGAATTACTCAAGAGATGTGGTCACTCACCTGGGTAGAATGAGGTTTCAGAGGACTTTGTAGCATCAGGGAGCTCGGAACGAGCTTTCGGCCTTATGACCTCAGCAAAACTCATAAGATAAAGGTGATTCCATTTTTTTTTTCTTTGACACAACTTGAGCTAGTTGTGGCTTCTAAGCTAAAGCTGTTGGAATCAAAAAGCACCTTGGACTCCCTTGATCTAGGGCATCTGCTTGGGTATGTTCTATCACCAGGTTAGCCCCACTGCTAGGTCAGGGTGTTATCCCTGGGTAACATGGGTAACTTGTCTTTGGGCTCAGAACCTTTGCTGAGAAGACATAGTTTAATAGCATCTTTTTTTTTGTTTTAGTGGAACTGTGATTTCATTGGCATAGGAACTTCCCAGGAGTGAATTTCTCCCAGTGCAAATCCACACTTCTTTGCAGTGCATAGTCTTAGAGAGTCTTGCTGGGTCCCTGAGACTTCAAGTGCCATGGGTCACATTGCCAGTGAATCAGGAGGAGGATTCGATTTAGGTCTTTTCAGAGGCTAGTTCTCTATCCAGTTCACCACACTGCAATTTCAGGTAGATACTGATGATTTCTATGACTTGTAACTTTTGAGGAGGTAGACACTAGTCTCACCAGGGTTGGGATGTCCATTCTACATCATTTTAGCAACACAATTTTGCATCCAAAGGATACTTAATTTGGGCAAGGTGAGATTCAAAGAACCTTTTAATTATTCTGTTTTTCCTTTTAAGGTGGCCAAAGCTGTCTCACACTCTTTGAACAACTGTGTGAATTGCCTCCCGGGACAGAAGGATGTGGACGTGGCCTTGAAGAGTATTGGCGAGTCCAGCAAGAAGCTGCTTGTTGATTCAGTGAGAAGAATCATTTTTTGGGGGAAGACGTTTAAGTATTTGGATTCTTTTCCAGTGTGAAATATGGAGTGTTTTTGTCCTGAGAAGGTCACTGGGAGAAACTCTGTTTCTGAGGATGTTTCTCTTTTGTTTAATCAAACGTCTATTTCCTCTTATCACTTGGAGGTAGAACTAATTTCCATAAGGGTACTAAGTTCCATTATTGTATTCCGCAGCATACCTTTTCCAGCAGATCCATAAATTCATTGCTTTTTAAGGTCATTTCAGCAGAGAAAGTCAGTGTAGGAGAATATGAACTTTGATCTCATCTTTATTGGTGGTCTCTACTGCATTAGGAGGAAAAGAAAAGGGAGACCTGTCTAGTGTACTTACACGGTATTATCACCTGTAGCCGTCTGACACTTTTGTCAGCCACCCATCCTGGAGAATGAAAAGCTATATTACTAGCAAAGATCACAAGTATAACAACAAAAACTATTGTAGATTTCACTAAACCTGGTAATTATTTTATGTCTATATTACAAAGTTAATTATTGGTGGTTTAGAAAAACAGAAGGCCCTAAATGTAGTAGTGGTTTTGTTTTTTTCTTACTCTTAGGGTTTGAGCCTTAAAACAAATAAATCCATTATTGAAGCATGTTTTCATCTAAAATGTTAATCTTTTGGGTTCATCACTCTGCTATTTTCCTGACATTAAATTTGTTCTGTGTCTCAAGGGTAAGTTCCAACTGCATGTTGAAGGACAAGTTTAACTTGGGGTGAATCACAGAGACATAGTAGCTCTTAGTCTTAATTTTATCATTACATACTTCATAATACACATACATCAAAGATGAAAGCCACATTTTTCTCTCTATTTTCTTACCCTAGCTACCACCAAGTACAAAGCCTTTCCAGGAAGCCCAAAGTGAATTGAACCAGGCTGCAGCTGACCTGAACCAGTCAGCAGGGGAAGTAGTCCATGCCACTCGGGGACAGAGCGGAGAACTAGCGGCTGCCTCTGGAAAATTCAGTGATGACTTTGATGAATTCCTTGATGCTGGCATTGAAATGGCCGGTCAAGCTCAGGTAAGTGACTGTGCTACTGGTGATGCTTGGTCCTGAGTTCACATATACCTTTCTGCTGAACATTTGGGACCTCGATTTCCTTGTGTATGTTGATAGAGACAAGCTTCAGGGAGCCTGGGGGTAGCTCTGTTCTGTATGCTTCTTGGGAAGATCCATGATCCATGATGACCTCATTAGAATGGCTCTCTCCAAAGGTGGTATCAGACTTGGATCCTTGCCGGTGAAAGAAGTATTTCCAGGCTCCAAAGGATGAGTTTTTCTTTTCTTGTCCTTCCTTAGGCAGTTCCTCTTTGTACTTAAGCCATTTGGGGTAGAAACATGGGTTGCATTTAACAAAGATTAGAGTAGCAGATTGGAATTTAACATAGCTTGGTAAAAGTTTGTGTTTATAATTTTCTCAAGCTGGTTGGCACATTTAAATCTATCTTTTTGAAACCTAGTATCAAACAATTAAATTTTCCCTCCTACAAATGAATAGATAAACCTCTTTTTTAAAGCAAGGGAACATGACAAGCCTAGTTATCACTGTTTTCTGAACTCCAGTGATCTCCCTAAGAGAGATCAAGAGTATTTCTTGCCCTCTTGTCTACAAAAGGTGTTTTCTTTTTCTTTTCTTTTTCTTTCTTTTTTTTTTTTTTTAATTTTCAGATGCTAGGCCAGGTGAGAAATGTGTCTTTTTACTGTGTAGACACTGCCAGGATGTAATCAGCCCTGAGAATAGAGACAATGTGGGTCGTTTGTGCCAGGCTGAGATGTACAAGCTGCTTGACAACCCAGGCATTGTTAAGCAAGTTGCTGGAATTGTTTGTGGGGAGTGTGTCTGTATGCACGCGCTTAGGAACGCAGCTCCTGTTAGACACTAGGGTAGTTAGGATAGATTCCTGTCCCTAGAACGTGATGTGTGGAGGGGCATCTCTCTGGATAAGGGCATCCGCTGGTCAGCATCCTACAGAGTAGGCGTCTGGAGACAGGGTCTGCATAATGGGATCAGTACAGATAACTCACTTCTATTTCAGAATGCTCCCTGTAGCCCTGTGAGTCCCAGCGCTGATATACAGACCATAGTTAGTGTGGTTCCTTTTGACTTTCCAGACTAAAGAGGACCAGATCCAAGTGATAGGTAACCTCAAGAATATCTCCATGGCATCCAGTAAGCTGTTGCTAGCTGCTAAATCTCTCTCCGTTGACCCAGGGGCCCCTAATGCAAAAAATCTCTTAGCAGCAGCTGCAAGGTAAGAGGGGGAAAAAAAGAAGGGGTTATACTGTGTCATTGTGACAATTCTTTCTTCTTATAATGTCTTTAAATGCTTGGTTCTAGCCTCTTGTTGCTACCTGTACTGCCTGTGTTCCTTGTAAGTAGTGGAAATGAACACTTGGACTTTTGGTGGTTTATGAAAAGTTGATTATTTATGCATTTACATTATGTTTTAAATGAACATGTAGGCATTTAATAATGGTTTATTGTATGGAATTTAAAGTTACAGTTTTCTTCCCACAAGACTTTTTTCTCCTTTTAATCCTAATAACTCATATTTCCATAAGTGATTTAAAATTTGCAAAGTACTTTGCTGACAACAGCCCCAAGAGGTAAGTAGTATGAATATTATTTTACTTGAAATGTATTTGTCCATTTTACAGATAAGGAAACTCAGGCCATCAGTGGTTAAATGAATTGCCCATGTTCACATACCTAATAAGTGTCTGGGATGGAATTTGAACCCACATCTCTCGATTCCAAATCTGTGCAATCTGTACTAAATTCTAAACTTCATTGATTTTGCAGGCTTAGTTTAAAATGAGTTTTTGGCTGCTTGATCCTTGGACAGCTGGGTGACCCATTCAGTTTCTTCCTCTTTTTTAAGCACTAAGTATAGCTAAATTCCATGTTTACCATTGCATTTGGTTACCATTTCTTCCACCCAGAACAGTAACATCGTTGATTGATTTCTCATTCCTCGGGAAGCTGCTTCAGAGTTTTCCTTTTGCTTGTGGAGCCGCCAAGCCTTCTTATGGGCCTAACCAGAACTCTTGATTCTCTCTCTTCCATTCCTAGATGGTTTTTCAGTCTGTCAGAAACTAGAGCTACCAGAGAATAGACAAATACCTTAAGATCTTTCAAATTCCACTTTTTTTTTATTCTGAATTTAACGAACACCAAATAAAGTGGGCATTTCCACACATATATTTGAATGGAAAAATGGGATTGTACCCAAAACAATGAATCTCTCTTGTGTACAGCGTGTTTTTCTTTTTTAAATAAATTCAAATGTAATTACCATAGCTTTCTTCCTTGTCAGTGGCTTCCCTACCCCCACCCTTGGCTTTCCTTCTTCTTCTTCTTTTTTTTTTATTTTTCGGCTACCCTGCTCCTATCTTCTCCATTACCATTGCCAACATCCCCCATTAGAAAGAAAAATTATAAAAATGGAAACAAAACTCTTAAAACAAATATGCATGGTCAATCAAAACAAATTTCCCTAGTATCTCAAACTGTATGGCTTATCTGAATCTTGAGTCCATTGTCTTTGTTTCAGGAAATGAGTAGCAGGCTCCGCCATTGGTCCTCTAGAATCATAGTTGGTCATTGCATTTATCAGTTTTGAAGTCTCTTTCAAAGTTGTTTTTCCTCATAAAGTTATTGTTATTGTATAGATTCTTTTCCTGGTTCTGCTCATTTCATTCTTTGTTAACTTCATGCAAGTCTTCCTAAGTTTCTCTGAAACTGTCTATCCCTTTCATTATTTCTTACAGCATAATAATATTCCATTATGTTCATGTAACATAATTTGTTCAGGCGTTTTTCCATTGATAGGCAATGACTTTGTTTCCAGTTCTTTGCTGCTATGAAAAGAGCTTCTGCAAATATTCCTGTACATACAGATCCTTTTTCTTTTTCTTTTTCTTTTATCTCTTTGAAGTATAGGCCTACTAGTGTTATCGTTGGTTCAAAGGTGATGCACAATTTAGTGACTTTCCAAATTGCCTTCCAGAATAGCTGGAGTATTTAACAATTCCACCAGTAGCCCATTAGCAAGCCTCTTTTTCCTTAATCATTCCAACATTTGTCAGTTTCTTTTTCTTTCACTTTTGTCAGTCAAGTAGTTATAAGGTAGAACCTCGACTCAATTTTCTCTAAACATTAGTGATTTGGAACATTTTTTTTTCGTGGGTTTATTCATAGCTAGAATTTCTTCCTTTGAAAACTACCTGTTCATTTCCTTCACCCATTCTATCTTTTGGGGTATGACTCTTGTTCTTACAAATTTGAATCAGTTCATTGTATATCTTGGATATGAGGCTTATATCAGAGAAACGTGCTATAGTGATTTTTTTCTGCAGTTAATTATTTTAATTTTAATCACAAATTTTTTTTTTACAAAATTTTAACTACAAAAGTTTTTACTGTGCAAGCAAGCTTTAGTTTTATGAGATGTGATCAAAATTGTCCATTTTCTCTTTTGTGGTCCTCACTATCCTTTCAGGAGCTCTTCCCCTATCCATACTTATGCTCCATTTCTTAATTGACTTGCAAAAGTAAGGACTCTTGCACTTTGGAGACCTATTGTTCTCTCAGTTGGGTTTTTAGCAACTGTTGCTGATTCTTTACTCTTCCTCCACCTCCCTAACTTGCCAAGACCCTTTTGATAAAGCTCTTCCCAGATATCTCTCCTCAGATGGCTTTCATTATCTTACATTTTTTAAATGACCTCAAAATTACAGTGACTTCAAAGTTTCCATTCTGGAACATGCTGTTCATTGCCTTAGATTGTGCGAAGGAAAGTCTAGCAGAGTAGAACTAGTTTTCAGAGCTGAGATATCCTAGGGGAAGGTCAAAATTGGTCTTTTAAAGTTCCAGGTATCAAATAATAGCGTCGCTCCAAATGAATGTCATTACATTCATACTTCAAATTCCTACTTAGAAAATTGAAGAAAAGTTGAGGATAAACGTGCCCCCCCCCTAAAAAACTTAAAAGAAATCTTTCCTGGACATAATAAATTATCCAAAGTCTTCTGTCAGTTAAAGTGAGCATAGAAGCCCAGGGGTCATTGAAAACTATCCTGTTGCATTGCTTTGCCTTTTAATAGCTCATCTAGGAATCATTAGATCATAGATTTAGAACAAGAAGGAACCTTGAGAGACCATCTAATCCAACCCTCATTCTACAGCTGAGGAAATGAGATGCAGAGAGGTTAAATAATCAACATCACACAGAGTTAAGTAATGCTAATGTAATTATACCATCTCCCTTTTTTTTTTAAACAAATGAGGAAACCAAAGCTCTTTAAGGCAGTGTGGCACAGTGGAAAGAGTGATAAACTTAAGTGCTGACTATGGAGTCATCAGACCTGAGTTCAAATCCCAGCCCTACTATTTACAGTAGTGTACTGGATAGAGTTCCAGTCCTAAAATCAGGAGGACTCATCTTCCTGAGTTCAAATCTGGCCTCATACACTTACTGGCTGTGTGACCCTGTGCAAGTCACACTTAATCATGTTGGCCTCAGTTTCCTTATCTGTAAAATGAGATGGAGAAGGAAATGGCAAACCACCCCAGAATCTTTGCCAAGAAAACTCCAAATAGGGTCACAAAGCATTAGACATGACATACCTTGTGACTTTATCCTATGGCCCTATGACTTGGGCAGGGTTTCCCAGCTAGTATATACACAGCTCAACTGGAATCAGAAGACAAGCCCCCTGAGTCAAAGTTGAGCGCTCCCTCCATTGCATGCTACAGATTAATCAAGTAAGAGTGATGAAATTAAAATAGCTCCATCGCAAGGGCAAACTATTGTGAGGATGCTGGCAGCTACTCCCCAGGAACTCAGCATCTTTTGTGGAGCATTCTTCTACATAGTTTTAGTCCAGGTACAAATTTTGGGAGCAAAGAAGGGGTCTGTTCCTGTCAGGGTTACATCTTGGGGAGGTTGCTGTAACCTTCGGCTAGGGGACTCCACTGCAAAGGATGAGCATGTAGAGTGGCCAGACACCATCTTAAATCTTCAGCACTCCACTCATTGTTTCTCCTCCTGTTATAGGATGAAAAGATCTTAGATCTGCATCCAGGGATGCCCATAGAGGTCACCTAGTCCTGAGGGATTGAGCACACAGCTCACACCACTCTAGTGGCGCCTGAACCATATTAAAATGTAATTCAGAAATACTTAGCATAATAAAAATATAATAGAACATAGGTAATGTTAGTATGTGGTTTTCTGAGTCAGTCTGCAGCCTGCAGGGATCCTTATATAAGGGCTAGGAGCCTCATTTCTGTTTGAGTTTGACACTAAGTCAAGTCTAAGTACTTCATTCCATAGGTTAGGAAACTGAGCCTCAGCCAGAGATGAAGTGACGTGCCCAAGGTCACAAAGGTGACCCAAAAAGTGTGTTCTTTCCACGGTACCCTTCTGCTGCATATTAAATTATCAAGATTAGAGTTCAAATATATCCCAGACATAATCTAGTAAAAGCATTCATTTGATTTACTTTTTTCAATGAAATTTTGTTGTCTGTTCTAAACTATTAGAAAATAGTCACCTGTGGAAATAAGGGGAAAGCAATACATTGGGCATAAAACTGTAAACTCTTCACTTGCAGTGTTTTAAGTGTACATTGACTTAAAAAAGATAATAACAAAATAATCTCTTGGTTTCTGTGTCCCCTTTTGAGCTCTTTTCCTTTGATGTATTTTTCTCCTATTGTTGCATAGTTACTGTCAGTAGGACTTTTGTTCTGATTGTCCTTTATTCTGAATCATATTTCTTCATAGTCTTCTTATTGGTCACTTAATATGGGGAGGTACTATATTCATATATCACAGTTTTAGCATTTTCACAGCCTTTGAACGAGAGATTCTTAGCCATTTTTTGTGTTCTGGACCCCTTTTCACGATCAAGTTTTAAAGTGTAAATATATAATTCATAGGATTAAAAAGAAACCAATTATTTGAAATACAGTTAACAGAATATTTTTAAAAAACAAGTTCACAGACCCTGGGGTGTGAACCCCTTGCTTTAGACACATTGCCAGCCCCTCACTTTGCACAGAAGAGGACATTGAGGCCCAGAGAGGTGACAGTCTCTTTCTTAGGGTCACACAATAGAAAACCCAAGACTAGATCTTTGGGCTTCTGATTCCCTGGTCATTGCTCTTTTCATTACCCACCCTGATATCCCTTGGTCATTCATATGGCTGTCCTGTGACTGAACGGTAATGCCATTGTTGCTTTTCAGGGCATGAACAAGCCAGTCCAGTGTCTCAATCCTGAACTTCCTGCCCTCCCTGCTCCCCTCCCCCAACCCCCCAGCATTTTCAAACTTGAGTCTGTTGTCCTTTGTTGGACTGTTCATCCCTTCTACCCATGGGAAATCCAGTTTTCTTCTCAACAGAAAATGGAACACTGCTTTGTGTAATGGACCCTCATTTCTTCCTCAGGATAAAAGAAAGGGAAGGGGAAGGGCAGAAGACATTTGAAGAACCCAGTCATCTTGTTTCAGATGTCTACAGTGGCACGGCTTTCACTTTATTTTCATTTGCTTTCATTTCACATTAGGGATGTGGAAACTTGTTTATTTCCTTCAATTGTGCTGGTTCAGGATGTTGCCAAATCTCATGAGTCTGGTTGAGTTGAGAACCATTTTCTCAGGTTTCCACCAATCCCTGTCTCGGGATAAGCAGCTGGGTGGGTGTTCTCTGATTGCGTCTAGAGACTGAGAAACCAATTTTCAGTTGCAAGAAAAGGATGCTCTACCTCTGTTCTCCCTCCCTGTTGCTGTTACTGACACTGCAACCTTGCCAAGCCCCTTTCATGAAATATTCGACAACTTGAGAAGCAGTTTACCCTTCTCCCCTTCCAAAGCTGCCCTAGAGGCTGAGGTTATACTGGGGATCATAGGACCCATTTCCACTTCTGTGCCAACCTTAGCATTGACTTTCTAGGAACCTGCAATTTAATTAACACCTGTCTCACTCGTTGCCACTTGTATTTTGCTATTGGTCCCTGCTGAGTCTGCTTGAGCTCCTGAGAGACTGTCACCAAAGCTGGAACAGCAATTCTCTTTGTATAAGAGAAGAGAGGGGGGAATTGGGATGTGCAAGGGGAAAAAAATGGTCTTTTTTGCATTTGCCTTTGATCATACTATTTCTTCCTCCTCAGTCCTAATTGCTCTCCTGCTTTGTTTCTTTTCATTTGAATAGTAGCCATTCTTTAGAGTACAAATCAAACCCTACCTCCTTTAAAAAGTCTTTTATGGCTACTCCAACCTCACGCTGATTTCTTTCTTGCCATTCCAGATCTTGTATTGGCGTTAGATTGTTTCAACTACAGTCTTCTCTCTCCCTCCTCTAAACCTGGAAAATATATAATCCATCTGTCTGTCTATCCACATCGATGTACTAAGTGTGTGTGTGTGTGTGTGTGTATGACTACAGCTATATGCATAGACAGTATATAGATATAGATAGATAACATATATTGTATATAAATATGTATGTGTGTGTATATATGTGTATATATGTGTATATATAGTCTGTTGCATATACATATGTGTGTGGAGAGGGAGGGGAGAGAGAGAGACAGACAGATGGACAGTCTTCTTGGGCAGTGTTTTGTGTCATCTCTTTTCTGGGTTTCTTATATTCCTATTTACGTTTTTGAAGGCATATGTCGCACTTCTCTAAATAGATTGTAATTGAATTCAGCAAACATTTATTCAGGGCCCCCCGCCCCATGGGTAAAGTCTGGTCTATAGTGAGAAGTATTCAAGACAAGGATCCAAGTTTTATAAGTCATAACTCTTCTACTACACCTAGTATTGTACCTTGTAAATAATGGGGAGCAGCTAGGTGGCATGGTGGGTAGAGCTCCAGCCTTGGAGTCAGGAGGACCTGAGTTCACATCTGGCCTCAGACACTTGAAACTTACCAGCTGTGTGACCCTGGGCAAGTTGCTTAACCCCAATTTCCTCAAAAAAAAAAAGCCTAGAGAGTAAATAATGGGCATTCCACAAATATTTGTTGGTCACTGAATCTCTTTATCTTCACTAGAATTTAAGTAATTCAAAGTCAGGAATAGTGCCTTCACCTTTTTTCCCTGTGCTGTATCCCTTAAGATACTCTAGTTTGGGTCATTTTAGTGTCACTGAACATTGAACAGTTTTCAGTTTAGAAAGTCCTTCAGTAATCTTTGAAGCTGGAGGCTAAGGTCTAGTTGCTTTTATCCTTGAATAGAGGAACGTCCCTGGTTTGTGTTTTCATTATCAGTCACGCCATCCCAGCGCCATATGGTAACTGCCAGCTCCAGTATGTTTAATGTATAATAATCTCTTGAGTGTCCTCTGTAGAAGTTTGCGATTTCCTGAGTCAAATACATACAGCCTTTCACTTTGGGCACCCTTGACTTCATTTGTTTATTCTTTCTCTACACTCTGAAATGAGTAAATGAGTGTGACTGATAGCCAAATCAAGGCTACTCAGTGTCTGTCCTTATTGCCCAATGAGTTCCTCAAGCATAAGTACAAGCCCTTACTTTTAGAATCTAATGTTCTACACCAGCTGACCCTGACATTGGTCAGAGCTGAAGACCAACCAAATGAAGAGTAGACCCACTGGAAAAAGCGTAAACTACATGAAGCAATATTTCTGTACAAATACCAAGTGATCCTGACCTACCTCACAACTGCTGTGCCACTAGTAATGGGGTGTGTCGATATGTACTGATTAAGACTTATTAAGCCCTAGTCAGGCTCTTGTCCCCTCAATGGCACTGTGACAACCATAGTATAAGGTACAATCCTGCTCTACCTTTGAAGGGGGTGTCACTCTATCCCAATATTGTTTCGCCATTGCGTTCAGTGGAGGAAAAAATATCCCTGTTTTGTCATATGTTGTCCCAATTGAGTTACCCAAGTGTTGGATTTTTCGCAACTAGAGTTACTAAGGAAAATCTGTGGGCAAATGAATGAATTTGACCAGAGTCACATGGGGGGGCAGGATTTTTAGTTCTTTCCCTACCCAAAGTTCAAGATTTTTTTTTCCTTTCTCTCCCCTAGCTCATCACCTTAAGTAAATTTAAAATTCAAACTAGAGTCTAGAGTCTTCTCATCAAATAATTAAGCTGATTGTCCTTTGTATATTAGAAAAGCCTCTTCATTCAATTTTGCATATTCTCTGCCAAACTCAAAACAATTTATTAGTAAAATACTTTCTTTCACTGACTCCAAATCCTCTGCCCTTTCCACTGAACCAGGATTCATGGAAGAGGTTTGAAGTTGCAGCTTGGTACTGTCCAAAGAGCAATGGATATGGAGTCCAAAGACCTGGGATTTATTACTTTCAGGGCTCTGCCACCAAGAGCCTCTGGCCTCAGTTTCATCATCTACAAAAGTGAGAGACATACAGCTTTCCTCACTAGGTTGGGGAGGACTAAATGTGACCATATATGTTAAGAGCTTTGTAAACCAGAAAGCACTATAGAAATGTCTCAGGTGCTGTTGTCATTTTTATTATAGGACTTGAATTTGGTCATGAAGAGGAAGAGTAACTCACATTTCATTATGGTTCACTAAGTCCACAAAGGCACTTACTTACAGCAACCCTGTCAAATACGGGCAGATTTTAGATCAATGGAAAGAGTATTCTAGGCAAAAGGGAATACTGAACAAAGGCTTGGAGGTGGGGATGAGAATGATGTGTTGGGGTGGGGAGCATGATACATTGAGTTGGCTTTATGTTGGAAGTTATAAGAGGTAATTTTGGGTGATTTGAGTAAGAGCCAAATTATGGAGAGAATTAAAAGTCAAGCTGAAGATTTGTTTTCTTTTTTTCCTCCCTCTCCTAACCTTGTTATTGTTCAGTTGAGTCCAGCTCTTTGTGACCCCATGGACGATATCATTCATGGGGTTTTCCTGTAGTGGTTTGCCATTTTCACTTCTCCAGTGGATTAAGGCAGCAAAGGTTAAATGACTTGCCCAGAGTCACACAGCTAGTAAGTGTCTGAGGCCAGATTTTAACTTGGGTCTTCCTGACTTCAGCCCCAGCACTCTATCCACTGAACCACCTAGGTAAACAAAAATTAAGGGGCTTGCCCAAAGTCATACAGCTAATCTGAGGCCTGATTCCAGACCCCTAACCTTACTTACTCTGTGTTAATAAAAGACATTCACTAATTTAAGTAGCACCTCAAGGAAGTTTTTTCTCATTCACATTCTCCTCACTGGAACATGTTCACCTAGACTCACATACACCCTCCTATCTTTGGCTCTAGCTCTTTGCCTCTCCTTAACTCTGTTTTACCTTGAAACACAGTAGCCACCTCTGTGAGGTCTTCAAATTTCAGTGCAGTACATAGTAGTGAAATGTGTGCCCTTGACACAATCCAGCTCTCTGAATGATGGATATCTTGTAGCCTAGAGTAGGTGGCAGTCTCTGCCTCCCATTCTAGAAGAGGCTGCTTAAGGAGGATTGGACACCAAGAATGCCCAAAGTTTTCAAGCTTTCCCAAAGGTACACGGTGGTCCCAAAACAGTGCCAAGATTGGATCTAAGGTTCTGGCTTATTTCTTTGTGGCCCTGCTGTCTTTACCCAATCCTCAAATGAAGATCACATTTTTATTAAGGAATACGGTTCAGACCTGCATTTAAGGACTATGAATTCATGTGGGAGTATATGAAAAGTAGTTTTAAAATTCCATTGCACTGTTTACAGCATGCCAGTGGTAATTAGTAGTCTCTAATCTTAGAAATTGTAAGAGGAGATGTCCAGATTATTCCTTGTAAATAGCTAATGAAAGGTCTTGAAAACAGTATGATTATATTACTATTTGAACTCCATTGGAAAGTCTCACTCAACTATATATATTGAGATAGTCATTAATTCTGGAAAGAAACACAAGTTCCTCTCAGAAATCAGACCAATAATCAGAAACAAGGTAATGATTCTGCTCTGCTTGAGGGAAAAATTTCCTTCCACAATTTTGTTTCTTTTGGGTTTTTTTTTGTTTTTTTGTTTTTTTGTTTTTGTTTTTTGTTTTTGTTTACAACCTAAGTTTATAGAAGAGCCATGAATGGGTGCCATACCCTCCTTAATTAATTAATTGAATTTCTTACAAACTGGAAAAATAAAATAAAGATAATTTCATCATCAATCTCTATTAAAAAAATTTTTTTTTCCTTCCTAGAGCTGTGACAGAAAGCATTAACCAGCTCATCACACTGTGTACCCAGCAAGCACCAGGCCAGAAGGAATGTGACAATGCCCTCAGGGAACTTGAGGTATTATTACATGGGATGACGCTTAGAGATTTCAAAGGGTGGAAGGACAGGTGCCATCCTTCCATTTTCTTGTAGGATTACTGCCCTGTGCCTTTCTTGTTTCCTAGTCTTTCTGGGAAGGACATTGTAACCTATCCTCATGGACAGGAATTCCTCCTGGTGGAGCTGAGAGTAGCATCATTACTGCCTCTACTCTTGTGTTTAGGCAGAGATGTATTTTGTAGAAAGAGTCTCATATATGCAGGAGGAGAAAGTAATAGTTACCAGCTGCTCTTTGGCTGTTGCTATGGATATAAGACCCAAACTGAACAACCTGTTGAGGCAAATTAAGATAATGGTATATCCTGAGGCAGTTGAGAATGACAGCTCGCCTGAACACGCTACTTACTGAGGGAAGAATACATTTTGCCTGTTCGTTTTGTCTTACTAGAGTTCTGGGTGATTCTTCAGGCAGGGTGTTACAAAGTGATACTCTTTGACCAAAACGGTTAGAGAGCAGAGTCAAGAGTCCTGGGGCTCCCCATGACCTGATACTGATACTGTTGCAGATATCTGTCTAAAGTGGTAACTCTTGTACTTTAGAATGAGATACAAGTATTTGTGACAGAAAATAAATGAAAGTCAGTCCCTCCCCAACTCTTGAAGAACCAGCCATTCTATAGATAGAGGGCATATTAAATGGACCAAATGGATGTCTCAGTAAAAATAAATTGGTTGTATTTCCATGGACATTTGATTTCCCTACAGAGATGCTGCTTGGCTGTCAATCATTCATTCAGGTTGTATGTTCTTCAGTCCATGTAGTTCTGACATCTTGGGATCACCCAAGCATCTGGAGGAAATTGCACAATCAACCAGAAATAATTCTGACTTCCCACTGGCCCATGATGTAGTCTCTATAATTGACTTTTTATTCCTGGCCTTGGAGTAGTAGCCTGGAACTCAGGATGTACAGTTACTCTATAAAAATTGCTCAGACTCCTCTCCATGAGCCTTGAATTTAAATCTACATGTATCTCAACAAAACCAGTGGCGTCCTTAGGTCTTTTCCAAAATGTAATACCAGAAATCAAAGTCTTCTACAATTTTTAGACGATAGGTCTTCATGATAAACGGTAGGGTACTCTTTTTTGTCCCCTTAGCTCAGGTCACTTCACTCACTGCCCACCACAAAGGAGAGAAGCTTGAGCTGAGTTTAAGAACTGTGAGTAACCTTATCACCCATTTTTGCCAGGGTGACACAGCCTCCAGAGCCCTGATCTTGTATATGATTTTTGTACTGTTTGTGAAAAGTAGAGCTGACTTGATCACCTTAAACGCAGGGCCAGCTGTTTGTCTTTACTTGGGAGCCTAGCGTTACATCAGCTTAGCTGTTTTTTCTTCTACGCTGTGTTTTTAAGTGGTCTGGTGGTTGAAGCAGGGACAGAAATCTTGATTGAATATGCCAGCTGGCATGGGCAAAAAGTATTCAGGTTTGTTTGTCTCCCCTTTACATAGAAAATAATAAGTTCAAATTATATTTTAAAATGTATTTCATGCCTGAATTCTATCTGAAGATGCTTTCATTAGGGAGGATGGAAAACAAAATTAAAATAAAATAATGGCAGTTAGTATTTAAAAAGAAAAAAAATAGGATTCTGAATAGTCCATTTAAAATAAATCCTATTTAAATGAATTTTGCTTTAAGGTGAATTCTTCAAAAAAAGTAAAACTAATGATAGATGAAGGAATTTACATGGTTGGTTAGCTGAACCCAAAACAGTGGAAGCTATGTGAAATAGGTTGTAGTTTTGAGGTTAGAAACAACAGAAACAGTGATTAATTGGAAGAAAACAAGGGGAAATGAGTTTTGCTCCACAAAGGGTTCAATATTTATTGATAATTTATTTTTAGAGAGAGAATTTTTTTTTTGATTTGAAAAATCACATTTGGTGAGATTGTGCTCACCAGGTACCGTCCTGGGTTGAAATTTGGTCTGATTTTACCTTCATAATTGATCCTCAGGTAGCTGAAGCAGTAGGAATAGTCTATACATACATGGAGATAATGGAGATATTCTGTGATCTTGTTAATAATAGCAGATAGGCGCTTGTACTCAGAGGAAGGCAGAAAGAGTTTATTATCTCAGGGTTGATGCTTTTGTAAACTGCTCAGAATGCAAGGTAGTTGAATGAGTTACTTTCATCCTTAATAATCACTGCCTGATTAAGTTTTCAGTTATTTGAGGGGAACCTGTCTTTTAAATTGATTGGGTCATAGATCTAGAGGGGACCTCAGAGGTCATCTAGTTTTTGTTTTTATAAATGAGGAAAATGAGGCCATGGAAATTTTAAGAGATTTGCCCAAGGTCATTTAGGTAATATAGCATCAGAGGCAGTTTTTTAACTCAGGCTCCAGAACAATTGTTCTTTCCACTCTCTCTTCAGAAATGGGGTCATCTGCCTTTAAATGTCACCATACTTTTTACCCTGTACCTTAAACTGAATACAGATGCCATTGGGTTATGGTGGAAAGAGCACGCCATTTGTGACTGTGGGCAAGTCTCTTGACCTTCAGTATCTTCATCTGTAAAGTGGACTAGATGACCTGTGAGGTCCCTTCTATTATATCAGAAACATTCTCATCATCTTTCCTATCTGATGTTTCTTAAGACCTCATCATCAGGACAACTTATGAAGAAAAAGTTGGCTTCTGAAATATATAATATATCCCTATTATATAATATGCACCACTAGTTCAGTACATAGGAATCTAGGTTAGACTTTTCTCCTTGATAGCATTTGAATACAGCTCACCCAGGACTTAGATAACAGATAACCAAAAGTGTGATGGTTAGTTCATGGTGCCCATATAGAGAAGGACAAAAATAACACCTTCACAGATGGAGTCCAGGAGGTTTAAGAGTTAGTGGCTTTTTTATGGCTTTAAAAAGGAAAGCAAACCAAATTAATCAACCAATCTAAATTGTTTTTCTCTCAGACTAGTCACAGATGAATTGTCCTTTCTCATCATGCTTTGCCTACCCATGAAGACAGTAAGGGAAAAAAGTTTCAGAGTTCAGATGCTGAAAGATCCCATCAATTATAAATACAGAATCAGTCAGTGAATGAGTCCTTGAAATTTCACTCTACTTTCATCTCTAAAGGATTGACTAGGAAAATCTTCCATTGCCACATCCCCTCACCTCTACCCTACTCTATTAAGTATTGGCAATAAAAGTAATCAACCTCTAGTTTAATTAGCACTTGCCTAATTAGTACTATATCTGATTAACAAAAGTGGTCTCAAATAACTTATGCTTGCTTCAAGAATTCGAAGTTTACCTACTTAAAAGTGAAATGAACACTAGTGATCAGAGCTCTACGTATAGGGGAAAAAAATTTATTATTTGTTCACAGTAGTCTGTCGAGTCACATTTCATTCCAACGCTTTAAGGTTTTTGTTCTCTTTCTGCAGACTGTTAAGGGAATGTTGGATAATCCCAATGAACCTGTTAGTGATCTCTCCTATTTTGACTGCATTGAGAGTGTAATGGAAAATTCCAAGGTAAGATTGCTTTTGTTATAGTAGCCTGGATCAGCTTTCATGTGTGTAAATTAAGGAGCCATGTGTGTTCACATGTGATAGAGATGTGTGTACGTGTATGCACACATGCATACAGATAAACACACCAAAGGCTGGGAGCCTCTGCAGTGATATATTCATGTGATGACTTCTTCCGTGAGTGTATGTGTACACAGGCACATGTGTGCACACATCTTTATGTACATATACACGTGTGTGTATGAATATATTTATGAACACCATGGTCCCTCAGGTCCCTTCTGGCTCTTTCTCCACCCCCCCCCTCACACACACACACACACACACACACACACACACACACACACACACACACATGAGGAGAGAAAGAAATGGAGGGAGGGAAAGAGAGAGAAATATATATGAGAGTACATATATTTAGATATTTGGACTCTTGTGCCCAGAGAATGTTTTTCCAGCTACATTGAAGTTCATTTTTGAAATGCCCTACTTCTTCATTTCCTTTTAATTATAATTAAGACTTTGCTTTTCTGTTTATAAGTTAATCTGCTTTGCATATCCAGGAAATAAAGTTGTTTTCCTTTAATCATTAGGAAAGTATCATATACTATTCTCATTACCATAGGAATTACTGTCTAAAAGATCTTTATCACTAAAATGGCATATAGATTTGGTGGTGCCACCACCTTACTAAGAGAAAATGCAAATTAATTCTATTTATTCTTCATTTCACTACCTGTGGAGAAGGTTTAATTGTAATACATATACACCTACCGAGTAGTCTTTCTTGAAGAATTAGCCACACCGATAAGCCCTTTTAAGTACTCTTGAGTATACATATAAAATTTATAATAAATTATCATCCAAAATAAGGTAAATATAAATATAAAATCTAGAATTGTTACTGCTTTCTTTCTGAAATTATTCTAGTAATAAATACATTTTTATTTTAATACTTCCTTGCACATTGATACTGCGAAGTAAATTTCTTGGTACATTCAGACATGTCTGCCTCTTTATGACCTTGTGGGCCACAGCATAGCAGTGCTGTCCATGGGCTTTCTTGACAAAGATACTGGTGTAGTTTGCCGTTCCTTCTCCAGTGGATTAAGGCAAACAGAGAGTAAATGACTTGCCCAGGGTCACGTGGCTCGTAAGTGTCTGAGGCAGGATTTGAACTCAGATCTTAATGACTCCAGGTTTAGCAGTCTATCCACTGAGCTGCCTCTTGACACATAGTAGACACTTCCTAAATGAATATTGAATTGGATTCAGTCAGTCAACAAACATTTATTAAGCACCCCACTATGTGCCAGGCATTGTGCTAGTCTTAGGTGATACAAAGACAACAATTAAAACAGGTCCTGCTTTCAGGAAGCATGCATTCTGTTGAAATAAACATTTATTGAACGGCTTTATCTTCATAATTAGCTGTTACATTTAACTCTAGAAATATGCAGCTCTAGGAATTCCCAGCTTAGAAAGAGACACCCAGGGGCAGGTAGGTGGTGCAGTGGATAGAGCACCAGCCCTGAAGTCAGGAGGACCTGAGTTCAGATCTGACCTCAGACCAAACACTTGACACTTACTAGCTGTGTGACCCTGGGCAAGTCACTTAACCCCAATTGCCTAAAAGTTAAAAAAAAAAAAAAAGAATTAACCTTTGGGGCATCTAGGTGGCGCAGTGGATAGAGCTCCAGCCTTGGAGTCAGGAGGATCTGAGTTCAAATCCAGCCTCAAACACTTGAGACTAGCTGTGTGACCCTGGGCAAGTCACTTAACCCCAAGTGCCTCACCAAAAAAAAAAAAAAGAAAGAAAAAAGAAAAAAAAAAGAGACACCCAAGTGATATGTACTTTTGATACTCTTATATGAATATGCCCTCTTCCATTAGAATAAAAGAGACTTTGGGCATGAAAGTTTCGTGCTCCCAATTTATCGTTTTTCTATTTAAAACTGAATTATTACAATTTGCCTGCCCTTTATTGTTATCAATAAGGGAGAAGACTAGAAAGAAGATAGAATTAAATTTCCTTGAAGTTTAGACTTTTATGTCAGCATTACCCTGTTGCACACACTGTTATTGGAGCAGTGCTGTCTTTGTTTCAGGTCCTGGGTGAGTCCATGGCAGGAATATCTCAAAATGCCAAGACGGGTGACCTTCCTCTGTTTGGAGAATGCGTGGGAGTTGCATCCAAGGCCCTCTGTGGCCTCACAGAAGCTGCAGCCCAGGTAAGTCCTTTTTGGCCAACTACATAGTAAGACATTGATTCCCACTCTCCACTTGAGATTCAAATGAGGATTTCCATGGATCTGCAAAAGAATCTTGAAGGTTATGGGGGGGGGGAAGATGTGAGCCTGACCCCTCATTCAGTCACAAGGCGAGGATTGGCAGCTTCTTTTAATAGTAAGAGGATAGGATAGGATTCAATCCAGTGCAGAGAAAGTGGCTCTAGAAGGGTTCTTGCCAGGTGTGGTGGTGCATGCTTATGATTTAACTACTAGGGAGGCTAGGTTGAAGCAAAAGAATCTTTTGAGCTCAGGAGTTCCATACTGCAGCGGGCTAAGATAATCGGGTGTGTGCACTAACCTTAGCATTAATTGGTGATCTTCCAGGAGCAAGGAAGGAAACTAGGTTAGCTCCTATGCTGATGAGCATAGGGCCAAATTCATGAGTAGTCCCTGTGTTTTGGAAGAAAGGAAGGAAAGAAGGGAGTTTGGATAGGTACCTTCCACATTTTTTTGTTTCTAAGTTGATATGGACGATAAGGTACAAGAGGACAGGAGAAGTTCTTAGCCAAGATGAATGGATGAACGAACAAAGCATTTAATGTGCTAGGCACTGTGGTAAATATTGGAGATGCAAAAACAAAAGCAGTCTCTACTAAGAAAAAGGAAGAAAGAAGCTGGAGGCAGGAGTTCTTAAGATATTTTGTGTCATAGACATAAAAATCAGTCTGGTGAAGCCTATGGACCCATTCTTAGAATGTTTTCAAATGTATAAAATATATAGGATTATAAAGCAAACCAATTATACTGAAATGTAGTTATTAAGATAGTTTAAAAACAAATTCGTGGACACCAAGTTAAGAACCTCTGCTCTGGAACTGGTCCCTCTCCCAGACAAAAGAGTTGAAATTATAACTTCCTACTAGTTGTAAAATCTCAAAGTTGGAAGCTCAACAGAAGCATGGTATCTTCCACATTTTTTTTGTTTCTTGTCTGAGTTGGTATGGAAGATGATATAGAAGAGGATAAGAGAAGCTCTTGGCCAAGATGGATAAAAGAATGAATGAATAAATAAAGTATGTAATTATTTACTGTTTACCAAGTATTGTGCTAAGTATTGGAAATGCAAAAACTGTCAAAGAACTTACATTCTAACATGAAGAAAACATGGGGAGTGGTGGCCAAAGAAGGGGCACTTTAGTCTGGAATGTTACTGGGAGGGTGAGTAGAGTCCTAGGAAGTAGATCGACACACCTCATCCAGGAACAATGGCAGAGGTGATTTGATTCTTCTAGAGGAGACATGGAAGCCTGCAAAGCAATTGAGGCTATGGAGGAGATTGAAGATGTCCTTGAGAGTGGGAATATATTGGCTGAGACTTTCCTGAAATAGAGGTCTAGAAAAACAGTTATTAATCAGTGCAGGGGAACCCTAGATTGAACATTTCTTTCAGCTTATTGTCTCTGGTGTGGGTGGTAAGCCTGTGGAGGAGACAGATGGCCTGAGAGTAGGGAATACAGAACTGTATATATTCCCCCAGTGATTTATCCTTTTTTAAAAATTGGTTTTTGAGCTATTGCAATTACTGTTATATGTCTTTGTTCTTATAAAAACAGGTACGACTTGTTTGAATTGCTTCAGGCCTTAGGATCACAAGGACTAATTGGTGTTCAAAAGTAGAGTTCAAGTGAGAAAAGGTTGGGACCCTCAGCAGTAATATATTAGATGTCACCCCTGCTCCTTCTACTGTGGACATCTTGTGAATTTTTGAAATAACTGTTTGGTTTCCTTAACTGACCCCAAAAGAGTCCACTGTTGCCATGTGTCCTCCCCAGAGAGGATTTGCATCTGTCTTGAATTTGGAAAGTTGAAGTGGATAAAAGAAATCCTCTAGTTATCTGAGTATACAACACTCAGTGCCATGTATGTTTCTGGGTTGTACGAATTGGCGTATTTTCACTCAGTTACTAGGAATATTCTTGGGACAGTCATACTTCATTATAGATTAAATGCTTTTTTTTCCCCTCCTGCAAATGTTTCAGTGATTTCGTATGTACTTCACTGTACCTGCATCAGCATGTCTCAGTCATTTTCATTATATCTGATTTTCACCAAATGTGTCAGCAGCTAGGGCTGAATATTTTATAGCTTGAATATTGTTTATCATTTTTAGCAATAGTGTCATCATGTTTACCTCCTGGTAGCCTCATGAGGTAGATAGCACAATCCCTATTTAACAACTACGGACACTGAGGCTGTAGAACTTGGCATGTTCTTCCAGTGTAGATAGTGAAGGTTAGAACCAGTTCATTCCATCCTCTTATTAGCCTTTGGAAGGCTGAGCGTGGCTCTTATGCAAAAAATACCACAGAAACTGTATTTGGTGCAGTAATCTGCCAGGTAGCCGCATTAGTGCAGAGAGCTGGTCCTGGAATCAGAAACACCAAAGTTCAAATACTACTTCAGACACTTGCTAGCTGTGTGACCCTGGGCAAATCATTTAACCACTGCCTGCCTCAGTTTCTCAGTTTCCTCAGCTATAAAATGAGAAATAGTAGTAGCACCTGCCTCCCAGGGATTGTTGTGAGGATCAAATCAGATCATATTAGTAGATGGCTTAGCATATTTCCTGGCACAGAGCAGGCACTTAGTAAACACTTATTTCTTTCCTTTGTTCTAGGCTGCTTACCTCGTTGGCATCTCTGATCCCAACAGCCAGGCTGGCCACCAGGGTCTCGTAGACCACATCCAGTTTGCCAGGGCTAATCAGGCAATCCAGATGGCTTGTCAGAATCTGGTGGACCCGGGCAGTAGTCCATCGCAGGTAACCATCTTGAGCAATGTACACAATGCTTTCCCAAGGCATCCAGCCTCCTACCGTAGTATATCCTAGGTAGGGAAAAGGAATTGTGAAGGTGGGGTGGAGACCTTGCACATCTCAGATTCACACGGTACATTGTTCTAGATAAAGAATTTGGGAGTCCTTGAAACTTGTTATAGATTGAAAATTAAAGCATGGTATCTTAGAAAACAGAAAACCTCTATTATTGCCTGGGTAAAATAAAGTCAACAGTGAGGGGGTTGGGGGGAGGATGGAGTATATGTCCTGTGTTTCTTTATGATACTTATGCAGCACTGGGGGCAACTAGGTAGCTCAGTGAATAGGGTGCCAGGCCTGGAGTCAGGAAGACCTGAGTTCAAGCTCCACACACTTACTACTTGTATGACCCTGGGTGAGTCACAACCCTGTTTGCCTCAGTTTCCTCATCTATAAAATGAGCTGGAGAAGAAAATCTCAAGCTACTGTAGTATCTTTGCCAAGAAAACCCCAAAGTGGGTCACAAAGAGTCAGACAGGACTGAAATGACTCAACAGCGACATCTAATCAAGTTTGCTGGTAATGCCAGTTTAGCAATGTTTTGTTATCTTCTCCTTTCCATAAAGACCTTTTAAGCTATGTGTTGCCTTTCTGTGGATATCTCTTCCTCTTCTTTTTCTCTTTTATTACCACCCTTTATTTTTGCTTTAGCCTCATTGCGTCTGTATAGAGCTATAACTAGGGTGATGCAGCAGGAATTTGTTTCAGAATGCTGAAATCTAGTGGGTGCTGTCACTATGTTAAATCTTTCAGCAGGATAGAAACAGCTGAGCTTGGCTCCTAGTTAGTAAAAATAATTAGTTAAAGGAGGAAGCTAGCCGTTTTCCTTCACTTCCTTGGTCCATTTGCCTACCTGGAATCCTTCCTTAACTCCCCTCCCTAATCTCCACCCCCACCCCCCTGTCCCATACCGGTACCTCAGAGTATTTGCCATGTTTCACGCTGTTTACCCCAGGTATATTTTTTGCTATTTACCCGAGTTGCAGAAATGTCTACTTTCAGCTCTGCATTTATATTTAGAAGGCCAGTTTGATTTATTCCATTTTTTACATCACTCTAGTGATGACCCTGAATGAATGATTGATATGTGGAACTAGTTCCATATATTTTGTTTAAGGAACGGGGAGGGGTACATACTGAATATATGCAGCAAAGGGTAACAGTTGTATGTAGGTTTCTCAGTAATTGATGTTAGGGAAGCTCAGAAATAGTAAGGACCTCAAGCCGCATTCCAATGGAAAAGAAAAAAGTCTCGTATGTTTCTCAGTGATGCCTAAGTCAGTATTGATAGCCTCATACTACAACATGTCAAAATCCTTGGCACCTCTACCTCTTTTTTCCCTCTTTATCTCCTTCAGGTCCTTTTTTTCCTCTTTCCCTTTTCCTTCCTTCTTTCCTCTCTTCCTTCCCTTCTTATCATATTCCCACCCTTCCTGCTGGCAGGAGGCTATGGAACCCCATCATCCTGTAAGACAATAGAGCCCAATGTCAGTAGACCTGAAATCAACTTTGGTACACGTGAGCTAATTCATATGGAATCTAGATTTTCAGAGCAAAGCTTCTGAACCAGATTCCCCACAGCACTCCGGTTCTCTCCTTTATAGGTTTTGTCAGCCGCTACAATTGTCGCCAAGCACACCTCTGCCTTGTGTAATGCCTGTCGCATTGCTTCATCTAAGACGGCCAACCCAGTGGCCAAGAGGCATTTTGTTCAGTCGGCAAAGGAGGTCGCCAACAGCACTGCCAACCTGGTGAAAACCATCAAGGTGGGTCACCGAACCATCTTCTGAAACATAGAAGCCTTTTCCTCCCCTCTGCTCATCCCCCCACAATATAGCTCAGTCTCTGAATGCCAGATTCATGTTTTGCTCTCAATGTTAATATTTCTACCCATGAAAAGTTGTTTTATTTCCAGATAGTATTCGTTAATTGCATATCCATGTGGGCCAATTTTGCTGCATTAACAGCCTGAAATTCTATCTACTTATAATGGGAAGGGTAGAGATTGTAGAGAAATAGAAATAGATATAGATATAGATATAGATATACCTATATGTATATATATATATATATATATAGATATATAGATATATAGATATACCTATATGTATATATATATATACATACGTATGTATGTATGTGTATATTTACTAAAAACTACATAGAATTCTGCTTAAATGTATTTTAAAAGTTCAGTTTTGTTTAAAAAAAAAGTGGGTCTGCAATCTATATCTGTGCAGAAAATATGTCCCCCAGGGTAGCAAATGTATGCAGATTTCCCAATTATTGATGATGGGGGAGCTCAGAGACTGTAAAGGCCTCAAGCCGCATTCCAGTGGAAAAGAAAAAAGTTATCCCAGGTTTTCTTGAAAGCCAATTTGTTTCCTCTTTCTAGAGACCATAAGAGTAGATATAAAATGGAAGAAGTGAAAAGTACAGGGAAGGGCAGTTGAAATCTTTCCTGAGATAAGTAATATGACAGAAATAGTACTGTTGTTTTTTCCTGATGGAACAAAGATTAGGAAAAATGGAAACATGTAGAAGGAAAGAGGCAAGGTTTTTTTAACAGAGAAATGCATTACCTATAGGTCATGAGTTACGTCTGTAATCCCCTTTCCTAAAAATGTTTTGTGACAGTATTGGAATGTTCTTATGCCATAAGAGATATGTCCTATGAATGTACTGGAATACTATTACACCAATTCCATAGTTAGGATCTTCCAAATCAAATATGACCAGGTGTCCCATCTTCAGTTGTTTCTTTGTGTCTTGTTGGTGTCCATGGATGACATTTGCTGATGTAAAATTAACTCATCTGAAAAAAATGAAATAAAATGTATACTTTCTGTAAAATTTAAAATATTGCTGTACTAAATTAAGGGAAAATGAAGAGGACTTTTATTCTCTTTAGCTTCCAGTGGCTCTTCTTTGCATCTTTCCTTGGTTTTAAACACTGAGTGATCTATATGCAAACCTCTCTCTTACAGTTCCTTTCAGATTCTTCTAGGGATGTCACTTTCTCATAGCAACTCACTTCAGTAAATGAGACTGGTGATGTCCTAAAAGACAAGCTTGCAAGTGATTATGTGAGTAGAGAGAAGGGAAGTGATGTTAGACTCAGCAAGATTTGGCAAATAATTAGAAAGAGGAGTGAGTAAAAGTAAAGCATTAAGGATGCCTTCAGAGTTACAAACCTTGGTGATTGGAAAGATGGTAGTCCTTTCAACAGAAACTGGGAAGTCTGGTGAAAGTACAAGTTTCGGGGTGTTCTTTTTAGTACATGTTGATTTTGAGATTCGTTGGGGTAAACAGGTAGAGTGTTCTAATAGCAGATGGTAATGCAGCACTAGAACTCAGGACAGATTTCAACCAGGTATAGATTTATAAAGCATTCTTGGGAAGGAGAGACTTTTTAAAATTTTCTGACTTCATTCACTTGAAGCACTCTGTGTGCAGACATATACTTACTATGTATATTCATGTATATTTATGTGTGTGTATAAATATAAATATATATGTGTGTGTGTGTGTATGCATATGTATATATTCTTTCCAAAGCTTTCATTTTTTTATTACTATTATTCTGATTACATCAATGAGAAAGTCTCAATTAGATCTAATCTTGGACTATAGATTGTAGATTTAAAACTGAAAGGGTCCTTTGAGGTTATCTGGTCTGACTCCTTCTCTGATTTTCAAATAAAAAACCCAAGGCCCAAGGATTATTTTGCCCAGGGTTATTTAGCAGTGATTAGCAAGTGGCATCCATCTTTAAGACTTGGTGATTATCCTTTTAATAATGAGGGTATGTCTACTACTAGGCCTGTACTCCAAAGAGATTAAAGAAGAGAAAAAATATATATTTGTACGAAAAGTTGTTACAACACCTCTTTTTGTAGTATCAAAGAAATGGAAACAAAGGAGGTTCCCATCAGTTGGGTAATGGCTGGAAAAAAATGGTTTGGTTTGGTTTGGGGCTTTTTTTTTGGGGGGGGGAGTGTTTTGTGACAGTATTGGAATATTCTTATGCCATAAGAGATATGTTCTATGAATGTAATGGAATACTATTATACCATAAGAAATGATAAAAGAAATGATTTCAGTGAAACCTGAGAAGATTTGTATGGGCTGATGCATAGTAAAATCAGGAGAACAATATTTATACATTACAGTCACAACAAACCACTTTGTAAAGTGGTTTGTAAAGACAAACCACTTTGAAAGCTGTAAAAACTGTGATCAAAAAAGGGATAATCAGCTGGGATTCTAGAGGACCAATTATGAAACATGCTGCTGGTTTTCTGAGAGAGAGGTGATGGACTCGGGACAGAATGAGAAATTTTTTAGGTAGGGCCAACAGGAGAATTTGTTTTACTCGGCAATGGCTATTTTGTTACAGGAATTTTATTGTTGTTGATCTTGTTGTTTCTGGTGGCTTAGGGGCCATGGGAGAAAAAGAAGATAGTTCTTTGGTCATTAAAAAAAACTAATTTTTTTTTAATGAGGTCATGTCCAATTTCTATTAGAACATCAGGAGTTGGTAGGATGGGGAGGAAGAGTGGGAAAGTAGAAACAGCATCAAGGGACAGAAGGTTACTGAATCCTTGATAGGTTGTCAAGGTCATGAATATCTGAAACCAAGCCATTTGTCTGTTGGCTACCCTGAGCTTTGAGTCTTGAGGGTTTCTTGTATTGGGAAATGAAATACAAGAGGCACATCATCAGTCATACCCATTCTCCTCCAAAGAAAATTGTGTAGCTGTCTTCTCTTTCCTCCTTCATTCAGCTTGTTACTCTAGTTTCAAATCAGATGTGTGGAATGGAATGTTATTTTAACTTGGGCAGTTGCACTGGTTGGATGCCAACTAAAAATTGTGCAAGAATGGCTTTTGTTTTTCCATGAAGCCAGAGCATGGCCTTGCCCCGTAAAGCAATACTTAGTTCATTCCCTTGAGATTAAACATTGGCACTGTTTTGCTCCCTCCTTGATAGTACGTGGCATGGCTGTAAGTATATTCTCTTCTTTCTTGCTTTCCCTTTTTAAAGTGGATTTTGCAAAAGAAAAAAAATGTTTGGCTGTGGTCTTTTCTTATTTCTGAGCCTTGTTGCAGTTGTCTCTGAGTCAGTGTAGCAGAGCAGAAAAAGAGAATGACTGGTATCCTAGGAAGCTGGGTTCTAGAATGTACTCTGTTAGCAGGTACCTTTGTAACAGGACAAGTGACTTTGGTTTCCTGGGCCTCCATTTCTTCTCCACTAAAATGGAGAAGGTGAACCAGATGATTTCCGTATCTCAATTTCTAGGCATCTGTGAGTTCTATCAACATCAAATTCATGTCTACCAAAATTGCCCTAGGGTATAATTGGATATATGTCTGTGTGCCATAAACCCCTCTGCAGTATGGTCAAGCATATGGGCCCCTTCTCAGAATAATTTTTTTAATTGCATAAAATAACATGCATAAGATTAAAAAAAGAAGTCAGTTACATTGAAATAAAGATGTCATTGTTTTCCCGTGCAAGTCCATGGACCTCCTGAAATTGATCCACATTCTTCAGGTTAAGAACCCTGTTCCATGAGATGAGAAGCAGTGTGGTAAAGCAGAGAATGCAGTGGCTGTACAGTCAGAGGGGTTGGAGATATTCACATAATCTTTCAATCACTACTTAGGTGACTTTGGGAACAAGCCACTTAACCTCTCAATGCTTCAGTCTCCTCAACTGTAAATTGAGGGTTTGCACTAAAGTTCCTTCTAGCTCTAAGTGTATCTTATGAACTTTTAGAGGTTCCTAACCTATTAGGATAGATTAACAAACAGATTAGGGTAAAAGAATTCTGAGTCCAAGAGATAAGGAAGTCCATGAGACTTAACTGTTCTACAAGCTTTGGCAATACCATCTGATCAGAGTAGCTCATCTGGGGAATGGGAGGCAAGAATGACTGAAAGGGCCTGGATATTGGGTTACATGCTTCTGTGCTGCTTATTAATTTAATCTTTAGGCACTTTAGTATAAAGCCAGTGAAAAGATGCTTCCTTAGAATGGAAACCTTCTGCCTTTAAATCACAGGCATATTTATATCCATAGGTTTCTTTGGATGGAGAATTAGTGTTGGCTTGTGATGCTTGAGTCTCCAAAGAATTCCATTCAGTTTTAAAGGTGCTTGGCTCTTGTTTTTGGAGATAGTCCAAATAAACCAGGAGAAGAGCATTATTTCAAGAATGTATCATTCTCCCCTTTGTGGAAGGGTAGTCCATGTGATGCCGGAGGTCAGTTGTTAAATGAGATGCATATTCTACTTTGTTTCTTAAAACAGTCCTGCATCCAGTAGCTCTTTGCTCTTATTTCCCAAATGTTTTAAAAATCCTGAACAAATCAGACCACCTTCTTTTGGAATAGGATGATTTTAGAGCCCCCAGAGACAAGCACTGGCTATCATTATACAGAAAATACTTCTGTATTTCCTCTTCACACCAGGCTCTGGATGGAGATTTCTCTGAAGATAATCGCACTAAGTGTCGAATTGCAACTGTGCCCTTGATTGAAGCGGTTGAAAACCTGACAGCATTTGCTTCCAACCCTGAGTTCGTCAGCATTCCAGCCCAGATCAGCTCTGAGGTAGGACATGCCTTTTTCCTTCTTTGGGGGTTTCCAGGAAGCAAGAAGAAATGGGTTTGGGTTTAGTTATCTGTAGTGTTACATGTATGTGAGAAATGAATAGCTGAAAGTGCTTAAATATGTGCAAAGTTTCATTTTATTATTGTTATCATAAAAGAGGTAGTATTCTAGCCTGAGTGAGAAATTAAGAACTAAGTTACAAGATTGACTGTTGGACCCTGAATTTTCAGTCTGCAAAATAGAGAAGTTGTTAGGAGTATTTTAGATCTGGGCTTGGTGTTTGTTTCAAATACAGAGAAACAAGCTGTGAGTTTGTTGTGTTTACTTGCTTGCTTTTTTTTTCCCCCAAAGACTCTGGTTTTCCCAGCACATCTCATAGCTTTATGTAATAGATGCCCTTGCTCTGTCATACCTTATCTGCCATGCTGCAGTCCTTGTTTACTCCAAGGCGCTCCAAAAGAGACAGAAGAATATAACCTGTACAGAATTTTTTTTTTGTCATCTACCAGCAGGCTTTTCCCAAACAAACCTTCTACCTACTGGTGCTTTAATGTTCATAAACTTCTGTGGCACCCTTTGTCCTGGGTAATGAAAAATAACCCTTCCAAAGAAAAAAAGTCATTGAGTACATTGTTTCCTGGTTCTCCTTTTTTGATTTTGCGTCAGTTCATATAAGTCTTATTGGAGACTACTTAAGGTAGGTGATAAGAATTACAAAAAATTAGTGATAAACAGCACAACCATATTATAATTCTATCCATATCACCTTTGTAAGTCAGCAGTCTTTCCTCCCCCTGGGAAAGACAGGGGTATGTACATTGATTCTCCCATGCTCAGTTAAGCTATCAGACTCTTTGCAAGCAAGGCTGATTTGTCCTGCTCAGGGATGAATTTGAGTGTCAGTACTGAGGGAAGTAATATTCTAGAGGTCAGTATTTTAACTTTTTATGTGAGGAAAGCCAAAAAAACATCACTAGAATATGTCACCTACTATAGTGGAATCTGGATGGCTAGTGATATCCCAAAGACATTTGCTACAGAATGGAAATCTGCATTTTATAATCTCATGAAACTTTCATCCGTAAATATGATTGTAGATTATTTTCTATTTCTCTGTCCTGGGATGCGTGACCTAAGCCTTGGGCTATAGAATCCTGCTGCCATGACCTTCATGCAACACTATGTTTTTCAATACCCCAGCTTGCAAGGGTACAAACTTTCTGATGTTACTCTCCAAAGATCAGAAGAGGGGTAGGACTGTGGGAAATAAAGGGAAAACAGTCATGTTGTAGGTTTGGAACCTACGAGTAGATAAGTAACCATAACCATCTCTCAATTTCTCATACAAACCATTGAAATACAAAGATAATTCAAAACTCTCATTTTCATACAGTAGTTTTGAGGTTTCTCACCTTTACAGCTGCAACTAACAAATAGTAAAATTATCACATTTCTATTTAAATTCTTCCTCTCCCCTTTTAGATGTTAGTAAACAGTAGGGGATAGAAAAAGCCCAAGTCTTAGATAACCTGCAAACCGGATAATTATATGTTGTTGTTCAGTCCAACTCTTTGTGACTCGTTTGGGGTTTTCTTGGCAGAGATACTGAAGTGGTTTGCCACTTCCTTCTCCAGCTCATTTTACAGATGAGGAGACTGAGGCAAATACGGTTAAGTGACTTGCCTAGAGTCACCAAGCTAGTTAAGTGCCTGAGGTCAGATTTGAACTCCGGTCTTCCTGAATCCAGGCCTGACACTCTATCCACTGTGCAATCTAGCTGCCCCAGATAATCATATGAATAATTAATTAAATTGATTGCACATATAGTATTAAAAATGCAGCATATGTTAAAGATTATAGTCCTGTGATGCTCTGTGAGCCATTTTTAGTAACATGCATACAAGTTTTGTATATCCATTGGGTGCTGATATCTCTGCCTGTATATCAGTAAGAAGATTATAGCATAGATTGCTGTACTGATAACCCTGCAAAAGTCTTCTTTCTTGATTAGTGACTCCCACTCAACACCCCCAGATCTTTTTAGGACCTGATCTACCATCAGACATAAGAGAGCTTCCTATCGGTACAAGATACCTTGTCCTCAGTATTATTACTCCATCCAACATACCGATTTTTCTTCCAAATCCTGAAAAGCTATGTAGACACCTCTATTTAATATTTGTCAAATTCAAGGAATTCTTTTCTGTCCTCAACTTACACTGCATCATTCCCAAACTAACAACAACCGCACTGCTTTATTTTTCCCAGGGATCTCAGGCACAGGAACCTATCCTAGTCTCAGCCAAGACCATGTTGGAGAGTTCATCTTTGCTGATCAGGACTGCTCGCTCTTTGGCCATCAATCCTAAAGACCCACCCACCTGGTCTGTCCTTGCTGGACATTCTCATACTGTGTCAGATTCAATCAAGAGCCTCATCACTTCCATTAGGTAAGTGTCTCCCGAATGGATTTTCACCATTGGCTACCCTTTGTTTTCCAATAGTATAATAATCATGCCTTATATTTATATGGTGACTTACAGTTTCAGATTACTTTAGATCTATTACCTTTTGAAACAATCCAGTTTTTTAGGTACTGCTGGCATTATCATTCCAGTTTTTTTTATAGGTGGAAAGATTGAGATTAATTGATTGGCTCTAGGTCATGCAGCCAATTAGTGGCTGAGCTAGAACTGCAGTCCCAATCTCCCAGCTCCAAGTCACACCAAGTCACGCTTTCCACTACACCAAATGGATCAGGCCTGTTATTTAAACTAGGATTTGATACCGTTTTATCTGGGTGCCAATATTGTCTGCCACCTGTGTTACCTAGATACTCAGGCAAGGATAACCAGTATTTGTTGTTCTGCCCTGAAACAGAAGTTTGGTCTTTAATCTAATTCTCTGGTAAAATCATATGAATATTTGGAGTCTTGCTAAAACTGTGGCTGTCTCTGTCTGTGCCATCTCCAGTGATATTAGGACACTTAACATTCTTTGCTTAGAATATTACATTTTTAAACAGAGTTTAGATTTAATTCTATACAGAGGGACTAAATGAATCCCTCCTCTTATACAGTTATCCTTTGCTTCTCATTTACTTGGGAAGGTCATAGAATTAGCTAGCACTTTCCTGCTCAATGTTCTGAATCAGCATTGTGAAATGTAGAAGCCCATGCAAAGAAAAATCCATTAGGTATTACTCTTATCCTTAATACAACTAGGGGTTCTGTCAGTAGTGTATAATGTAGCTCATTTGCACTAAAAATAGAACTCACCTTTTACAAGAGTAATAATAATAATAATAATAAAAAACATATAATGCTTTAGGGTTCACAAAGTGCTTTCCATATATTATTTAGATTCTTAAAACAGTCCTATGAGATAAGTCCTATTATCATCTCCATTTTACAGGTAAGGTTACACCTAAGACACAAAGAAATTAAGTGACTTGCCCAGGGCTGTACAGCCAGTAAATGTCTGAGGTAGGATTTGAACCTACCTTTTATAATGATGTTATACTTAAACCTATGTGAAGTCTTGGCCATTCTTGGAGTATTTGGGCAATTAAGGTTAAAGAGGGTTTTATTACTTCCTGAAATAGAGTGTCTTCTTCAGGTATCTATTTCCTCTCAAGTTGAGGACAGTTTCCTACAATTTCCTTCATCTTGGTGAGGCAGGATGGCCCAAGAGCCTTAGCTCAGTGAGGTCTTCCTACATTTGAGTTTAATGTAAAACCAGATAATTTGATCAATGCATTTTTTCCCCAGTTAATGCACATAGATACATTCAAAATTTATGTCCCAAGGTCTGCTCTGATGATCTTCTAAATTGAATTTTACATATATTGGAGGTTTTTTTCTATATCTATATATCTATATATCTATCTATATCTATATATCTATATATCTATATCTATATCTATATCTAGATATATAGATATATAGATATATATATATATATATATGTATGTGTGTGTGTGTGTGTGTGTATATATATAAACCTCAAATTTACAAGAAGGTATTAGAGAAAGATGGTCAGGAGTCTGTTGCTTATTAAATAGCATAATGAAAGAGGACATGTGATCAGAGACACCCAATGCACTAATCCTTAATGTGATGTCTCAAAGCAAAATTGGACTCTTCTTTTCTCCTAATAAAAAGGTTCTCTTTGTTTCAGGGATAAGGCTCCAGGCCAGAGAGAGTGTGACTATTCCATTGATGGCATCAATAGGTGTATCCGAGATATTGAGCAGGCCTCTCTGGCTGCTGTCAGCCAGAACTTAGCCACAAGGGATGACATCTCCATAGAGGTAATGATTGCTATTCAAATGTAAATTGATCCGTTTATCCCCTGATGATTAGAGAATGTTGTAGAGAGATCTAGTGTTGAGATCCTAAGTCCTCTTCATTGTGTGGCTGTGCCTTTGAATCTCAAAACTGTATCAGTTCTGTGTAATCTCTGGAGAAGTTTGTAGTAGTACTAGTAATACAAATAACAGTAGTACTAGTAGTAGTAGTAGTACTAGTAATACTAGTAGCAATAGTACTAGTAGCAGCAGCAGCAGTTAACATGTATGTAGTGCTTTAAGGTCCACAAAGTGCTTTACATGTACTTTAAATAATATCATTTGTCCTTATCTGTGAGGATCACCACCACCCTTTGAGGTAGGTACTGTTATTATTCCCAGTGATTTGCCCAGGATCACATAGCTAGCTTCCTGGAAAGTGTCTGAGGCAGGATTTGAACTCAGATTTTCCTGACTTCAAGTCTAATGACTATCCATTGTGCCACCCGGTATGCTTTTTTGCCTAAGAAACATTCTTGCTGTGTACAGAGAGATTCATCTCGAGAAGGCTAGCCAGTGAGTGATAATATTTTCCAGCCACAACTCATCAAAACTGTCTCCTGAGATAAAGAGGGTTTATACTTCAATAACTGAAGAGAATATACATGTTGAAATGATATGTATATGATTGGTATGTGTATATACCCATATATGTGTATAATAATATGTTCTATATATTATATATATATCATAGCATATATAGTTATAATATATGCATAACATAGTCTAGTAGCAGCAGTGTTCAAGGCTCATATATTGGCTATTAAGAGAATTAGAAAACATGTGGGTATAGTAATAATAATAATAAATAATATTGATAATAATAATAGCTAGCATTTTATAGCACTTTGAGGTTGCAAAATGCTTTATAAATATTATCTCATTTTATCTCTTTATTTAATAATGAAAAGGGATAAGGACATGTGATGGTAGCTTTCTTCATGTATTCAAAGAGCTGGTATATGGAAGAGGGGGTTAGATTTGTTCTTTGTGGCCCCATAGGGAAGATTTTGGAGCAGTGTGTAAAAGCTGTCAATGAACAGGTATGAGGGCCATATATGGAAAAACTTGCCTAACAAGTTAGAGCTATCTGAAAGTTCAGTGGACTAAGAGGCAGTGGGCTCCCTATTACTGGAGGTCTGTAAGTAGACATTACATGACCACTCAGTGATGTTGTAGAAGAGATTCCTCTTCAGGGACAGATTAGACTAGATTATCTTTGAAGTCCCTTTTCCCTTTTAAATAATGTGACTGTGAAGACAAAAAATGTTTTTTGTTTGAGTCTCTTCCTTTGGTAAATTTAAGGTACTTAATCGTGGAGTGGAGTGGGTAGGGTAGCTATTGAGCAAGGAATAATCAATGAATCATGGATGGAAGGAAAATTGAAAATTGAAATTAACATGTGACCAGGGTTTCTTTTTGAATAGGTTGAGAAGATGGCGCCTACCAGTGGTAGGTACAGATTGTGAAAATGGAAAACAGACACTAGAAATTGAAAAAAAGATGGAGTGTATTATTAGCCCAGGCTTTCTCAATTCAATTTAGAAGATCATCAGAGCAGACCTTGGGACATAAATTTTGAATGTATCTATGTGCATTAACTGGGGGAAAAAATGCATTGATCAAATTATCTGGTTTTACATTAAACTCAAATGTAGCAGACCTCACTGAGCTAAACATTTTTACTGTAGGATTATTAGCTATACAGCCTTTCATCTATTACTATTACCAGGAATCCCGTACCCACTTACACCATCAGTCTTATAAATTGTTGAGCTGCTTTTTCCTAAAACTCGGAGGTAGAATTTTTTTTTTCCATTTCTTAGGAGAGGATCAATTCCTTTTCTTTCCATTGTTGTGTTTTCATTCTAAGTGCCCTTAATGTCTACCTTTGTTTCCTTTGATTCATCTCTACCTGCCACTTAATTTTCCCAAATGAGACAGTAGGACTAAGACTCTGTCTGTAGCTGGTGGTGCATTAGTTGAGTTATGTCCACCCTCTGTGGTGCAGCCCTTTGCATTACAGCTGAATCTATGGAAGACACAACATTTCTAGCCCACAGTCATTCTGGTCCATTAGGGTCAGTAGGGGTGAAGGATGCAATAGACAAAAAGCAGTCCGTGAGTTAAGACCAGTGGTCAGGACTCTGACACTCTTTTCTTTTCAGCTCTGTTGCAGTTCCCTAGCCATGAATCCTGACTCTGGCTAACCGTCTTCCTTCTTCTGTCAGTCACTTGGATATCATTACTTCACAAATACTCTGGTACCAAGTTGGCTGAGTTTTGGGATTACACTTGCTTTTTTTCCAACTTGGATCCTGCTTCATCTGTCTCAGGCAAGGATTGTCCATCCTTCTGCCCCAGGGATTTGCCTACGGACAGGCGTGTGCCAGGCATGCTTTACAGGACCTGGATTAGGTAGCATTTAGATTCAGTGTGTAAGGGGCTTTCAGTAGAATGTAAGCTCCTTGAGGACAGGTACTGTTGTCGTATCCCCAGCACAGAGCATAATGCCTGGTAGGTATTCAGCACTTAACAAATATTTTTTATTAATAATTTTTTCCTGATCCCAGTATAAATTGTTTACACCCATGATTCTCTGTGAACCAAGGCACATTGATTTTTATGTAGTTCAGCCCGGCTACTGAACTACACCCTTATTATCTTCCTGCTAATCGCCCACTGTTGGACAGCATGGAAGGGTTTTCTAGTGTTTTGGGGACTCTTAGCAACTACTGAGAGCAAAGATTACTAGTTAGTCAATTGGCTGGCTTGATTGTGAGTTCTTGGAATATAATTTATGAAGGGATTTGTTTAGAAATGTTTACATCAAAACAAAATGTGTCCCCTTTATGGAAGAAAATTAAAAATAAGAGAGAATTAAACTCAGTCGTCAGAGCCAGGTATGAGACAGAGAAGCAGACTTCCAGATTTGAAAGAGACCTCAGCGGCCATCCGGTCCCACTCATGTCTGAGAAGGCATCCCTGCTATAACATTCCCAACAAGTGGTCATCCAGACTTTGTTCAAAGACACTAAGTGAAAAGGAATCCTTTCCTTCAGCTGGCATAGACTTGAGGCCCTCAGCTTTGTGATTGTCATCCCCTAGAAACTCCTGATTATCAGTGTCCTTCCTTACTGGGCACCCAGAACCAAACACATTAATAAAGGGATTGACTGACTCAGGAAATAAGACAGCTAGACTGACACTTCACTATTTCTGAAAGCTGTCCTTCCCATACCAGCCCAAGTTTTTGTTAGAGTTTTCGGTTATTGTTATATTATGCTGCCACCTCCCACTTAAGAGTCATATGACTTTGTAATCCACTAAAACCTTTGATCTTGTTCAGACAAACTGCTATATAAACATTCCTCCTCCACCTTATACTTGAAAAAGTGACTTTTAGAACCCAAGTATAAGATGTACTACATTTGTAACTATTAAATTTTGCTTATTAGATTCATCCCAATCTGTTAGCCTGTTTAGCAGGCTGTTTTTGCATCCTGACTTTCTCATCCAGTATGTTAGCTGTGCCTGCTGGATTTTTGCCATTTGGAAAGAGCCTTTGAGCATAGGGGACTCTTCGTCCACAACCTGTGCATAAGAAGACCTTTCCAGAAACCAGTGGAAAACTTCTCCATCATTCAGGTAGTCCTTTGAAAGCCTGAAAACTGGTGCCACCCACTTTATTGTTTTCATCCTGTGGAATAGGGTCACCTCAACCCCCTGTCTCTGCTCCTTTGAGTCCTTATCTGTCATGGCAACTTGTGGAAGAACAGAAGAAAATGGAAGAATATGTTTGTGGTTCATTGACTTGACTCATGAAGTTGCTAGTGGATTGACAGGGTTATGAAACTCAGGAAAAGATGTGGGAACCAACATAAATCAATCAATAAGCATTTATTAAGTACTTACTAAGTAAATACTTATTTATTAAGTACTAAGTACTTGTTAAATAATTAGTCATTACATACTTATTAAGTACTAAGTATTTCTTATTCATTAAGTATTTACTATTGCCTACATAGGCTAGGGATACAAAGAAAAAGCAAGAAAAGTCCCTGCCCTCAAGGAGCTTCCATTCTAATGGGAAAGCTCACGTATATAAATCAGAACATATAGGATAACTGTAGAGGTGAATGAATGTAGCATGAGAGAGTAGCATTAGCAGTTAAAGGGACCAGGAAAGGCATGCTACAGAAGATAGTGCTTAAACTGCTTTTTAAAGATAGCTAGGTATTGCAGTAGATAGATTTTGGGCCTTGGAATCAGGATAACCTGAGTTCAAATATTACTTCAGACACTACTAACAAGCTTTATGACACTAGGAGATTCATTTAACCTTTCTGTGTCTCAATTTCCTCATCTGTAAAATGGGGATAATAATATTACTTACCTCATGGAACTATTTTGAGGATCAAATGAGTTAATCTAGGTAAAGTGCTTTGCAAACCTTTAAGAATTATGTAAGTGCTAGCCAGAAAGCCAGTCATTCTAAAATTTTAAGGTTGGGAGAAAGACCCCTTCCAGGCATGGAAGCCAGTGCAAGGCACAGACAGAAGAGAGAATATCATATACAGAAATGGCAGGAAGGCTGGCATGACTGGATCACAGAGTATGTGGAGAGGAGTAGAATGTAAAAAGATTGGAGAGGTAGGAATGGGCCAGGTTATGAAGACCTTTAAGAGCCAAAAGATTTTCTGTGTTATGCGGGAAGGATCACTGGGATGTGGATAAGGTGCTACTGGAGTTTACTGAGCAGGAGGGTGACATGGTAAGAGCTACACATTAGGAAAATTACTTTGAGAGTTGAGTGGAGGCTGGATTAGAGAGAGGAGAAATGAGGCGATGCGACCAGTTAGAAGGCTATTGTAATAGTTCAGGGGAGAGGCGATAAGGGCCTGAGCTAAAGTAATGACTTTGTGAACGGAGAGAAACACACACACACACACACACACACACACACACACACACACACACACACACACACACACACACACACACACACCCAGAGATGTTGTAGAAAAAGAAATTATATGATGTGGCAACTGATTGGACATGACGGAAAGATGAGTTGAGGATGCTGCTGCTTTGAATATGAGTGACTGGAGGGACAGGAGTTCCTCTTACCATTTAAAAGAAGTATAGAAGCAGGGAAAGTTTGGGGGATGAAGAACCAATTCAGTTTAGTGTATGCCGAGTTTGAGGTGTTATGATTCAAAATGTTCAGCCAGGAGTTAATGATGTAGGAGAGAGACTAGCCTAGAAAATCCTCTGCATAGAGATGGTAATTGAACCCATGAGAATGGATGAGATTACTAAGTAACAGAACATAGAGAAACAGGAGAAAAGGGCCCAGAACAGACAGAGCTTTGAGGGGACACCCACAGTAACTGTACTTGACATAGATGAAGAGCCGGCAAAACAGAATGAGGACAAGTGGTCAGACACATAGGAGGAGAATGAAGAGAGAAAAGTCCTTTGGACCCACCTTGGCACTTTTTTAAGTAGGCATCCTTGGTCACTTCAGAAAACAGGTTCAGATGAGTGATAAAAATCAGAAGCCAGATTAAAGAGGTTTTAGAATAAAGTGATAGGAGAAACAGAGGCATCAATTGGAGACAGATTTGTCGAGAAGTTTACCTGGGAAGGGAAAAAGAGATAGCTGGTGGGCATGGTAGGATCTAGTGAGGGTATGTTTGTTTTTCTAGAAATTTGAGCATGTTTATCAATAATGAGGAAAGAATCAGTAGAAAGGGAGAGATTAAAGATTAGAAAGTGGCGGTAATGGTGGGTATAGTCTGCTGGAGTAGATGGGAGAAGATGGGATCAAGGGTACATGTAGAAAAGGATGGCAAACAGAGGGTGACCTCATCCTCATAGACTGGGGTGAAGATTGTTGGGGAAGAAGTCAGAGCGATGTGAGATGAGGAGGAAGTGAGAAGAGGGAATTCTCAAGAATGAGTTCTTTTTTTTTAGTGAAGTCTGTAGGGCGGTACTCTTCAGAGAGAATTCAGGGAGAGGGTGGAGGAGAAGAGGTCGAGTGGTCTGATTAGCTTAATAGAAGAAAAAGTTAATAATAGCTGCTGTGATGAGTGTTACACAGAATCAAATACAGAGAAATAGAAGTATTGCCTTGGCTATAGTGAGGGATCAGTTGAGATTAGCTGGCATAAATTTGTAATGGACGCACTCACTTAATGTCACATTCAAAAAGCTGTGGGAGGAGGAAATTGTATATGAGACCTTGGTATGACAAGGGAAGTTGAATGAGGTACAGGCAGAGTATGCTAAATTAGCCTGCTGCCGCTGAAGGTGAGGACTAGGAATGCAAGAAGTTGCGGTTGAAAGAATGAAAGCTTTGGAGAACCATACTGAGGCAAACAAATGGTTATTGCCTGTATTTTGGCTTCCTAGTATAATATGGATTTCCTAGTCTTGAGCCCTTGTCCTAGCAAAATTAGTCTTCCCATTCATCTCAAGCCCTCATATTGTGTCACTCAGTAGATCAATCAGTCAACCAAGTATTAAGTGCCTATTGTATGCCAGACACTGTGCTGGGCACAAGTACAGCAAATGAAACAAACTTTGCTCTCAAAGAGCTTGTATTCTAATGGGGAAAACAAGAAGTCCACACAAAAATAGAGAAGATAAATTTAAAGTTAATATTTACAAAAGGTTACTTGGGAGAAAGGGCACCAGCGGCTATCGGAATCAGGAAAGGCCTCCATAGGAAGGTACCAACCAGAGCCTGGCTTTTCAACTTACACTTGTTCTCATTCCAACCTAAATCAGTTCAATCAGTCAACAAGCTTGTGCCAGGTGATTGGGATACAAAAACTAAAGAGAGAAAGTGCCTGGTCCTCATTTCCCAGGTGAGGACTGCCACCCCCACAAGAGGTTTCTTTATGGTATTTGAAATGCCTAAGCTTTCTAAATCAAAGTCATGAAAGGCTTTAAAAAGTTGGGGTTTGGGGGCTTTTTTGGGCAGACAAAAACATCTGTCCAAGTGCATGCCCTCCGCTGTTGTGTCCCACTCCATTTCATGACCCATCTGTAGCAACTCAGTGTATCTGGAATGTTTTGCTGTTCTTGGCTAGAATCAGACTGTGGATGTCGTTATGATGACAAGCAATTAGTAGAAACCTCCTGGAAGCCATTTTTTCCTTTCCCAGGATGTTTTTGTGGTCATTCCATAGGCTGTTTTTCTCATTACTTTCAATGAGCACAGATCTCCTAAGCATAAGGCTTATATACAACAAAGCTCTGGCATATTTGCCAACCGCAGAAGCCAGTCTCCTTTCTGATAAGCAGTGCATTGTCCCTGTGTATTTTTGCCTTGAATCATCTGGCATTGTGCACACGTGTGCATGGAGGCAAGCAGTGAATGCACAGTGTTTCAGATTTCTAAGATGTGTATTTTTTTAAATGAAAATTCCTGCCTAGTAATCTAGTACTTCTTAGATAATCATCAATAACTTGGACTTTGCTTTATGGGTTCTCTGGGGTTACAAGAAAAGGTACCAAAATCTTGTTCTAACTTTGGAATTTTTTCCAGAATCCAGTTCAAATCTTTGAGACTGAGATTCTTTTTTTTAAACCCAGAAGAATTACTTTTGGGTGTTTCTTAGTGGTTACAGCCTCCTCATCTAAGAGAATTTATTGGGTCTGCCCTAACAATCCATAATTGGCACATTACTGGGCACAATCTCCAGCATAGTATTTTGGAAATGAATCCCAACTCTCACAGATGTGTTCTCGTTCTTTCTCTCTCTCTCTCTCTCTCTCTCTCTCTCTCTCTCTCTCTCTCTCTCTCTCTCTGTGTGTGTGTGTGTGTCTGTCTGTCTGTCTCTGTCTCTCTCTAAATTATCTTTGATAGTTTAGCAAATTAGTTCCAAGATAGCTGAGCAGTAACTTCAGTGCCAAGAAAAAACTCTGTTTTTGTTTTTAATACCTTTTGGCTGTATTTACTAGGTCCTTTTGTGTCTAGTTCAGTGGTTTCAGTGGTTTTCCTGAATAAGCTAATGATATTAAAATGAAAATGAAGGCATCACTTGTCACACCTCGCCAGCTGGGGCTGGAAACAAACAGGAGGCAACTTGGGGCTGTTAAACAGAGATGGAGACCCACCTCTGACCTTGTACAGAAAGGTGCTTAGGGAGGCTGCTGGCCATAGAGAGTGTGAACCCTTGCTACAGAGATGACTCCGAGTGAGTAGTTTCAAATAGCCAGCGCCCTTGTGATGATCCACTTGATCCTGTATCCAGTTGTGGGCCTTCGTCTCCGTGCACACCTGTCTTTTATGAACCAGGGCAGCCCAGTGAGTAAATTGTAGAAGGAGAACTTGATGATGCCTTTCCTTATCAGGCTTTGCAGGAGCAGTTGACGTCAGTGGTCCAGGAAATTGGCCACCTCATTGACCCCATTGCTACAGCAGCTCGAGGAGAAGCAGCCCAGCTGGGACACAAGGTACTCAAGCCTCGTGGCGAATCTTTTGAGTGTGGATGTGTATCTGTGTGTGCATACATGCGTGAACACATTGCCCATCTGGATCTGCTTAGAGAAGGAGAAGTATTTGAATTGGTTATGCTCCCCAAAATCTCTCCCATCATGCTGTCAGGTGTCGGATGGTTGCTTCCAACACTACATGAAGCTATAGAAAATGTCACTTAGCCTCATCCTAGCATGCACTCAGGAAAATAAGTCATTTCAGGACCTACCGTGCCCATTGAAGTCTGACAGAAGCAGCTATGCCCTGTGCCTCTTACTAGTAGGCATTGCAACAAATGACCATTCCCTGCTCGCACCCTTCTTTGACAGTGCATTCCTTCTAAGAACCAGAGGTCTTAGAGGTCTTTGGTGCAAATAAAGACTGATCCCAACAAGCTAATGCTGACTTCTAGAGCTTTTTTTTTAATCATCTAAGCTTACCTCATTTTAGTGTATTTTAAGGTAGTGCTTCTGTCCTGATTCTTGAAATTTAGGGAAAATAATTGTTGAAGAGCAAAAGCCTTTACCTTACTACTTGCCTAAGAAGTCATTCTCCAAGTGCTAATATTTCTTTTATTTTAAATGCCTATTAAATCTTTAAACTGTATTGAATTAATTATGTAAATTCTTCACTGGTACTTATTTTGGAAATGTTCATGGTAGATACTATAAAATGGATTTTAATTCCCTTGTGATTTTGTCCATAGATCATATTCTTCAGATTAAGAAACCAAGGTTCCAAAATTTCTATGCTAACTAATCCATCAGTTAACACTAACACTTTTGGTTGCTTTTTCTTTTTTTTTTTTTATGCCAAAATCACCTAAAGGTGTCCAGGGGTGGGGAACTTGAGGCCACATGTAGCCTCTAGGTCCTCACGTGTGGCCCTTTGACTGAATCCAAACTTCATAGAACAAATGCCCTTAATAAAAATAAATTTAAAAATTAAAAAAATATTAAGTAAAACCACCCTTATATGCTGATGGATGTCAGAGTTTTCTACTAGAGTCCATTGTTTTCCACCTTACGTACTCAGGGAGTGTGGAATAGAGGAAAAAGCATTAGTTTTAGATTCAGAAGATAGAGATTCAAATCCTGGTGTCTGTGGTGCCTTCAGTGCACCAAATTCCATAAAAATTGTTATAGTTGCATTTATTTACACATTTGCCCAGTTGTCTCCTCCCCAGTTTTTTTGCCCTGTTTTCCTATATCTTGAGGGCTTTTTTTAGTTGTTTCTAGCAATAAGATAATGGGAAGTAAAGAAGAATGGTATTCATTATTCCATCTAATCATTTCAGTGATTCAGCTGTCACATAGTTAAATGGTAGGCATTGGACTAATCCTTGTGGATAGAAAGACAGCAAAAAACCTGTTCCTGCTCTCAAGAAGCTCACAGTGTAATGAGGGAGCAAACAGGCAAACAACTTAACAGAAGAAGCAAAGCCTTCCACAGAGTTTTGAGAGTCTGAAGTGTGGTAGTTTAAAATCAGCCCTGGTGGTACACCACCTAGGACCAAAAAAATCCATTTCCTTTAGGATGCAAAGACATCTATCTATTTCTCTTCAATTGCTGGATTTAATTCTCACTAAACATTCTCTTAAACCTGAGGAGTTCTTAATCCAGAGTCCTCAAACTTGCTTTTTATAACTGTATTTCAATATAATTGGTTTCTGTTGCAATTTTACATTTTATTTTATGCATTCAAAAACATTCTAAGAAGGGGATCTATGGGCTTCAACAGACTGCCAAAAAAGATTAAGAAGTCCTGTCTTAATCCATCAATTAAATTAATGAAATGCACTTTTAGAATGACATTTTATATAGAGTGCTTGCAATTTTCAAATTCCTCAGAGCATGTTGTATAAGCCTCTCTCTAATAAATATAAGTGATACCTCATAGCTTCAATACCCAATGTGCAAATAAAATAGTGTCACCTTTGGGAGAGCAACAATCCCTTGTCATGGAGGAACAGATTGGAAACTGACACTAGTCTTTCGGAAGCTATGTGCAAGATAACCCTTTCAGGAAACCTTTTCCTAATTTGATAGTCATGATCCTAAATCAAAATTATTATTTCTAGGTCACTGCTGGCTAATAGAGACATCATTCTGACTTCTAGATTTAAAGAAATATATACAGGTTTAATCTGGCTCCTGCTTGTGTAATCTTTGCTACAGGGTCCTCCGTCTACCCATCCACTCCTGGTAGTCCATAGATACACCAGACCTATTCACTGCCTCACCTGGTAAAAAGGTCTTTCCTTCCATATTACATCACAGTGCCCAAGAACTACCAGTTTCTTTACGCAGAACTCATTTCACAATCATGTCTAGTAATAGATTCACATATTGAAAATGCAAAATTAATACCAATGCACCATTAAGATGAAGAAGCAAAAGCATCAGAGGTCTGAAAGTTTAAAGGCAAAAGAGCTGTTTTCATGTTTTCTCGCATTAGACCTTGGGCTCTTTGAGAGCAGGAACTGTATCTGGAGCACTTCTACAGTGCCTAGAACATAGTAGGGGCTTAATAAATACTTAATGACTGAATGGCTTTTCAGAGTTGCAAATTTACTCATGTTTGTTATGGAAGAGATTTAACTATAAATATAAGAAGAGAATATAAAATTATTTCATGTATAATGGATCTTTATGCAAATTATTTTTAGCAACATTTTCCTGGAGCTCAGTTCCATCATATTGTTACCAAGTTTACATTTCTTAAGGGCAGCTAGGTGGTCCAGGGGTTAGAGCACCAGGTCTGGAGTCAGGAAGTTCTGAGTTCAAATCAAGCCTCAGACACTTACTAGCTGTGTGACAGAGTCACTTAACCCCTGTTTGCCACAGTTCCCCTTCTGCAAAAATGGAGACACACCAGAGAAGGAAATGGCAAAACACTCCATTATTTTTGCCAAGACTCATGTAGAGTCAAACACAACTGAATGACACCACATTTCTTAAAGGAAGGTTTAGAAAACAACGCCTTTATTAAAAACCCGGTTTTGGAGCATCGGAGCATCAAGACAGTAAAACATTCGTCATGCCCTCCCTTTTTTGTGTAGCCTGAATGGTGAGACCGAGACTCCTGTTATTTAAAAACAAAACAACAACAGCCATAAAAGACCACACAAACATAAAGTTCATTGTCATGACAACACATGGGTTAGACAAAGAGAGTTCATCTCTGTGGAGCATTATGAAGTGTCCTTCCTTTTCTTCTTCCAGTCTCCAGGTTACAGACCTGAACCTGATAACAATTTGCTTCCTTTATTAAAGCATTAAGTAAAACCTTAGAATAGACCCAATCAATCACTGTCCCTTGGCAGTTCAGTAAATAGCTTTTCGTCAGCCTGGGCTAAATCCAAAGCTAAATGTCTAAAGGTAATGATAAAGGATTTTTTTGCTTTTTGTCTTTCATTCAATTAAGCTTTGGAAGTATCCTGGACTCTGCTAGAAAACATATGACATTCGAAATGGGCACTAAGGATGTAATCTTTTGGTTCTATCATGAAATTAAGGAAGCTTGTCCATCAATGATTAAGCGTTCTTTATATAGTAGAAAAGATAATTGTCCCTTTTTTTTCCTCAAAAGCCCTTAAAAGTTTCTTGTTTTTAAAATAATTGGCTCTAACATTAGACACATTTAAATTCCATACTACTGAACAAGTTTTTCTACGCTCCTATAATGGTTACAGAAAGGAGGTAGAGTTCCTCAAGGAAGTTCAGAACTGTTCTTTATAAATTTCAAGATGGGTTTTCAAAAGCCAAGTTGCACATCTTCCTACAGACTCATCTGATCTTTCTTTAACTTCTGTCTTTCCCTTCAAAGTATGGCTTAAGATATGTTAAACTGAATGCCTTTTTTTGTGGGGTGTTTTCCTTGCAAGGTCACACAGCTGGCGAGTTACTTCGAACCCTTGATCTTAGCTGCAGTCGGTGTGGCATCTAAGATTCTAGATCATCAACAGCAGATGACGGTATTGGACCAGACCAAGACACTGGCGGAGTCTGCTCTACAGATGTTGTATGCTGCCAAAGAAGGTGGAGGCAACCCTAAGGTATACTCTAAAGGACCCTTCCCCCATTAAAACCTCACAGTGGGGTCATTTTGAAGTAGTCACACATTCCTGCTGTGTTAAGTATTGCTTGGAAATTTTTGGTTTTCCAAATCAATAAATCTTTCCTTTCTTATTTATATTTGGACGGTGAACTACGAGACAAGAAAACGTCTGTAGTATTGGCATTCTTAATATTCACCAGGGAAAGAGTGAGAAAACTATATGATGAAAACCTTTTTTTGTTGGCTTCTTTTTCATGATATAGCAGTATATCAGAAAGCAAGCCTCTTTTGGGATGTGTGTGGTTATTACAGGAATAAAAACACTATCTCTGGGCATCTGCACAGTACAGGGGGCCTCTTTCCATTATTTTCAAGCAAAAAATATATCTTTAGATGCATCTCTCAATTTAGACATTCACTACAGTACAAAGCAAAATGTGGTGTAGGGTCACTGATGGTGTTGACTTTTGTTATCTTAGCGTCAGCAGCTTTTGTTATCTTAGGGACGGGATGGGAAATGCTCTGGCCCGTTTGCAAACGGAACATTTCTTCAGCTTGTAATATTTTGTTGTTACATTCAGTGACCAAGGACAGTGGTGTGGTCATTTTCATTAAGAGGTAATGTTTGTGTTCAAATGTTTCACTAAATAAACAGCAAGTGCCTTCAGTTCATCAGGACTTGAATCCTAGAAATGGAGCTTTAAAGGCGGGGCACCATCTATTCAGTAGCCGATGACAACAGGTTACATTGGATCTCAGTGCATCCTTCTATAATCAACTTCATTTGACAGAAGATAGGATGTAAAGATTTGGTTTTGATGCCTAATAACTTGATTCCACCCAACTACTAACACATATATTTTTTCTTTGCGAAATGTATATACACAGGGTGTCCCAAAAGTCTCAGTGCAGCTTTAAGCTATTTAAAGCTGCATTGAGACTTGGGGGGGGGGGGTGAAAGAGATAGAGAATAGGTCTAAATATATGTTTTGATATTTTATGTGTTTACTCTTTCCTTAAATTTCTTCAAACATGCCAAGCACCAGAAATTGAAAATAATATAGTGGGTAGATATAAGAGAGAAATCAGTTAGTTGGATTAAAGGCACACATGGCATGCTTATTAAATTCACGAGACTGGCCATTTTGCTCTTCCTTATGCAGAGCATTCCATCTCACATCTTCACAGCTTTGTACCAACTAGCCCCTCTCCCCCATATTTGGAATGCTTTCCCACCTTACTTTTCTTCTTAGAATCCTTCATTTCCCTCCATAAAGCATTTTATGATCCTTCCAACTGCTAGTGCCCTAACCCTAAAAAAATGTGCCTTATATTTATATGTATGTTTTATTTGTGTCCCTAATGTCTCCCTGGATAGAGCGTGGGTTCCTTCAGGATAATGACAGTTTCGGTTTTGTCTTGGTAGGTACCCTTCCCCCTCAGCAGAATGCCTGGCAGATAGTTGGCATTTAAATCATACTTTTTTGTTGACCAATTGATATAATTTGTGCATATTCTCTTTGGTTGTCCCCAGTGCCTGGAATGCTATCCCACCTCTTTTCTACCAGCTAATCTCTCTGGCTTCCTTAAGTTCCAACTGAAATCACACCTTCTACAGGAAGCCCTTCCCAAACCACTCTTGATTCCAGTGTCTTCCCTCTGTTGATTTTTCCTATATATCCTTTATATCACTTGCTTTTTATATATTTGTTTGCATGCTGTCTCCCCCATTGGATTGTAGCCTCAGAATTTAGCGCAATGCCTGGCACATGGTAGGCACTAAATAAATGTTTATTGAATGAATATTGTCCTTAGAGGCTAAGTGACTAGCCTCAAGTCATACATTTTTATAGTGGTAGAGCCTAGACTGGGACCCAAATCTTCCAACTGTAGCAGCACTTAATAAATGCTTACTGAATGATTGATAGATTGATTGACTGTCCTGTGGAAGAGGGACTGTGCCTCTTTTGCTTTGCCCCAGAGAGAAGAACTAGGAATAGCTCATTGAAATTGCACAAAGACAAATATGGACTTCATACAAAGAAAAGCTTCCTAACCGTTAGATCCATCTAACAGTTGAATGAGCTGCCCCAGGACATGGTGAGTTTCCTGGTGGTCTCTAAGCAGAGGTTGAAGCGTCACTTGTTGGTTATGGTTTAGCTGGAATTGTTTTGTCACGTTTAGGTCAGACTCTTTGGCCATTCAAGTCTCCTTCTAACTCTGAAATTATGTGAGTCCCCCTAAGAACTTTAGGTAAGGTGATTAGGGTCCAGTTGCTATGGAAATAAAAAGCAAAGGGCAAATTTTTGAGATGTGGCTAAGAAAGACTCCTCATCACATGCCTCTTGGATTGCATGTGTATTTCAAACCTCAGATGAAGAAGATGAGCAGAAAGCACCACATAGGAAAGGAAGAGGCATTTTGCATGGTTTTTAAAAATTTTGTATTTTTATGTCAGGGGCATCAACCTGCAATGTCTAGTGAGGTGCTGATCTAGACAAAGAACTGAAATGTGGATTTGGCAGTTAAGTGAATTACTGATAATATGTGATAGATGGGTGAGCTCCCTTTCTGACACAGTTGTCACACTCAGTTTAAATAGCCTTTTCACAGGGAATCAGGCTGGATCAAATACTAGTATCTAAGAATGAAGACCACAGTTTCTTCTTAAGTGTAGCATTACTGCCCTCTTACGAAGTGGGTGTGTTCATTTACAAATCAAAATTATGTAAGACAGCACCTCCTGATAGGTCAATTTGATATGGATTTGGTCAACATGAATATAAGCAATGTCTTGATACCTAAGTGATGATAATCAAAGTCCCAAGTGACACTGGCAAGACATCATCTACAGAAGAGAAGAAAAGAGGAGGAAAGAAAAAAAAAGTGGAAATATATTTTAAAACAAGGGGAAGTAGAGCAAGAAATAATGTGAGGTATGATATGGTTTATTTTATCTTATAATTTTTAAAATGCAGTCCTATAATTTGGTCTCCAAAACACCTTTGTGACATAAATTGAAGTCCCAGAATCCCTATTTTGTAGGTGAGAATGACTTTGATGAGAGTGAGGTTGACTTTATCAATCAGCCAATCAATAAACATTTATTAAGTTCCTGCTATGTACCAGGCACTGTGCTAAACTGGTATGTTTATATGCTGTTTCAGTGTTAAATTTCTTAGAAGTTTTTTATTGTTTCTTTTTTCCCCCACAAAATAAGATTTGGAAATATATATGTTAGAAATATGTATGTGTGTATTTATGTATCTGTACATACATACATCTATATATATACACACATGTATGTGTATGTGTGTAGGTATATAAAGGTGAGGGAGGAGGAAGGCATGTACTACAATATACCAAAATCGCCTTATAAATTGATTTCTGATATAAATGCATAGGCCATATCAGCATTTAAATTTTTTTAATTGACATTTTTCTTTTTTTTATTTCTAAAAACATGAAAGTGACTTGCCCAGTATGACACAGGCTATTCATAACAGAACAGAGACCCAAACCAGGGTGTCATGATTTCTAGCTTCTCAACTCTATACTAGCCTTCCTTACTTTATGCTGTGGGCTTCTTTCTAGAGGGCTAGAGCATGAGTATTTGTTTCCTTTCCGGAAGGAATAATTCCATCAGGCAAATCTGACTAGATTTCTAGTATGTCGTTTTTCATTGAGTTTTCATTTATATAGAGGAAATCTCGCAGTTGGAAACATATGTATCTAGAACTCTATGTTTGGTAATGAAATTTTCAGTTTTAGAAATAACTGAAAGCTAGGTGAAATATTTCTCAATAACTCACCTTTGACTTCTGAAACTTTAGAATATGTGGTTGGTAAAGCAAGATAATGTTACATTTCCTTTAGTCCCTAACTTTCTCCACCTTAAAGCTGACCAGTTTTGTAAACCTGACTGGTGTATATCACTGCTGGATTATAACACTCTGATCACTGGCCACCGCTTCATCTCTAAGGTGGTATAAGCCAAGAGACCCCCATAGCGTATGTTTCTTCTCTACCTTCACCTCAACCTTTGGAAACAAGTAAAAACTGTCTAAAAAGCAGAGAACAACACTGTTTGTTGAAAGAAATGACCAAAGAGAAAAAAATATAAGTTTTTAGAATCTTAATGTTAGAAGGAACCTCATAGGTCAGTCCCTTTGAGCCCAAAGGTCAGTCCACCTTCCCACTTCATTGTGGGAGTTCCTCCTATGACATCCTAATAATAGCATGCATTTCTATGTTGCTTTAAGGAATACAAAGTGCATTCTCCACAATAACCCATCAAGGCACATGATACAATTGTCTCTGATTTATATATGAGGAAACTGGGGACCAGAGAGTTGAAAGGATTTGCCTGTGATCACACAAACTAAAACGTGGAGGAGGCAGGAACCTAAATTCTCCTGATTTGTCTCTAGCCCTCTTTCTTCTGTTCCTCTCACAAAGAGAAGAATTAACTCTTTGATTTTGAGAGTACGTGGTGGGTAGTTGGCCAGAGTCCCAGAGATAGGTAGTCAGGGCAAGTCGAGGTCCTTGGTTTCTCGTGTTGCCAGAATTCCAGGGCCCTCTGTCTTTGTTCACACTGCTGTGACATTGACCACTGAGTTCAGTCCCCACCTGGTTAGGGCATTCTAAGACCTCAGGAAATGAAGCCAATGGTAATTAAACAATGCAGTTAGAAACTCATTAGACAACAGGATAGGGATCAGATCCCTAGCCTCTGCCTGAATACTTCCACAGACTGAGTATAAATTCTAAATGGTTTAATCACATATCCAAGGCCTTCTACAACCTTTTCAGTCATGTCTGACTCTTTGTGACCCCATTTAGTATTTTCTTGGCAAAGATACTGTAGTGGTTTGCCATTTCCTTCTCCGGTTCATTTTATACATGAGGAAACTGAGGCAAACAGGTGAAGTGACTTGCCCAAGGCCAGATTTAAACTTAGAAACATGAGTCTTCCTGACTCCAGGCCCAGACACCCAG